TAGAGCTACTACAAAAATGTCATTAAATTAAGATAAAAATCTTTTAAAAATAAAAGGTAGTTTTATAAAAGTTAAAATCAAATACAAATATATTTATAGAATAATAAGTTCTACCAATTAGAAAATTTACTATGAATACTTTGGTTGTTGTTTGCTTCAAAGAATATTATTTTATTTCTGACATTGCCGTATCAGAAATGTTGGCATTGAACTAGATAAGGCATCGTTAGCATTTATCTAATTTAATAATTTATATTCTGAGCAAGTATTTTTGTCAGAACCTGTATATGAAAAGAATACTGACAAAAGAATAAGCAAGATGTAGTCATGTGTCTTTTGATACAAACAATAACTGTAGAAGTATTATTTAAAAATGGCCAAAATAGTATGAAGTGATCAATGATTAACACAAGTTATATTTATGTCAAGATATTTAGAAAAATCGCTCTGTGTATAATGAATCTGTCAATTTAAGTGACTTTATTGAATTAGTGAAGGGCTAATGATGTAACATGAAAATCTTTGTGTAAGAGAAAGATGTGACTTGGTCATTACTTAGTGAGGTAATACTCATAAATCTCATACCACTTACTTTTCACAGTCCTGACATGAACAGACGGCATTCAAGTTTGTGATTCAATTTGGTCAATTCAAAGATGGACTATTTTCTTTTAAAGGAAATCTCATCTAGAACACGATTAGGAAAAGAGATAAATCATACACACATAGCCAAAACAAAGAGACCTACTTTTCTTCTTTAAAAGAAAAAACAACTGCCTTAAAGCAAAGCAGGCAATCTAGGCTGAAGGAAGTTGGCCGGTGATATGTAAAGAAATGCTAAGCCTGCTGGTCGTACTGGTGCACGCTGCAGTCAAAGTACCTGCAAGACTGAGGCAGCAGGATCACAAGGCTGAGCCAGCTTGAACAATTTGGCAACTGAGACCCCATGTTAAAGGTTAAAAATAAAAATGAAAGGGCTGGGGATGTAACTGGAGAGCAAAGTTCCTGGGCTTCATCCCTAGCACAGACAACAAGGACAAAAATAAAGTACTTTATCTTTTGTTTTTGTTCTCTCTTTGGTTGTCATCAAAACATACATTGAAGAGGCAGCTCAATGTTTTCCCCAGTTGCTCATGTTTTTCTACCCTCAGTATTAATTTTTGGACTGCGAAGAGTAAATGAAGATGATTGGGGACAGCTGATATATATTAGGGGAACTGCTAGTAACTGATCATTTTGAAAAAATTTGGAGTAAACTTACAAAATTTCAACCAGTTAATATGTATTGGAATTAATAATTTTCAATATTCCAATATCATGTATAAGTTGACATTTCTCGGCCACTTGAACCATTATGTTGAATTTTTTTTGAAGAGGAAGAGTTTGATAAACAGGTTAAAATAATCATAAAATACATTACAAATTTTACATATATATACATATATATTTCTCTGTTCTCTTTCTGATAGGTTGTAGATTAAGTAATAAATCACAAGTTGTAGACTGAATGTAATGAAATTGTCATATATTCTTGTTACCAAATATATTCTATATGTACAGGATATAATTTTTAAAGGTTTTTATGAGACTTCAAAAATGGCATTTTATCTAATACTTTAATCACTTGTTTGTATCTAAATTTATAAATCTTAATTTTTATCTCATAATTCTTCATTTTTTATTATATAGCATTCCTATATTAACAATTTTGGATGCTTTAGAAAATAAAAATAAAATATAATACTAACTCACTTTCCCAAGAATAGTAGATAAGAACTCTAATTCAGTCTTTTTTGTTCAGCAAAATATGCTGCATCAGTGTTTCATCCGGATACCATTTACTATTCTACATTGGAATATTTCTTCATAAGCTTATTGGACATTTTATTCTGCTTTGTTAATTTCCTGTTCATATTTTTTGCCTTTTTGTTTTTTTCTCTTATTATAGCTTTTTATATACTAAGATTCTAACCTGTTGATAAACATATATACCTATATGCAGATACTTTGCCTTGTCCTTTATTTTAATGTGTGTGTTTTTATGGTGTGTCATGCATGTTGTTTGTGCAACTGAAGATGTGTGGAAGATTTTTTTTTATACAAACAAATTCGGCAGTTTTTGTTTTTTATTTGTGGTTTCCAGCTTTGATGTTAGGCTTTCAAATCATCCTGCAACACGTAATTATCTACTCAAATTTTGATACCATTATTATTTTTTTGCATCTTTTATTCTTCTGGAACTTATTTTCATGAAAAGAATATTTAACTTAATTTTGCTCCTACTATATGACAAGTTCTCCACATGCAGTTGTGAAATAATCTTTGTCTGCTAGTGTGAAATGCAAAGCTTACTGCACATTAAATTCTTACGTGTAATTAAATGTTTCTAGAATTTATATTTTTGTGTAGTGAGTATTCTTTTTTCATCCCTGTATTTTTAATAAGTGCTTTATTTCCTGGCAAAACAACAGTCACTTATTATTCTCTTTTATTTAGTGTATATTTTTATCCATTTTCTTTTTCTACTTTGACATTTGTTATATCACTCTGCAGAGTAAAACTGACTTTTGTTGTCATTAGCATTAAATTAGATTAATTCAAAGGGGCTTAAGAAGTTTATAATTTGCAAACTTTTACTTTGGTTCTTACTCACATATTTTAAGAATCAGCCTCTAGTTCTGAAGCTTTCTGTGTAGAGGTTTTGTGCATTTTGATAACTCTGATTTCACCAGTTTTTATTTGCTTTGCACCAACAACTGACTTTTGCTAAGTAGGAAACATTTAAAATGTGTTAGGCAGTTTGAAGAATCAGTAAGTGAACCAAGCTCAGAACTGAACTTCCAAGGAAAATGATCAAAAATGTGCAGCAAAGACCAACAGAAGAGCACTTTCACCACCGAAGAACGCTAGCAGTTCAGCTTTCAGCTGCCGCTCATTTCCAGGAATTCTCTCTAGTCACCACTTCCCCTTGTAGGTCGCAGCTGCTGAGTCCTTACTCTCATCTTCCCACACTGGCTGGACTTCCAGAACAGTGTGACTATCAGCGCTAATGATGAATGTCTTTGTTGTTGTTGTTTTTCTTGCCCTTAGTGGAAAAATATGTAGTTTCTTTATTGCTATTAGCCTAAAGAATGCTAGGGAACTATTTTCAATTCATAGCTTACTAAGATAATTTGAAAGCTGAATTTGCATTTTCTGATTAGAAATAAATTTGATTATTAGATGTTTCTTGTAAAAATTATCATACATTTTCAAAAACTTACATATTAATATGATATAGTAATAGTTTTTCTCATATTTAACCTTCCTTGTATTCATGAAATTACTTCAGTCAGGGTGAAACAAAGTCAATATGGAATACAGATTTCAGGCCTCAGATTCTGACCACCTGTACTATATTTTAGTTCCTGTTGTGACTGTTTATGGTGGCTTTTATAATACTCAACTTTTTATTTTACAAAATCAAGAAGATAGTAATAATGTTTATGTAAGAGTTGTATGGTACTCATTTGCAATACTTTATGAGAATAACCATATATATTACATAGTGAATGTATGGTCAGTGCCAATTAATACCTTTATTGATTTGTTGTGTATTAATATAAGGTTGATTTTAAAAGTAGATGTATGATTTTCACAAAATATTTCCAACTGAGTTTGGCTTATGAGGCTTTTTTGGCTGCTTTTTTGTCAATTTTGGGTATATTTTTGTGTAAGAATAGCAATAGTTTCATTAAATGCACTGAGAGCTTTCTACTTTCCTTATATATTCTAGAAAACTTAGAAAAAATCTGAACTTGTTCAATTAAGGAATGAAACATTTATGTAAGCCATCGCTATCTTCAAGTCTCCTGCACATAGTTTTCTAGCAATTTTTCCATTTCTTTTATGTCATTTATCTTTTTATATGTTTCTTTTAAAATAATTTTAATCAATCATATATAATGTTTTCATAACAATTTGTAGGTCTCCTTAAAAATCTCTTGCTGTTTTCTTTCATGTTATGATATAACTTTGATACTTCTGACTCCTCACTTTGATGCTAAACTAGTAGCACATTCTTTGTCATGATTTATATGGTAAAGTTCTAGACATTTATCAGTAAGATATACACATAGGTTGCTCGACTCTCTAATTTCAATTTTTTTATTTTCATCCCTTAGTTTCTTTTAATTATTTTAAATTACATTTATCTCTAATAATGCTTAGTTTTTGCTTTCCATTTTTATTATTCACTTTTTGATTTTTGTCCAGATCAAAACATTTTAGGCTAAAGAGCTATGTGGATTCCAAACTATAATTGATCTCACTCCATTTTTTAAATAAATCTGTTGTTATAATGTTCTTTTTGGACTTTATAATTTTAATTTCTTAAGAACTACTTCAAAAATGTTTTTAAATTTTAAATACATTTTTCAACTTATAAAAATCAGTTTGTAGTTTTATTACCTGAAGTCAGAGAAATTGATATGTATAACTCTGTTTTGTTTTGTTTTCTTTTGTTTTGATTCTCCCTCTACTTGCTTGATCACATCAGCAAGAAATCTGAGGAACACTGGAGTCAAACCTCGTAAACTTAGAACAGTCTATCATGGATGAAAATTATCTTTTCATACTTTAAAATATTTTGAAATAAGTTTAGTATTTGCATAACAGCATATAAACTATTACATACTGTGTTTTCCATTTACTGTTGGTGGTATCAATTTTAATTCTTTCAGTATTCTACTTAGATTAAAATAAGTCCTTAACTCAAACTACCTATTTCTATGAACTAAAATTATTTTTTCTATTTTTATGTAGGAAGTTTATTTTTCTATTCTCTAATATGAAAGCAGAATTGATATTATTACTTTGATATAAAGTATAAATGAGATTTTAATTGCTATTATTTGAATTTACTTTTAATATTTAAAGTTTTTCTTTCATGCTTAAATTTCACTTATATGAATACTTCTGTTTTTATCAATTGTTTCTTTTTTCAATTGTCATTTTTGCAGAACATGGTGGGAGAGTGGGCTTTACCAAGAGAAATGGTGGATAACTTACCACCCTCCAACAATCCCATATTGGGCCATGCACTGCACAGACTCATTGAAAAATCTCTTCCTCCTCAAGTAGAGGCAACAGAACCTGAACTGCCTTCATTTGCTGTTAAAGGATGCTTACTGGGGAAAACACTTAGCGGGAAAACTATCACTCTAAAGTCTCTACAAAGTGGTAAAAATTCTTTCCTTTTTCTTCTTTTACTTTTTCCTTATTGGATTATATTTGCACTGACTGTAGCTGCAATATTTACGTCTATAGAAAGCTTACAAAGTCTCTGCTGATGGATAAATCTCTGTAATCAAAACTTTATAATAGTACAATCATGTATCTTATTGTGCAGTCCATAATTATTTGCTCCTAAAAATGAGTTAGGTCAGCACTAATAATCTTGACAATACTATGCTAAGCGACAGATGCCAGATACACTTGGTCACTTAAGGTCTGATTCTATTTATATGAAATATCCAGAACAAAGAGAGAGAAAGCAAATACAAAGAGATAGAAATCAAATTACTAGTTTCCAGGGGAATGATTGGGGGAGTAGGGAGTGACAGCTTAATGAGTACATATTTCCTTGAGGAGAGGATGAAAAGTTTCTGGAACAAGGCAGTTGTGACGGTTACACAGCGTCGTGGATGATTAAATGCCACTGAGCTGCCATTCAAGTTCTTAACTTTATGCTATATGAATTTTACCACACCTTTTAAAAAGCAGCCTAATACAAAAAACAGTTTAGGGGCTCTGAACGCAGTGCTATAGGGCAAAGCCAGAACACAATAATGTGACAGATGTCAACTTCTCAGATGAGAAACTATTTATAAAATCATCATTTTTTTACTTTAGAGTTTCCTATTCAGATACTTTGCATTGATACTCTTGTCCAAGAAGCTATCCAAGCATTTCATGACAATGAAAAAGTCAGTGAGCACCCACCCATTCAGAAAGAAGGTAGAGAGGCTCCATCAGCTCTTCAGGTAGGCAATGAAGAAACCCAGGCAAGTATAATTTTCAATTTCTTTTTTGCACTTTTTATATGAGAGATACAAAGCTGAGTGTAATTCAAGAGGTCTTCTAGATTAGAGTTCTTTTCTGTAAAGATATGAAGAGTAAATAGTTTAGATTTTGTGGACCAAGGGAAAAAATAAAGGATATTATGTGGATATTTACATAATAAGAAATAAAATCCTGTCCACCCCACACAGTGCTTTTTCTGTATGGATACTGCATAGTGACGGGCTGACTTTGTGCCTGGTAGTCATCTGTCAGAAGCAGCCACTGGCTGGTGAGTGGAGGCGGGTGTAGTGACTGAATTGTAGGGTTGGAGGAGTAGCAGATAAGTGTTAGAGGGGAACTCAAAAAGTCACTAACACAACTGGCCAGTGGCACATACTTATTATCCCAGAATTCTGGGAGTCTGAGGCAAGATCACAAGTTAGAGCCCTACCTGGGCATCTTAGCAACTGAGACTCTGTCTCAGAAATAAAATAAAATGGACTGAGAATTTAGAGTTCAATGAGAAGGACCTGTGTTCGATCCCCAGTGTCGTATATCTACACAAATAAGTGGCTCTCTGAGTGAGAGCCCACAGAACAGTGCCTGATGCTTGACAGTACAGTCTCTAGCATATAGTTGGAGACCAGTGATGGCCCTGCCCATTGTCAAGGCAGGTGGTAGAGCCAGTGGGGAAGGCGCAGGTATAGAGAGGTCACCCGGCTTCGTCTCCAGATTCAAGTGCTAGGCTGCTTCAGTAGGAACCATGTAAAAAGTCTTCTAGGAACCATGTAAAAAGCCAGACTAGATGAATTTTTCCCACAACCAACTCATAATATATGCAAATAGAATTCAGTGGGGGAAGGGAGGGTAGATCTCTTTGTGGTTTATCTATATTGTCGTCCCACAATTCACCTTTATCACATTTCTATTCACATTGCATCTCACTATTTCATGAGATTTTGGGGGAGTGGGCCTTAGGGAGCAACATAAAAGACTGTGGCCCCGCTTTAATAATAATTGACAGTCTAGTCTATTTTACAGAGAGAGTAAAGGGCCTAATTATGAATTGATTTGCTCAGGGTCAAAAAACCTTTTAGGTATCTCCTCTGTTTTTGGGCTCCAGATTATAAATTCGATAAAGTTTTGCTTACCTTATACTGTTTTTGCAATTGAATCAATTAACAGAAAATCTACTCTAGATCATGCATATGAACTGCAAATACCATTTAGCACCAAAAAATAAAATAATTAGAAGTTTTCTTCACGGTGGAGAGACTATCTCTTCTTCCATGTTCTGGTACTTTTCTAATACTAATCAATAGGGTAATAGATAATATATATATTTTTAAAATACCTCTATGTCTATGACTGAATACTTTAGGATTTTTTAAAGATTATTTTCCCTAAACTTATATTTCTCAGGTTGCATTTATTAAAATATAAGTTGATATAGTTTGCAAAAAAAATTGAAAGCTATTGGAAGACATTATTTTCTAGGTTATTGTGTGTTTCTCTAAGTGCAGTAACCATCAAATTTTGTTCCTGAAAACTGAAATGTCAATCCCCTTGAATATCTTTAATATCATCAAGATAATTAAAATAGTATATTCACTCTTGAATTTTTATGTATACAAGTAAAACAGAAATGTAATGAAAATATAACAATGTTACAATGTGTGTTTGTGTGTGTGTGTGTCTGTGTGTTTGTGTGCATATGTGTGTGTTTTCTCCCTAAAGGACTCACACAGTGTATCTTCAGCTGCTCCAGTTTCAGGTGAACCATTACCAGAGACGCAAGGTGAAACTGCACCTAGTAAGTAAGATACTGAAAAGAATCATCCATCATTTACATTAGAGAGACAGGCAGATGAGCATTGTACGTGATCACAGTTATACTTTCAGGAAAAAAAAACAAGGAGGCCATATATAGCTGTCTATATGGTCATTTGACAGAGAATACAAGACACACCTGGCCTACAACTGAGGACAAAGATGAAAATTATAACAAAAATCTTCTCATTCTCCTCTGTCAGATAGTTGCTCAGTTCTGCTGTTGTTATGAAAATAAGCAGGAGACATCATCCTTACCCTCCTTGGTTTTGAACTTTTTCCTGGTGTTTTGTTGTTTGTCCTCATCCTTGTATGTCTGTGTGTGAACATTCCTGGGCTCTCCACACTGCACCAAGGGAGACTGCAAGCTCTGGCTGCTTCATTTGGCAATGACAGTGATTCCTTTCCATAAGGCTGTTCTCAACCTTGAATAAGACCAGTACAACTAAGCTTCCCAAACCTAACCAAAAGTCCTCCTCTCCCGTGGGATCTGAACTTTCGTTTAACCTTTGTAGAATCATTTTAATGCAAATTATTTTAATAGAAATAATTTTAATTATTAAACATCTTTGCTATTTGAGCTAAGAAAGGCTTTGCCACATTAGTTTCCTCATGTTCTGTTATAAAGCCCGGAACCTACCATGTAGACATTATTGCTGTCACCAAAGGAAAAACTTTATTATACACATGAAATCATTCTGCAACATAGTTTTTTGCTTTTTGTTTTCTTTCTTTATTTTTAAAAGACATTAAGCCAAACTGGATACAGTAGTGGATACCTAAAATTCCAGCACCCTTGGAAGCTTGGGAGGAAGATCACAAATTTGATCTCAGCCTGAGGAGTTTAAGGATTTAGTGAGACATGTCAAAATTAATAGGGGGTAATATAACTCAGTGAGAAAAGGCAAGATTAAATCTATAGTGCTGCATAAAAGAAACCAAGATATTATTAGTCTCTTATCCATATATTTCTTTCCCTCCTTTCCTTTCTTTTTCTTTCTTTCTTTTTTTCTTTCTTTCTTTCTCTCTTTCTCTTTCATTTTTTGTGTGGTATATGGGTTGAAATCAATGGCCTAGAACTGTTGAAAGAGTTTTGTGACATATTTTTGTAATTTAATTATTATTTTGAAAAGCTCTGAAACTTACTTTTCAGTTTGACCAAAACCCCAACTTTTGGAGTTGTCTATTTTTAAATATTATTATATCTAAAATTTGAAAATCCAGGACAAGACAAATAGAAGGAATCAATCATTCAATTTTTTAAAATTTGTTGTCTGAAAAGACAATTCAAGTTGTTTTAAAGCATTTCTAATGATATTATGATCTTAGACCATGCTGGAAAAGAAAAAGTAGAAAATATCAAGCCACACAGAGTCCAGGATCTTAAATGATATCATGGAAGTAGGAATTCCTCCGATTCTCTAACACAGCTGAAGTTGTATAACCAAAACCATGAACAGTCAAATCTGACAGGGACAGTAGATGTAAATAGTTGAAGCTTGTGTTTACATCTTTTCTTATTACTAGGTAGAAATGCTAATAGAACACCAAAAACTGAAGAAGTCAGTTCCCATGATAGTGATATCTCTAAAGTAAGTATTAAAATCTTATTTTGGTTCCTGGTATATTACAACGTGTTATGATTTGTGGGGTTTTGTTATAGTATAAAATGGTGTGCAACAACAATGATCTTTTGGTTTAAAATTAGGTTTGATAATAAAATGTTATCAAATTTGGGTTTATTTGGCATCCTTTACACTCTTAATACTTTTTATTCCATAAATATTGTAATGCAGTGATACTGGAAATCAATGGCAAAAAATACTGCAGAAACTAAGCAAACACATGGAAATTGAATAATCAATGGGTCACAGATAAAATTAACAAAGAAATCAGATGTCTTCTACAATCCATAGATAATGCCAGTGTGACATACCAGAAGCTGTGCAATGCAGTGAATGCAGTCCTAAGAGGGAGGACTATAGCAATGCATTCCCACATCAGAGGATCAGAGTGAGCTCAAATAGCCTAATGATGCACTTCAGAGTCTAGAACAAGAACAAGCCATACAGAAAGCTAATGCAAGGAAGGAAATTATAAAAATCAGGGCAGAAATTAATGAAATAGAAAACCAAAAACAATATAAAGTGTCGGTGTCGCTCCCGGCCGGCAGGAAAAACACACGACAGATTCTGACGGTGTGCAACCTTGTCTTTATTTGTCTCCGCGTGGGCCCCGCGAGGCCTCTGCTCTGCCACCAGTCCTTTCTTACCGGTGGACTTTTTCTATCTCTCTCGTGCTTCTCTCTCGTGGTGGGAGAGGTACTCACTTTTATAGAGTAACAGTGGCCAATCAGTTTAAAGCGCGCGATGCGGGCTGATTGGCTAACATCAGTTGTTGCTAGGCAGACTATTCTATTGCGCGGGCTGCTTACGTCGCCAGGGCAATCAGGGGGCAGGAAGCAGGCGCCAACTTGGCTCACTCGATGGGAGGGGTAATTTAGCTCAGGCTTTGCTCTTTTCTACAGGCCTCACGTCCGCCAAGTAAGGCGACCGGGCTCGGTCGCGGCTCCCAACATCTCCCCCTATTTTATTTATTTTGAATGAATGTACGCATCGCAGCCCGCCCTGGATTGAGTGCAGAGGCTTATGCCCTGTGTTGAGGCCCACCGTAGGCCCTTGGCTTGGACCCTGGTCGGCCGTCCCCGGGTCCACCAAGGCCTTGAGACCCTCGTCCTTTTTCCAGGGCCAGGAGTAAACTGGACGGAACCTGGATGCACATAGGCATGCACTCATGCCCCTCCGTGTGATCCCCTCGGAGAGGCATCTAGATCTGGGCAGATTCTAGTAATCCAGCGGCTTTCGTGCAGTATGGGGTAGGGCCTGGCTTAGGTCGAGTCGTGCTGGGGAGGCACGCTCTTACCCGTCATTGACTCACCCACCCTGCTGTGTGGTGTCAATAGGGAAGGAATGCGGAAGACCCGCCACATCTAGACCCGGTCGTAGGCCAGTCGAGCGAGCCATGCGTAAGCCTGGGGGTCATTGTGCCCATCACGGGCTGCTGCCAGGGCCGCATGGGCAACCAGGCGTACTTGATGCCGGGCCGCCGCAAGGCGCCCATTAATAAATGATGTAACCCATCGGAGCAAGAATGGTCCTACAAGTAAGAGCAGAAGCAAGGAGCACAGGGGACCTAACAATGGTAAAATATAGGGGAGCAAGCCATTCCAGGCTCCCCAAAAGGGATTATCCTGTAGTTTTTTTTTTTAGGGCTCATCTTGTTGTTGGGTCTACGGTTGGCCTCTGGTGGAACAGGCCTGATCTTCAGTCGAGGGACTTGTCGCAACCTCTGGGACCTACAGTGGTTCTTGTCCCGGTCCCTGCGGAAAGACACAAACCGCGCCTCGGTTCCAGCTAACCACCGGATCCAGGCCCATCCATTGTCCCGTCAGGACATCTTTTTATCTAACCCATCCTTTATTTTTTGGGGATGGGGTACAATGTGCCATAGCTGGGGAGCAATTTTCACTGTTTAAGTTTAAAAAATTGTATGTGAATAATGCCATAGATAACCGCGCCTTTGGAGGCAGGCCTTGGCTTACTCCCCCTTTTTTTTTTTTTTTTTTTTTTTTATCGGTACCAGGGATCGAACTCGCGATTGCCTGCTTACAAGGCAGGCGCTTATGCCGCTGAGCTAAATCCCCAGCCCCTGTTTCCTCGACCGGTGTTTTTCTCAGCCTGCTCGGCAGAGTAGCCGCCCATGAAAATACCGTCCGCCCCGCGGTGCAACGTCATAGGATGGCAGCCGCGACAGAGTGGAACGGGGCGTCACTTCCTGTGCCGGCTGAGAAAAGGGGGGGTCCCCTGTAGCGGCCTCTCGGCGGGGAACCGCTTTTGGAAAAGAACTCCAGGGCGGAGCGGATGGCTCTCTATCTCCTCCCCGCCCGGGGGCGCTCGGGGATCCTTTTTCCTCTCTTTGCTTTTTTCGGGCAGCGCACACACACAATTTGTGGCGCAACTCGGCATAGGGGTTTTGGGCCTCTCGGCTTTCTGCCCCACCTTCTAGTTTTTTCTCGCTATCTGAGTCGGAGGACTCCAGAGCTTGGGTGTCCTCTATCTTTTTTTTGGATCTTCTCCCCCTGGACAGATCCCTCCCGAGAGCATTCCGACTTTGCCTGCTCAAAAGCCTTGCATGCGTCCATGATTTCCGCGTCTCTAACTGCCGACGGGAACCCCTTCCCCTCCCCTTCAAGGCACGCATGTATCATTTCCCACAGGGGGCGAATAGCCAGCGAAATATCGCCTTCCAATTCCGCCGAGGCGAGGTCCCCGCCTAACTTCTCCCATGATGGCAGGTTTAAATGCCCCGTGGGTAAAAACCAGGGAGCCACCCTATCTACCTCTGCTATGAATAGTTCCAGTGTTTTTTGACCTACCCTGAGGTCTCTAGCTTTTAAAAGCTTTCTAAGGGCCTTTACCAAGGGCCGTGCCTCTGTGCTCGGTAAATTACCCATCCTCAACCTCTGAGGGCTGTTACTCACCGCGTGTGACTTAGAGCACCCGTCACCTACGCGTGAGCCTGAGGGGAGTCTAAAAGCCCTGTAGGTGCGCGCCACCCAGAGCCCAGGCTTATCCCCCACTCACCTGTCCGGCAGCACCACGCTGGAGCGTTGCACACCACCGCCGCGTCTCGGGGTTGATCAGTCCCCGTACGGGCCACCAGATGTCGGTGTCGCTCCTGGCCGGCAGGAAAAACACACGACAGATTCTGACGGTGTGCAACCTTGTCTTTATTTGTCTCCACGTGGGCCCCGCGAGGCCTCTGCTCTGCCACCAGTCCTTTCTTACCGGTGGACTTTTTCTATCTCTCTCGTGCTTCTCTCTCGTGGCGGGAGAGGTACTCACTTTTATAGGGTAACAGTGGCCAATCAGTTTAAAGCGCGCGATGCGGGCTGATTGGCTAACATCAGTTGTTGCTAGGCAGACTATTCTATTGCGCGGGCTGCTTACGTCGCCAGGGCAATCAGGGGGCAGGAAGCAGGCGCCAACTTGGCTCACTCGATGGGAGGGGTAATTTAGCTCAGGCTTTGCTCTTTTCTACAGGCCTCACGTCCGCCAAGTAAGGCAACCGGGCTCGGTCACGGCTCCCAACAATAAAGAACCAACAAATCAATGAATCAGTTCTTTCAAAGATTAAACTAAATAAGGCAAACACTCAGCCAATCTTACTAAAATAAGGAAAGAAAAGACATAAATCCATGCAATTAGAAAAATTATTCAGTCTTACCAGATAAAAATTATGCATGTAATTTAAATTTTTAAAATTTATTTTTTCATTTTTTGTTTATTAACTTAAGAATAACTTCCTTTCATTCACTCTTTATCAGTAAGAGAGCTTTTCAGGCTGTATTCTGAGCTTTGTTGATGATACTATGAAATTTTTTGTTAATCTGTACCAGTGTTTAGAACAATTCACTCAATCTTGCTTCTAATGTAAACTAATATTTCAAAAAGTAATGTTGCTTTACCATATATGAACACATTATTTGTAATCAAATGAAATGACCCAATTTGCCAAGTGAGATTTAATTTACTTTAATTATAGTTTTTACTATTACTATGCATATAATCATAGAATATGATTTTATAATATTTTAAATTTCAAATCTGATTAAAGATAGAATTTTTTAGAATATACACAAAAGTATAAACATAATGACTTACGATAGGAAGGAAAATGAATTTAGAAAAAAAACAACAAAGGGTTTTTTAACTATTTTTGCTCTGTGCATTTGAAATACAAAATAGCAGAATGGCTAAGTTTATTTTTATACTTACGTTTATTGAATTACAAATACACTACACCCCGTTTTCAATTCATCTCAAAGAGCATACTTTATCTATGAGTTATTTCAATTACTAAGACACATCAGTGAACAATAAGAAAAAAAATCCCTTCCCTGGTTTGATTGAGTTCATGTTCTATTAGAAAAGAACAGAAAATAAACCATAACTGAAATGTATGAAATTTTAGGTGGTAATAAGCACCAGGAGGAAAGAAAAAGTGCAGAACATTAAGGAATATTGGGAACACAGGCCATGGGGGAAGGAGAAGAAAGAAGGTTATTGCATTGGCTGGTGGGAGACATCAGCTTAGGAAGATGAAGATCCAGTTTTGGACATGAGGCTCATTGAGTAATCATTTCATTGAGAAAACTTGAATGACCAGGTGTAAAGAGCAAGAGAAATGTGCAATGACTGTGGGTGGGGCAGCTGAGAAGATGGCAGATCGATAAGTAGCAAGGTAAAGAGCCTCTCTGAGAGAAACAGCTCAGATGCTAGAATTTACCACCATGGAGAAGACTTGACAAAAGGAGAGGGATTCTCATGATCCATGAAGAAACTAAGGAAAAAGAAAACAAAGAAAAATGTAGTCGGAAGGCTGGAGCCAGACACGCTCTCACCAGGGCTGATCTGACTCACAGTCGCAGTGCTCTCACTGGAGCCACAGATGCATTGAAGTCAGGGGTTGATGAGCCCTGTGGAGAACAGAGCCAGCATGGAGACCTACACTAACCCACAGTGAATGCTTGGAATTTGGTCCTGCCACAGGAGGGGGGTGACTGACTGGACGACATATTGGAATTGGGCAGGACGGGCCTGATTAAGGAACAGCAGTGACTCCAGTTGGCTGCTCCCTGCTTAGAGCAGATTGGTGAGATCTGCTTGGGCTGGGTCACACCCCTGGCTGGAACCCAATAGCCAGGGACAAAATTGTCCCTGAAGTTGTCCTGAACTGTTTCCATCCACACGGCACAATTAACATGGTGGGTAAAGGCTCCTTCTAGTTGACTGGCTTGGAGAAGAGGGGTCAGCCTGTATTGCCCCTGCTTGCACCTCAGTGACCAACAGCAAACTGGAGAGGGCAGCAATCCCTAGCCAGCATGCTTCAGAAGAACCATAACCAATACAAAAAGCGGCTGGGACCTCCACCATACACCTATACAGAAGAAACCAGAAACATGACAAATGTAAGAAATAAGAAAAAGCCTCCAGTCCCCAGGGAATGAGTCCAGGGAATATGGGTCCAGGAGAAGTAAATACAGAAGATATCAAAGGCAGCAAACATGCAATATTGGACATGGCATCAGCTGACATAGACAAATATCTTTGTGACATTATAGATGAACTCAAAACTGAAATACTAATAGAAGTAAAGCAAGATATAAGATTAATAAAAGATATGCTAACCACCTCTCAGGAAGACACAGGTTGCAGAATGGAGGGAACACAAAAAAAGGAGAGAAACCTTCGATGAAGGATTTTTTTAAAAAGCCTAGAACACATGAAAAAGATTCAAAAAGATTACCAAGAAATTAAAAACTCCATTGAAATCTGGCAAAATTGCCTGAAAGAAACTAAAGATAGATTAACAAAACTTGAAGATAGGTTTGCAATGTGTGTGATCACAAAAGGAAAGATCTCTTTAAAATAACAAGGAAACAAGCAGTAAAAATACAAAGCCTAGAAGAATACAAGAGAAACTATAACTTTAGAATGAAAAATGTGAGTGAAGAAGCAGGGGTAAACATAAAGGAAATGCAAAGGCTATTCACAGAAATAATTCAGGAAAACTTCCCAAGCATAGGAAAAGGAAATGACATGCAGATGTATGACGCATACAGAACTAGAGCCAGCTACAACCAAAACAGAGCTACACCCAGACATATAATAATCAAGATTCAAGAAACTCATCACAAGGACAGAATATTAAAAGTCATCAGAGGAAAGAAACATCATCTATAAAGGAAAACCCATCAAAATCACAGCAGACTTCTCGACACAAACCATCAAATTAAGAAGAGCTTGGAGTGAAGTATTCTAAAATCTGAAAGAAAATAACCTCCAGCCCAGACCAATGTACCCTGAAAAACTGTCTTTCAAAATTAATGCAGAAACAAGATGCTTCCATGACAAAGAGGAACTGGGGGAGTTCATGACCACCAATTGAACCCTACAAAAAAATACTGAAGTACATTCTAGACAGAAAAAAACACCAGGATTTCAGGAACAGTGGTAGAGAGGCCTAAATGAACAAGGCAGACAGTGGAATGAAGGAAAAAAGTAGACAATCAATGGCAGAAAAATAACATATCAGAAATGAGGCAGAGAAAGTTGGCTATAATCTCTAACATAGATGGCCTTGCTACACTAACAAAAAGAAATGCAGGCAGTATAGATCAGGAGATAGGGTCCATTGGGATACTCAGTATAGAAAATATAATTAACCTGAAAGAGGGTTTATGGACCAAAAGTGAAATATGAGAAAATAATGCTCTATGTGATAGGGAACCAGAGAGAAATAGGGGCAGCTCATCCAGCAGCTTCAGATAGGGTGGAAAGACCTGACACTTTTGTGCAGTGGAGAACTATTCAGCAATAACAAAGGAAAACTTGGAGGCTTTTGTAGATAAAGGAGTGCAATTAAGATCAAGCCCAGGGGTAAAAAGGTTCAGGACCACTTAGGTAAATAGCAAGTTGCCCCCCCCCATTCTAAAAACTAAAGGAGTTAGTGGGAGCGAAAATGTACATTGTACCCTGTGAAAGTGAAAGGAGAGGAATTATCTAAAAAAGGAAGGCAGAGGACATTGTCAATAGTGTATCAGGATTTTAAACCCGCATTATACGCATCGCTCTGTTTAGCTTGATTATAGTCTGTTCCAGTCTGTCTACTTGTACTAGATTTGAGGCACAGGCAGCTATTTCAAAAACAGCAGGATATACTACGGTAACCATCCTTAATTTACTATTAACTTAATCTGAAGCCCTGTATAACTTACACTGTCTTGTTATAACTGATCTTATTTGGATCTGGTTTGTTAGATCACTGTTTTGTCTTGACTGACTTTATTTGAATCTGTTATGATTGATAGCATCAAGTCTGAGAGTATAGGCAAATACTCTGAAGATGACAAGATTTACTAGGATACTCATTCTGGTTTAACTATTACCTGCTTTTGAAATCTTATAATGTCTCCAATGTTTTGTTTTTATTAATATTGTTATGTACTGCTATGTTCAATTATACTATGCCTGATGATGTTAACAATTCTATTGAAGATAACAAGAGACATCATAGTAATCATTGTAGATCACCTTATATTGTGGTTTTATTTGTTTTTTTGTGTGTTTTTCTAGGAGTTTGTTTTGTTTTGTCTTGTTTTGTTTTGCTTTTCCCTCTAATACAGAAAGAATAGATATACATGTAGAGACTCATGCATGCATAAAACTTCCAAACAGTTTATAAGAACTAATTATATAATGCATGATGAAATGAACAACTACTTTGAAGAAAAAGAGACACGAAGGTACCCAGTGCTGATTCCATAGCGTCATGATGTGAAATCCAGCAATACTATTACTCTTTGTTCATAATGATTTTAGTCTGTTTTGTTTTGTTTAATTTCAACATATATAAAGATATAGACAGCTATTTTGAAGAGAATGAGAGACATTATGAGAGCCACTGTTGACTTCCTTATTGTCTGGTCTTGAAAACCTAAAATGCCTTCATCATCCTCTTCTGATCAGTTTTATAGAAAGTTGTTTTCTATGAATTCACTGTATGTGGAGATATGGACAACTATTTGGAAGAAAACAAGAGACAGTATGATAGCGAAGCTCTCCAGTTGTCTTGCTTTGAAATCTTTGAAATCTTATGTTTTCTTATGTTCTGTTTAATTTTACCCTCTTTAAAATAAAATTTTAAAAATATGGAAAAAGGAAGGTTATTGCATTAAATAAGGTATAGAGCTCCTTAAGAAAGTGAGTTTCAAGGAAATTGTAAGAGATAAGAAAATTATGCAGCTGGATCTGGGGAAACATTTCAGAGAGCATCAGTGTGTGAACACTGGACATCAGACATGAAGTCAGCCAGTTGGGTAAGAGAGCAGTCACAGAAGAGCATGGAGAGCTGAACAAGACGGTAGAAGAATCCAGGCAGTCAGGGCCTTATAGACCATTATCATGGTATCTGACACAAAAGGTACAGCTTCTAACGGGTTTTGACTAGAGATACGATATCATGTGATGTAAACACTCACTCTAGAGGCTGAGTTAACAGACTACAGGAAAATCCCTGTTATAATGATTTTGAACAGACTGGAGGTTATCTTTACATGAATAATAAATAATAAATGTTGTATAAAATATAAAAGCTAGTAATTTACCCACCAAATTAAAACCAGAATAACAAAAGGAAAGGTAGTAAAAAGCAACTAGTAAAACTCAGGCAGAAAATGTGGAATTTGACCACTGAAAAAAGAAAATTTAATTGAGTGATTCAAGCCCATTGCTGTGCGATTGCAGTTTTCTTCGGAGGCCATCACACAGTCCTCACGGCACAAGAGACCCAAACGCATTCGGCAAGCTCCATTTTTTTGATTAAAGTTATCAGAGGGTGAAGTTTTGAAAGCCAGCCTGCTGAAAACTAAAGAACAAGATATTGGTGAAATAGGAAAACTAGAAAGGGCGTCTAAAACCTAATATGCTTCCAGAATTATGATAAATGTTCAGTATTTTCATCAGAATGCAGGATTATTTAACTTGGTTTTTTTTTTGCCTCTAAACATTTGAAATCTGACTTTAAAATTAGTTGAATTCTGCTAGTCACTGTTTCTTTCCACAGCTCACAGTACGTGCTCAGCTTGGTGCAAAATCACAAGAATTGCTGAAGAAAGGAAAGAGCATTCCAGACACGTTGTTAGTTAACATCATAGTAAATGCTATTAAGTATGTATTGCATTTTTCTTGTAACTAATATATCCTCTATCAGACAAAAGTGTATCAAGAACACTATAGAAATAGTTTTATTAATATCTAGGAATATTTAAAATACCATACACTCAAGGTAGAGACATGATTTGAGTGTCAATGTTTCACTTTCTCCCATTTTCCACAAATGATTGTTCTCATCCAAGATGTGAATATAGGACAGGCTCTGTTACTTTTGTAGAATCTTAAAAAGATTGTATAATGGTAAATGCTAAGGGAGAAATGATGGAGAGAAAGAGATCCTAACTGAATGTTCAGAGGACACTGTAATTTCTCATTCTATGTTTCAGGAAGAGAAGTCATGAACTGAGCCCAGGGATCCAAAGGGTGAGCAGTGCTGGGGCAGGAAGGCAGGGGTACACAGGCAGGAAGTGACATACATTCATAACATAGAGAGGATGTGTGACAGGCAATAAAGAAAAAAGTCAAAATAGCCCATCATTTTTGTAACCTCTCTGCCCTCTTTTCAAAAGAGGAAACATGTTCAGGCTTCCTTGTTAAAATGGAAAAGGGAGAAATTAAAAGCAGCCCCAACAGCTCAGTTAATCCACATAGTAAAGAAGTGATGCCAAATAGGATAAAATAAAAGAGTTAAGAGGGCTCCAGTGAAAGAGGTGGACAGATCACGGTGGGTGAGGGAGCAGTGTGAGTTAGCTGTGGTGTATGGAAACCATCAAGACAGACGAGAAAGCAGATTTTAGAGAATTTTATTATGTACCGGGAATAGGCTCCTTGTTGGCATTTTCCTAAAAGAGTGCTTTTCACATTTAACTTGCTTCTCAGATGTGAGAAATTAGAAACTGGACCATGGGGATGCTGCCCTCAGAGCTGGAAGGGACTTCTTTCTAATAGTTGCAACTTGTCTTAGGACTGACATAAGGCATGCTTCAGCCATGGAATTCTTTAGTCAAGGGAAGAATAGGCATGAAAGGCATCAAATATGAAGCAGATCTTCACTTCAGTTTCAGTGAAGCTGGAGAATCTGCAGTCGTCATCAGAACTGTCTCACCCTATCACTACCACCATTCCCACCACCATGAAGGCACCTCCAAAGGAGTGTCACTAGTTTGAAATCCTTTGAACAAATACTATGAGCAAAGGGACATAAGGTATTTCAGTTAGGAACCTGGGTGGTGGCATAGCCAGGGCCAAAACCCAGGTCTTCTGACTCCCCAGTACCCAGTCACTCATTTGATTACTGAAACTAGTGACTAGTGTAGCTCTGATGCCTCTCTCTCTCTCTCTCTCTCTCTCTCTCTCTCTCTCTCTGAAATGACATCTAAGACTGTAAGAAACTCACACCTGGCAGGGAACTCAAGGAAATTCTCCTCAACTTAGGCCAAACTGTGTAAATGCTTCACCCAGCTCTGGAGATATTATAAAAGCAAGCTGCAGTCTTTTCCTGTTTTTGGCCACTTTGTGGGGGAAGAGGACGCAGTGGCCTGAAAGAGGTTTGATGCTGTGGAAGGGTCATGGATTTGAGAACGTGTAACTTTATAACATTGAACAAGTAATGAGCTCTCTCCGAGCTTTAGTTTTTCCCCTTCCTGCCGCAGTCAGTAAGATCACATGTAAGCACCATGGCAGATTTAGAAATTGTTGGAATGAAAATTCAATTATTTAATATGAATTCTAACAGAATAAGAAATGAAATTATATCTTTAATTCAAAGGCCAAACCTCTATTTTGCATAATGTATGGATTTTTAAGACTAAAGTTGAAGTTTATGCTCCTTTCACGTTGTTTTGCAATTTGCAAACTAAAGTAATAACCACTTGGAATATTCATTCTCAAAAGAAAAAAAAAAAAAAAAACATTGTACTGGGTGGAAAAATCCGAGAAACGACTCATATCCTTTGGCAACTCATAACCTAATTGAGATTTTTTTAAAAATCTAACTAGAATTTTTGTAAGTGGGGACTGTTTCCCTTTTGTGCTGAGAGGAAAGAGAGTCGGAGGAGTGCAGGCTATTTCAACTCCATGCAGGAGTGGGCGAGCAGAATGAGCTCCCCAGGTGGACAGCCTGAAGTTTAATGTGCGCTAAATCTGTGGTGGGATTATTGAAAGCGTAATTTCAGTTCACCTTAGCAGTCATTCTGAGTTATGTTACCCCATAACTCAAATAAGGAAACTGAGGCACAAGGGGGGAAAGTGAGAAAACAAATTAGAAAATATAATTTGTGCCTACATAACTGAGAAAGGTTAGTTTCTTTCAAGTAAACACTCAAATTTGTGAGAAGAAAAGTTATGAATAAATAAATTGTGACTAGTTAATGTTTGGCACTGTGTTAAGGCTTCTGGAATAAATTTGGAAGGCAGCAGAGGCCCACAGAAGGATTTTAAGCAAGGGAGTGATTGATTATAGCACATTAGTAAGCCTGATCATTACAGCAATGAAATCCATGCAGTGCAAGGTGATTGCTGAATTGAAAGAAAGAAAGAAAGAAAGAAAGAAAGAAAGAAAGAAAGAAAAAGGCAACATTCATATTATTGTTTGTAAAATACTTTAGTCTGTCAAACTGTTAATAGATTGCGCTGTGTCACTTTAGTGAGATACCTGTGAATCAAAGCTGGATCCTTGATGGTTTCCCGATGACGTTAAACCAAGCACAGCTTCTAGAGGAAGCTCTCACCGGCTGCAATAGGAATCTCATGGAAATGGAGGCAAAGAAAACACAAATATCCACACTGGCGGTGGACCCTACAGCTACAAAAGAAGTACCTCTCCCCCCTTCTGCTTTTGATTTTGTCATATTGCTAAATATTTCAGACACTTTCTTGCTGAATCGCATGAATGATGTCATAGGTAAGCTCTTTTTTATATCCGAAGTCTTTTTCTTCCACTGAATCAGTGACTATTTCCATTTCCAGTTGTAACAAAGAATCCATTTCAGCCTCTCAAAGAATCACCTCGCTGGTCACATTTGCCTGTTGCTTCAAACTGGTAGCTCCCCTGGCTGCGGTCCTTTTTGAGACTTGGTGAATGGAATAGCATTTTGTGGCTACCTGGTGGTTCTTGGTGAGTCACCCTAGTGATGGCCCTAAACCACATCTACACTATATGTAAGGATTAGTAATATTCTTTCCTGGGCTTTGTATTAAGTTAGGAGCAGATATCATTTGGCTGAAGTCCTCATATAGTGGTACTCAGTATTTTTGCCAAAATTTATGATGTATTTAACTTTTCCCTCTTTCAAGTGAAAATGTTCTTTTGCCCTGTGATTTAAATATTTATGAATAAAAGTATGTATTTTTGAACCATAGCTTTTCTACTTATGGTTGTATTTGAGATTGTGAAGTTCTTAAACAAAGTCCCAACTTGTTGCCCCAGGCTAGACTCAAACTTCTGGGCTCAAGTGATAGTCGCATTTCAACCTGCCAAGTAGTCATACTGCTCATCATTGTTTTAAACCTGTTTTGAAATGTATCTGGTAGAACAGCTCATTTAGTTGTTATACATAATAAATGAAATTACAGTTAAACACTAAAGGATTGTATCTGGCACATGATAATAAGCATATGATGAATACATCAGGTAAAAATGTGGAAGAGTTTGAAATAAACAGAATATTACTGGATATCCTCTAAACAGAAAACTAGGTATTTTATATCAGACACCTGGAGGTATCTGATTCTATTGGGGTCTATGCCTTTTTTTAGTTTAGTTTATCTGTTCTATAACTTCGTAACTTGTAGGAATTGATAATAATAAAAATTGTTCCTATTCATAAAAATACAAAATGAATTGTTCAATTGAGATAATTTCCACACTGTAGAAAACAGATTATTTCAAATATTATAGTACTCTATGGATAATAACCAGTTTTTCACCTATTAATGTCAGTTTCAGCATTGCTGATTATCTGTAAATGTGTCTATGGTGCAAATTCTCATTTGGATTTGTTGTAATGTGTTACCAGTTCTCTCATTAACTGAGGTGTTAAATGATGTATTGACACATGCTCATTTTTCATTTGCTTAAGAGTATTTTAGCTTTTTAAAAAACTCTGTCCTTTAATAATAACATTTGTTATTCTTATTTTACAGCTGTTACTAATATAATATTCAGAGCTAGGAGATGCCTAAGGGACCATCTAGTCCAATGCATTTTATTTATAGATTGAAATTTGAAACATGAGCACTTGACTTATTCAAGGAGACACACTGTTCTAATTTTGAGTTTGAGTAATTGGAAATCTTGTTTACAAAGCTTGCTTTAATAAAATGTCACAATCTTTAGATATTACTTCAACTGTTTGGCCTGGAAGTTTAAATTAGATGTTATCCATCATGTTAAAAATATGGACAAGTATAGTTTGAGGGTATAGGCAACTACTTAGAAGGGAATAAGATTCACTAAGATGCCCATTCTGGTTTGACTATTATCTCCTTTGGAAGTCCTGTAATGTTTACAATGTTTAGGTTTTATTGGTCTTATTCTCTACTGTTTAGTTCAACTTTATAATACCTAATGAGATAGACAATTCTTTTTAAGGAAGCAAAAGGCATTATGGTAACCATTGTTGATAACCTTGTACTCTGTTTTTACATCATGTGCTGTGTCTATCCTTGGTTTTGACTGACAGCTTTGTTTTGCCATATTTGACTTTCTTCTCTTCCAAAAAAAAAAGTAATAAGAACTAGGAGTAATAAAACCCAAAATGTGTAAATTTTGTTGTAAAAAAGTGCTCTAAAGGATACAACTGCAAGTGTGTTTAGGAGTGTTAAATAGATGACCATATTAATGTTTTTGGTTGGATCATTGAACACAACTGTTTATAGTCTCACTGTTTGAATGTCCACTTTGTATGCTTTGATACTGTGACTTGAGCAGCTATCTTTAAGATGATAATGTGTAATCTAGTAACTGGTGATTTCTTACTGTTTTTTTTTTTTGTAGTCTGTATTACTTGTACCCTTATACCACTTTGTTTTGTTTTGTTTTTTTTCTCTTTTTCCTTTTAAATAAAATTTAAAAAAATATGGAGCAGTTACTTCTCTCTGTGAAATCAAGTAGAGTCATATTGATGGTAGTGATGATTCTACTTATTCATCTGATTTCCCATTCCTATTCAGTGGGTAGCTGAGGACTGGTCAAGAGTATTGCCAATCCAAGGCCATCTAGGAACTGTGCGTGAGTAAATGGCCCATGATGATAGCTAAAGACATTGGAATTTAATGGTAAAGCCAAGAAGGCCTGTGTAGAAGCAGAAGATAGGTAGGGAGAAAGCCATGGAGACTAGTGTCTCATATGCAAAGACAGAATGGACTTTTAAGACAAGATATCCCTTGTCATGCCGAGGCTATGAGGGGCCTGAGACACACTGTAGGTACCTGGTGTCTAGAGGGTAGGTTCAGCTTGCTGTCCTACATGCTTTGTAGAAGCCTGAAGAAAACAGGGGAACACACCTAGGTGGACTACAAAGGCTGAGTGTCAATGCAGCTAGGACTGGGTGGAGAGGAATGGTTTAAACTCCAAACAAATATTCAGGAGACCAGGTAGACCAAGGAGAAGGACAGACATTATGAGAGAATGGTTGAGAGAATAGGTGGCTTCCTTAGTGGATTAGCCTCTAGTCTTGGCTCAGCCTGAGAAGCAGCAGCAGTGAGCACAGCATGGTGAGAGGTACTGACATGTGCATTCCGCTCTGGATGCTTACTGTTCATGATTAATGGTGACATAAAAGAGACAGAAAGGGGCTTCCAGAGCTGATAATGTTTCATTATCTGCTTTCTGATTCTTCAGTTTATGAGTTCATTAAGCTGTACATTCATGTGCACAGTTTCTTTATTTGAGCCTATATATTTGAATTAAGACTATAAAAAATGAAAAAAGTCCAAAGATTGGGGTCATATTAATTGGAATAAAATCTCTTCACTACCTTATAAATTGCAGCTTGGAGCAAATGATAGACTTTTAATCCTAAATTACAAGTCTTTTCTGTGATTATAAAACAACACAGTATGTATAAACACTTTTAAGAATTGTAGAATAAATTCTATCTGCATGGTACATGCTACAGAGAAACAATGTAAGGTAAGGACTAAAGTCCATTGACGTCACTGCATCTGGCCTTGTAATGGGCTGTTTCATTGAAGTGGGGGAGGGAGGATGAATTGCAGTGGCTCGAGGTACACATGGTTGATGAGGAGGTGAAGGGTACGTGTGTACGTAACTAGCAAAAAGTTTATCTTTGAAAGAAAGGAAAGAGAATAACCATGGTGTTTTGTTTTTTCACTTTTTGTTTACTTTAGAAAAGGTAGATATACATGAAAGAGCTTAGCTGAGTCTTGAACTAGGGAGCAGGTGAATACAAGGCTGTATATTTTTCTTCATACACGAGTACCACAATGGAAATCTGGGAAAGAGACAGATACGTTATAAGAGGGGAGTAGCAGCAGGACACAGAAACTGAAATTACTAGATAGACAAGTTGCGGTGTTCAACTACGCAACTGACATTTACTACAAAATAAAGACAGGATAATACTTGCAAATTTGGGGAAAGAGATGTAGGAAATCAAAAACTCATTGCTGTTAAAAAACATCATCAACTATACCAGAATGTTAGAAAGTTAAAAATTTATAAGTAGTGCATGTAACTCTTTAGGATTGTAAAGTTTGGGGACCATTATGAAATACAGTGCTGGAAGCAGTCAGAAGGGAAACGGGCAGTCCCTCTCTCCTTGGAGAGAGGAATTTAATCCATTTGCTGCACTCCTTGGCTAATGTAAGGTAGCGACTGTGAGATGGTACATGACAGCCTCTTCCACGAAGAGCTCCCACAGTTTTCTTCAATCACCCATCCTGATTACACTGTGAGGGTCCTTCATTTTCTTGAACACTATTAATTCACTCTTCAGTGCTTTTATGCTTTGAGTAATACTAATTCCTTTTAATGTATTTCCTAGTTTTGAATGTAGTAGGTTTCATAAGTAACCAAAATCATTATTATGTATTCTAAATCCATTTCATCTTATTTGATCATGAATATAGATGGGGAAAAACTGATTTCTATAACCAGAGTGGGTCATCCATCTTCATCAATTCTATTAATTCACTCTTTGAATATTCTCTTCCTTTGAGTAATTCTAATTCTTTTATGGCTTTCTTTCCTGCTTATTGTTTTCCATTTACCTAAGTTCTTCATTTTGTACCACTAATCAAGAATAGGACTCAGTCAATGTTTTTATTTTTGGTGTCTTATGGTCTATTTCTTTATGGCTTTTTTTACAGCTAAATCAAAAGTCTAGAAAAAAGATAAATTAATGTGGTATTATGTTATCCATAAACAATTTGATACATATTTTACTTTATGGGGACCTCCTTATTATTTCATTCTTTACTTTTACTTCCCAGAATGTTTTTCTCTACAAGTTTGTTACATGTAATGACCCATCTGCTTTCATTCTCATTTGTACATAGTGTTAAACTTTTGAAACAAAGAGATCTCTGAAATAAAAGGTTTATTAAGCTGTTACAGATGCTAGACCAAAAATAAAAGAATAAGTTCTCTGTGCTGCCAGAAGCATTTGAAAAGATGGCCCTTGAACTTAAGAAGCCAGAGTACTGCATAATGAAAATTTTGGGAGAAGAAACATAAATCATTTACACTGAGCCTGGATTGGTCATTGATAAGAAGGACAGGACAACACCAAATATGCAAAATCCATAAAGATATATATTTTCCCAGTTGGTTGGTTCTAAAAGCAGAATACAGTATGGCTTTAGTGACTAACCTTCAACATACTGCAAGGAAATATGGGTCGGTTTTTCTTCGTTGACTTAGGTTGAAGATGACAGTTAAAAGTCATCTTTCTTCCCTTCATCCACCCACTTTGCCTGTAATTTAATTTAGGATCTGTTATAATTCTTCTTGTATCAATAGTCAATCCTAAAATCTTCTATGTTACAACTGCAGCTCATTTTTAATGTGTTTTACCTTAATTTCTCCAATTTCCAATAAAACTTTGTTTAAAGTTTTTAGGTAACAATTGAAACATTTTTAGGTAACAATAGAAAGACAGAGTGATATTTCTTTGGCATCTTGCATTAGTATATTTTAGCAATAGGAAGCAAGTTTGATTGCTTTTAAAAATTCATGAATTTTCATACTTTAGGTGAAGAATTTTCACATGAAGTGGCTCATAAAGATATCGATCAACATGGAACTGCTGAAAACCAAGATAAGCATGGGTACCAGAATTTAAGAGATCACATACATAATAGGTTGGTTTTAAGCAAAATATCTTTTATCTTGTCATTTGCCTTTTGAACATACAGTCACTTTGGAATCATCAGAGCTATAGAAAAAAGGATAAACTCACACACATACATTTCTACATGTGAAAACTCAATAGTTTTGGTGTTGAGTAAAATATTTAGATGATGGCTTTCATAGGCAGAGCACAAGTAATATTCTGAGAAAAGAATTCAATCAGATAATTCTTTCTTTCATGATTCTATGAATTTAGAAATTAATTGCATAGAATTCTGAGCATTTACAAATTCAATGAAGCACTTAGAACATCAAACAGATTCCCGAGAGCAATTCTAACACTACTACTATTTTTTGCTAATGCGAAGTTATACAGCATTCTTTCAGTTTTGTGCATTTTTTTCCTTTAGAAAATTCAGAAAAAATTACACAATTTTATGAGAAATCCAAAAATATGAAGTGAGCTAGGGAGAGTGACTCGAACTATATTAAGTCTGTGTGCTCTAGAAAAAGTTTCAAGACTCATTCAAGAATCATTTTAGGAATACTTTGAGTAAAGCAAGTAAGCCTGAGCCACCTGTCCTTATTCAAAAGCCTTTTCAATTTCTGTGAAATTGAAAAAAAGTAGATGACCTGGGTCAATCAGTCTACAGAGAGTGCTGAGAGGTTCCGTACCATTGGTGCACATGATATCCTTAGACTTTCAAGTGGAGAACTGGACATACATTAAAGGTTTCCTGAACTGGCAGTATTTTCAAATCTTCTTTCAATCTTTCATTCAACTTAAAAAGCATGTTTTGGTAACATTAAATAATATTTATTTTATCCTAAATTGAATAATGTTCCTTTGCCTGTAAGGTTCTAAAAGTTGTTTCCTCAGATTCATCTGTATTGGCAGACTAGTTTTTTCATTGTTATCAAATAAATCATGTTTGATATATATTCACTCAAATACTTCAAATCAATATGAGTTATTTACATGATATTTTGATTTTTCAGAATTATAGGCTTCTTGGATAACTGGCCTTTGTTGGAACAGTGGTTTTCAGAACCAGAAAATATTTTGATAAAAGTCAATGCTGAAATAGATAAAGAGCCTTTATGCGAAAAGGTAAAAGAAATTTTTACAAATGAAATAATGAAGAAAAAGAATAAAGGTAATTATATTTATTATAATTTTAACCTTGTATCACTAAAATATTTGGTCCTACTGACTTTAGAAGGAAACTAAAGTATGATTGCAAACTTCTCTCTTATATTTGGATTATGCTGTCTACAGGTACATTCTGGCTCTTACTGTAGCTTTCTGCTGCTTGTTTCTGAATAACATTGCTTTCTCTCCCTTTTAAATTAATTTTATAAAAAGTGGTTATCTCTCTGAAAGCACTGAAGAGAACTCTTTTCCTATTTATAAAACTATAACTTTTTCAGAAAGTAGCTAAGACTGTAAAGAGTGAAATATGCATCATGGCATTACTGTCATTTAAAAAAGGAAGTAGAATTAAAAATTAAGAAGAGTAAACACATTTTATACACTGAGTATATTTAATTCTCAATACCTTTATATGAAATTAAAGTTGTTACAGAGAATAAAAACTTAAATTTGTTAACTTCAACATTATAAGGAAATAGTATATGAATTTTCCCTTCAGGATAGAAAAATTACACAATTTGATTTTCTCCAAATCTATTTCTCTTCTCTCTCTCTCTCTCTCTCTCTCTCTCTCTCTCTCTCTCTGACAAATTTACTAATTATTATTTCTTTGTCTCCTTATTTCTGAGCCATATCTCCTCCACTTTAAACCACAATAATTTCTCATTAACTGTTCACAGTATAGAAACTTATTGAAGAAATAATCCTAAACTCAATCCAATGCCATATTTGAAGTGGGATTTTACCTTTTAAAAATAATGTAAAATAAAAATATTCCCTGTTTGATCAGTTTTACCTACTTATACTGGTAACACAGCTTCTGGTCTAATAAAGAAAATGGTCAAAATTAATATGAATTGAACTCTTAAATTCCTTTGTTAGATGCTGTCTCTCATCACTAGATCTATGACCATTGTGTGTCCATGAATTGACCACAGATACTCATAAGCCACATCATTACAGGATCAGAAGCTCACACTCAGAAAACAGGCTCCTACAGCCAAAAGTCTGCTCAAGAAAGATAGCAGTGTGAGGTTTTCAGGCAAAGCAAAACCATTGTAAGTGTTCTAAGATACTTACTGAGGGGAAGAAACTTGCTTGAGAGTCAGGAGGAAACCTGTCACAGTATCCTTTTCAGCTGGAGCCAAAAATAACGTGATTCTAAGCTGTAAAGGCTTGAAACCAAAGGTAAAATCAGTTTGATTTTGCCAGTTGTCAGAATCAACTTCAACATTTTCTGAAAGATTTTACATATACTGAGTGCATGAACAGTTTTAACTGTCACTATTTTGGGTTTTGATTCCAATGAGTTAACTAATAATAACTTTTTAATAATAAATACTTTATTATTAAGAAATACTTTCTGAGCCCAGTGTTTACATTAAAAGTAAAATAAAAAGATATAGTACTTCCACATATTTTTACATGAAAATGTAATCATAATATACTGATGAGTAGAAAAAAGCAGGTTATACAGAAAATAGCCTTACTTTTTAAAAACATGATATACATATATGTGATATATATATGCTAAATTTTTGTGCACAAAGAAGAAAGTAGTGTAATATGTATGATATTTGATGATGCAAAAAGAGAAAAATAGTCTTCATCAATAATTAATTGTCCTTCCTACATAATTGTCTAAATTTAAAGATTTAAAAAAAATTTCACTTGATCAGAAAAAAAAAAAACCCTAATTTCCACTTTGAAAGAAAATCTAATAGAAGGAGGCTTCCTTGCTTTCTGAATTGAAAAGAATAACCTAAGTGCCTAGAGAGCTAATATAAAGACAGCTGATGACGATGGCCGATCAGTGCGGACGTCTCCAGTTGCAGGGTCGCTGAAGCAGACAGTCAGGGCAGTGTGCCAGAAAGTTTACATGAGCAGCAAAGGGCCATAGCAACAACAGGAGCCTGGAAAGTCACTAGTTAACCACGCTCCAACACCAATGCATTAGGACTGTCCCCTCTACTCTGGGCACTGTTCCTTCACAATAAGACCCATGCCCTGACTGTCTCCACATCTTTGCTCAAATGTTACATTGGGCCCATCCAGTTTTGTGCACTGCATAAAACTTGTAACACTGCCCTGTAGCACTCTAGATTCGCCTTGTCCTATTGTATTTTTCTCCATAGTGAGAATCACATTCCAATCTTTTGTATAAATTATTATGTGTATGATCTGCCTCCTACTACTAGGATGCAAGCCTCACAAGGGTATTATTCTGTTTTGATTTACTGTTGTATCTTCAGTATCCAAGATGCTACCTCCAGTTGTCTTAATGCTAGTAGTAGCTTTACTTTATTGTTAGCAGCACTTCCTTAGCTTCCAGACACAGTTCAGGTACAATAAACAATTGGTGCATGGCTGGGTGTGATGGCACCATCTGTTGTCCCCGTTGCTGGGGAGGCTATGATGGGAGGATCCCTTGAGCCCAGGAGGTCAGGACCAGCCTGGGAAACATAGTGAGCTCCTGTCCTTCAGCAAAAACATTGTTGCATGATGTAAACCTCTGAGTCACTAAGGACTTAAGTGAGGGCTGCACATTCCCTTCCCCTTCCATTTCCTACCCACTTGACCACTTCTATCATGTGGTTTTTAATCTTGTCATTATGCTCTTCTTTTAAAAACCTTGCTTTTCTAACAAATTATTTTAAATAATATTTTATTTTCTTATCTTTTTTTAGCTAGTTCTGCATTATTAGCTACTTTTATGCTTGGTACCCACACACTAATTTTTTAAGCACCACACACACACACACACACACACACACCATCACTCCCATCACCCCCCACTGCCATCCATCCCTCTGCCCTCCTCAAGAGAAACCACATGACCAGGCAGAGAAGGCTTAATATCTTATCTTTACAGACTAGAAGATTAAAGGAGAACGTTAAAACATGAATAGCATTAAATCAGTGAATGTAATTTTACATTAATCTTAATTTCCCTTAGTTCAAATGAAATAGTAGATGTCTGGAATCCTTAATGAAGGCTTATTCTTATCTTTTTGAAGTGGAGAAGAAATTAGAAGAAAAGGAAGTTGAGAAAAAAGCAGCAGCTTCTTTGGCTGAGTCTCCACCTCTACCTCCTCCTCCTGAGCCAGAAAAAGAGAAGGAAACTCATGCTCAGCTCAAGCAGGAGCCTTCAAAAACTCCTCCTGCCAAAGGAAAACCACAATCAGGTGATTGGCAGAGTGATTTATAATCCTGTTTGCCTGTTTCTTATTTTCACCTAGGAAAGAAATATAAATTATAGTGCCAGTCCACTTATCTAGATTCAGATTGGCAACTGCAATCATACAAAACCAAGATCCATACTCAGGTGGGGATGGAAAAATCTTGTTTTTTAAATAGTATTGGAAAATGAACCTATCCTCAGTCCTTTTTATTTTTTATCTTGAGAACAAATCATGCTAAATTGTCCAGGTTGGCCTCAAATTTGCAATCCTCCTATATCAGCCTCTGAAGTGATGAGGTTACGTGTGTTTGCCACCAAGTCCATCTGAAAAAATACTCTTAATAACTGTCTTGGTTACTTTTCTCTCCTTGCAGAGACAAAATATCTGACACCCAAAATGAAGGAAGGAGAGGTTTGTTTAGCTTACAGTTTGTGGAGGTGTCAGTCCATAATCAGCTGGCTCCAAGGCAGGGTGGCATGGCAAGGGGCAACAGTTCAAGGTGGCAGAAGACAACAAAATCAGCAAGAAAACCTTTTTTCCTCCCTTATATTGTAAGCAGGCTAAACTGCCTTAGAGTGGATGTAGCAGTCACACCATCCCTGTGCACCACCTCCTCCTGCACAGGCTCAGGGTGTTTACAAACCAGGATCCTGGTTCCCTATTGATTCACTTAGTTAAATTTCTAAATTTTTCAAGTTGACACATTTTATCAGCCATTACAATAGCTTAGAAAATAGTTGTTAAAAAGCTCAGATGCTTTCCTTTTGTAATCACATGATCCTTAATATTTAGTTACATACAAACTCTACTATCTAGCAAATGCTGTTGATTGGCAACCTTATTTTTGAGTCAATTGGCTATGTTAGTCCTCATTTTATTAAAGTATTTCTCTTTCCATATATATGTAATTCTGTGTTCAGACAGCCATTCTTTTAACTTGCCTTAGATTACTTCTTATTCTACAACTTTTTTTCTCCATATTTGGTCTTATTTATATAATCTGAATGTTCCCTGTTATACACTGAAGAACCTGAATCAAATACACATTCTTTCTCTACTACTTCAGTAGGGATTTAAAAAGGAAAAAAAGATCTGGAGAAGACAATTTTCATGGTAGTTAAGCTAGCCTCAAATCATCTAATGCAATTAGATTTAAGCTATTCTCTCAAACTGATCTGTAATGTTTCTGATTATGACAGTCCATAGTCCAAGTTTCTGTAGGTTTTTTGTTATTTTAAAACTGTATTCTTGAATACTGTGCATTGGAGGAAAAATAAATCTATTGCTGCTTCAAAGAGTGGTTGTATCTGTCTCTTTTTTCCACGTAGGGCAAGGCTACTGCCTTATCTTTAAAATAGATGTGTAAAACAAAAGTTTAGTCTCCAGAGGCCTAATCATTACCATCAACAGTAAAGTATTGCTGGAGGAAATCTCCTTCCTCATGGCATTGATTAGGCAGCAGAGTAGAGGGCTGCCCTTGTGGTGCATAGAAACTTGGGTAAGCAATTTTAGGGAGGGAAAATTCCAACAGTTTTATTTTTCCTTTAAAAAAATTTATATAACTTTGAAATATTTTCAAAAGAGAATAGTTTCAAAACCAAAAGCCGGAGGCTTCTGAGCATGCCCAACTGAAACATTCAATTAGAATCTTCTCTAATTATTATTTCCTTAAACAACAGCAACAAAAATTAATGTGCAAATAGGACAGAGAAAAAGACACAATACACTGAGTGCTAATAAGCATTTTGTTCAAGTTTAGTCCTATATTTTATAAACTTCTGCATTTTGCACCTTTTCAACTATACTTGGGATTCATTTTGAAAACTTTACAGTGATGCTCCTTTGAGAGATTTATTATGAAATCCACCACCAAAGGTCAATTTGGAGGGGTATGCAGTCACATTACTTTTACAAAAATATTTAATTAGTAACACATTTGCAGTACATAATGATTACATTTATCATGGGAAGATGTACATGTATATAACATATCTTGATTTTTCTATTCCTTACCCCTCCCCTCCCACTCTGCTCCTTCCATTTCTGGGTCCCCATCTCATTTGCAAAAGGTCCGTCTTCTTCTTTTTAAGTCTGTTTTTAGTTGCTTTCCTCTTCTTTCTCTTCTGCCTCCCTCCATCTCTTGATCCTCTTCCCATTTGAAAAGATCTCTCTACTTGCCATTATCTATCTTTTATTTTGTTCTTTATTTACATTTTGGGTTTCTCTTATAAAAGAAACCATTTTATTATTTTGCTTAATATTATGATCTCAAGAGGCAAATCTTAATTAGAAGTGAATTCTCAGCAAGACAAAACTGTGCTGCTGTTTAAGAATACTTTTTGAGCTTTCACAGTATATTTTATTTTTTTGTACCAAGGATTGAACTCGACCTCATGCTTGCCAGGCAGGCACTTATGCCACTGAGCTAAATCCCTGGTCCAATATATTTTAGAGTTAACAAAATTGGCAAGAACACATGCTATCCTCAGCAGAAATTATAGTTGCCCATAATAATTTGTAAGTTCAGTGTTTTACTTTATTTTCTCTACCACCTTGCACTAAAGTTTAGAACTACTTACATATTTTGTTTTGTTTCTATTAAGAGAACTACTTCAGAAGAGTTTTTGATTATTAAGGTGTTTTTTAAAATGAATAAAAAAACTGGTTCAAACATTTGGATCCTCCTTCTTTCCTTCCTTCCTTCCTTCCTTCCTTCCTTCCTTCCTTCCTTCCTTCCTTCCTTTTGTCATATGAAAAATCTTGTAGAGGTTCACAATATGGGCAGTAAAAGAATTTAACAAAAAAGAAACAGTCAAAGAAAAGTTCTGCTCTCAGCAAGTGAGACAAAAAGAGGTCTCCTTCATGAGCAAAGCAGTGGTGTTTGTTTGATTCATTTTGCATTTTTAAGACAAGTTCTCCCTATATAGTTAGGCTGGCTTTGTACTTCTATGTAGCCCAGGATGGTATCAAACTCATCACAATCCTCGTGGCTCAGCTTCCTGAGTGCTGGAATTACAGGTGTGTACCATCATTCCTGGTGGAAGTGCTGTTTTTAAAGAGAAACATGCAGAACATAGAAGAAAAGAGTGGCTCACTTTGAAGGAAGTCTGTGCAAAGTAAGATGCCCTTCTGAGGGCCCTGTAGGCTCCTGAGGCCATAGATCAAACAGGGTGGGGTGGGGCCAAAAGTTTTTTGTCTTTTTGAAGTTTGTGATAACAGCAACCTGGCTATAATGTCTAGGATGAGGAGGGTTGGATAATATGAGATCACACACGCTGGGAAAGGAAAGCTAGTGGTTGTTTTTCTGTAAGTTTCTGAAACAGCTTCTTTGAAAACAGAGTTTATGGCTGTGGGGCGTACAGTTAAATAGAGCCCAGAATGACTTCTTCCTGGTTACTTGGTCTCCATACTTTCTTCAGCCCTTTTCTCCTTCCTTTATTTTTCCCTTCTTTTCTTGCTTTTTGAAAAGTCAACTATTGAATGTTTAAAAGTCCTTTTAGAGAAGTTAATAAAGTGTAGTGTAATGTGTAATGTTTCTCTACCTTTCACTTGCCTTGTTTCTATGGAATCTTGCTTATCCAATCTTACATATTCAAATATAAATGATACACACTATGCACTTACACATTCTATGTCTATCATTTTAAAATTCAAAAGTAAATAAATAGGTAAAATAAATACTCAGATGGAATTTCCCTATTATACACAATTACCGTGCTATGATTATCATTCTTCCAATGAAAGGGGGGAAAACACTTTATCCCAGAATCGAGGGAAGGAAATTGATTGAATCTGCCAGCACATAAAAGCTAGGGTGCTGCGAATTATTTCTAGGAGCTAATTCATTCCTTGGTATATCGTCTCACCTTAGATCACTGGTTTCCCATTTTTCATCTCCTGAGATACTTTAACTAGATTACAGAGATTCCAAGGTATATATGCCTAAACCATCATTTGCATTACAAATTGTGGTCACTACAAATATGTAGAAGTCATAAGACAATCAAGTGTGTGATCACGAAAATTTTAAAGATGGACCATATCAAATGATGTAATTAACTCTTATACAGTGTTTAGTAATCATCTTTGCTATAGATCTAATTGTTTTATTAAGGCTTAGCCCATCACAATAAATCCAAATAGAATCATCTATTTCAAGAGGACTTGCCAATAACCAAAATCTCCACAATCCCATGAAACAGATTATAATCAACCCCGTGGGTACACATTAATACTAAAGTTAGAACTAACTTGCTCAGTGTAATACAATAGGATAGGATTATCAGCCATATCTTTTAAGAAGATTAAACCTGTACTTTGTCTTCAGATTAACTTCTATCTCACACAAAGACCTGAGCCACTTTATTCTATGCACAAATACAACTATAAGCTGTAGCATTTGATTGCTTAGAAATCATATGGTATAGGCTGGTAAAGTAGGTCATAAATTTTATTTATCTGTTTAATTTTGTTTAGAACCCCCACATGGCAAACAAGAACCTCTTCAGGAAGGAAAAGGAAAGAAAGGTGAGACTGCATTGAAAAGGTATAATATAAAAAGATAGATATGGTGACCTATACTTCTTCACTGTATAATTCTTTCAGTTAAAACGGCTCAGTGTGTATACTAGTATACCCTGACTACTTCTCTTGGGAATTTGTAAGTCCTAGTCCTTTTCCAGAAAAATAACCACAAAAAAACTTCCTATAGTCTGGCTTTTAGCAAAAGACCTACTGAGAAAAGTGATGCTTCAAGGGAATGATGCAGAGAATGTCTAAAGGAATGTCCGTTCCTCACACATATTATAGTTATTATCCTTGGGCTAAGCTACATAATGATTGCTTTCACCAATAAGTACTTTGATATAAAATTCTCAATTTCCTCTACAGCAGTGGAGATAAAATATTCATTGCACCAATAATGACCTAATATTGCATTTTCTCAGGAGTAGCATGTACAATTTATCACCTTTTGTGAAATCCTAGGTAACAAACTTCATTCAGAAACAAGAGACAGGGAAATGTTTTTATCTCTGAATGATTATATAACAAGCATCTCTAATGGTAGTATTTCCCTTTTCATTTGCTGTCTGGAAATTTAGAATCAAATTTATACCAAATTTCAGAATCTGTAAAGTGACCTAAATATCAGTATCTGTCTTCTACATTTGTCTATATGTTTCTTATTTTGATTTTCTGTTTTATGTTACAAGTTATTTTTTCCTGGGCTTAGGTTCATTTACGTATTTTCTATATTTTTTTTACTATGTTTTTAAAGTGGGGAGAATTTTTAAAAATAACTTTCAATTGTGGGAAAAAATTCAAGCCATATTGTTAGATTTATGCTAAGTTTCTGTAGTAACCAATTAATTAAAATAAAAATGCTGGCATGAATACCTACCATTGACTTGCCCAGAGATCATTAAATAAGACTATTTTGAAGTTCATAATTTGTTTAACTGTACATCATAAATTACCAATACAGGTGCAATTTAAGAATGTGAAATAGTCACAAAATGATATTCTGAAGAGGCATTTATTTTTGACATTTAAATAAATATAAAAATAGTTCCAGGCAGGCATGATGGCTTATACCTGTAATCCTAGCACTCAAGAAGCTGAGGCAGAGGGATTGTTGTGAGTTCGAGACCAGCCTAGGCAACAAAGTGAACTCAAGCCCAGCTTGAACTGCATAGAGAGACCTTGTCTCAAAAAGACAAAAAAAAAAAAAAAAGTTCTGTGAAATAATTTTATTTTTCTCTGATTATATGACATTGCAGGCAAGTTAACAGTGAAACAAAAAATGTTACCTAATTCTAATACCTGTAGTCTATGCTCAGCTCTTGTAAAATACTGGCATAAATTCATATTTTACATTAATTATTTCTTACTTTTTCGTGGTTAACAACGGAGCAGTTGAAAGTTCATACCATAACCATGAAATATAAAAAGGAATACATACTAATTTCAAAATCATCAAATTAGACAATGTAATGAATAAGTCATAGAGTTTTCTTGATTAAAATCAGACAGATGCCAAACAAATCACAAGCAAACACCATGTTCAACAGGAAAATACATATACTAGAACTTTGTGGTTATATCCATTTGACTGGCACCAAACATTTCCAAATGTTTTTGAGTTTTATTTTATTCTTCTACTGTGTTAAATATTGGAAACAAATGAGCCCTCAGTCAAGATTTAAAATTCTTTTGGTTGCATTGAAATAGTATTGTTAAAATAAATGAAATGGGCATTTGTTTTGGCATTTAGAAAAGGATTTCCTTCTGAAAAAGCAAATTATTGTTTTATTTCTTAATATTTGACATTAACATCATTAACCATGAACACTATGAATTATTTTATCTCACAAGCCAGAATACAGATCACGATTATATTTAAAGCATTTCTTATGAGTTAACAAACTGTTTCTTCTCTTTCTTCAGGTTTATTATTTTCTCTTGTTAGTGTCTTTCATTCATTTAGACTCTTCTCCACACATTACATCAGTCTCTGCCTTTTGACTGGGATTCTACTCACAATTGCATCTGTCTTAAATCTTAAAGTATTTCTCATCCTCTTCCTCCCGTTTGCCACTGTCCCACTATTTTCTTTCATAAAAGAAGGCTTTTCAACTCTACAGGTTCTTCTGGGAGATGCTAAATAGAATCTAAGTTTTCCATAATCAACTAAATTCAGAAAAATGCCCAGTTACACTATGTTTAAATATTTTTAATTACAGGGAATCTTTCCTATGTCAATAGGCATCTCTCAAGAATTCAGAAATGCAATAAGATCCCAGAATACTTTGATTGCAAAAGTTTTCTCCCTTGAAGGAGTATCTATTAGGACTATCATTCTGTGAAACAAACACTTAGAAATAGAATGTCATCTTTAGTTCCTGTGGCTAGTACTATGTATTATTAGTATTAGTATTAGTATTATTCCAGTGCTTGCCTTCTGATTTGCTTTACAGTTCCAAGTGTTGTAGGTGCTATCAGGCCGCTTGACTCAAAAATAACATAGCGTCGGGGGCTGGAGGTTTAGCTAGGCGGCATAAGCGCCTGCCTTGCAAGCAGTCAGTCGTGAGTTCGATCCTGGGTACCGATAAAAAGGAAAAAGACAAAAAACAAAACAAAACAAAACATAGCGTCAATGTTATAAACATGTCACTGGTTTGAAAAGATGTGGAAGAACTGAAACAGAAAGACAAAAGTAAAATAACTAGATGGATCCATAAGGAAGGGCGCTCTTAGTAGGAGGCCCTGGTCCAGTGACATCTGCATCACGTGTGTTAGCAAAGCAAATACTCACCTGCACTCCAGACTTGCTCTGCAGTTACAGAAAGGTGATCTAGCAACTCATGTTTCAATCAATGCTCTGAGAGATTCTGATGGTATCAAACTTTGAGAATCCCTACACTAGAGCCCAAGGTATACTGCCTTATTGTAGTCATTAGAATATCAGAAACATTCAGTTATTTCTAATGTATTACGATTTTGAAAACCAAATATGATTCTGAAGGCTTGATATTAGGGAATTAGCGTGTGCAGCTCAAGGACTCAATGGTTATTATATCTCATTAAACAGAGAACAACTTGACAGGCAAGGCAAAGAAGAGGCATAGGGGTTACTTCAGCCTCATTCCCAGAGAAAAGGAAATGTGCCAGTTATAAAAGAAAACAATAGCCATTACCAAAATTATTTTTATCACCTGGGACTAAAAAATAGAGAGCAATATTCTGCACAATTTATAAGGTCTTAATCAATTTTAAGAAAAATGCAGAATATATTGACTTTCATCTTAAAATAGATACCACATATCTGAAGCTTATAATTCATTATCACAGTACGTGATTCAGATTGCAAAATTAACCACAATCTGCTTTTATTACCCAACTCACAGTCATAGCAAGCTATCATAGCACTTTTAGAGTGCCTGCCATGTGCCAGGCACTAGGTAAGAGGAATTAAATTTATGATCTCACTACATTCTCACAATCACCTGGGAAGTAGATGTGATTATTTACTGCTTCAAAGATGAGGAAGTTGAGAGTCAAAATAAATAAGGGGATGTTTTCTTAAGAACTGTTCACCTTTATTTAAAAATATAAATAATAATTTCTATATCTTTTATTCTCTCATCTTCCAGTTCTTTTCCTCCCTGAAAAATGCTAATTCAAAAGAGGTCTGCATTTTTTTAATGCCCTCTCCTTCTCAACTAATACAGATTTTTTATGTTTGAATTAAACATCTACTTTCTTTTAACTTTGATTCTAGATTTTGACTTTTAATTACTCAAAACTTACCTAGCTATGACTATTATTTATTTATGGTTGTTTAGCTCAACTCTGGTTTTCTCTCATTCCATCTTGACAGACCATTGCTCCACTTCCAGTATTAAATAAAGCTTGTATCTTAACACTGAATTTTTCTTTTTGCTTAACTGTATTTTGATGTATAACTATTCTGGCTCTGCTGGCTTCTATGTGATATATCAGGTATATCAACAACAAAAACAACCAAAAATACACTAAAATTTACCAGTAGCATAACTAAAAATAGATTATTCTAATAAATGGAAGTTTTTAGAATACTCTTGAAAAGTATTCTTCTTAGCATTCTTCAAGAGTTTTCTTTAGAATACTCTTGAAGATACTCTTTTTTTTTTTTTTTTTTTTTTTGTGTGTGTGTGTTTTTCAATTTATCGGTACCAGGGATTGAACTCACGACTGCCTGCTTGAAGGCAGGCGCTTATGCCGCTGAGCTAAATCCCCAGCCCCTCTTGAAGATACTCTTGAAGAGTATCTACAGTAAGTACTCAACTTTTCATGAAAGTACAGTTCTCAATAGACAGAAGCATTCAAAGGAATACTTCTTTGTTTAAGATGCTGATTTTGATCAGAAGCAACTTTTGTTTGCATTTACTGTGGCATAGATACATTTGTATTCTTTGAAATCTTTTTCCCCTTCCAGCATTTTCATTTCTGAAACCTAAATAAACCTTAAATAGAAATTACATAGAAATTACTGTGAGAAAACAATAATAAAAATTCCTTATCTTTTAATTTTCCCTAAATTATCAAGATGTTTAAGAAAAGGAAAAAAAGGAAAAGAAAATCTAGTTTGCAGTTTAGAATTAATCCTTCTTAGAAATCTTCTCAGAGAATTTTATCTGAAAATGATAGTAGAGGTATCATGTTTACTTTACCATAGAATCAGATCAAAGAATGAAGAATCATCATAGATAAAAAGAAATCCAATTATGAATATTTTGGCTTACTGCCTGGACAAGCATTTTCTTAAACATTTCTAAATTTTCCAAATTTTAGATTTAATCTCAGATCTATAGATAGTGAGATCTATTTTTAAATATAAGTAGAAGTCACCTGAACTACCCACAAGACATAACTGATCATTTCTTCTCTACTTATAATTCATGCATTTTTAAACTAATATGAACGTGAAAGACGTATTTACTTTTCACAGTATTACCACTAAATCATGCTCATTGGAACACTATGTTCTAGGGAAACAAAGAATTTCCCGTGTTACAGGCATCTGTGAATTGCACCTAAAAAAAATCTCAAAAATTAATCTGAAGATAAGTGAATTTTAAACTGAATGAATTCTCAATGATAATACCCTTGACACTTCCGGGTTGTTTTCATGTTCTCTAAGTTATGGAACAAAGTCATTCAGATTAGACAGGTATAGTTCACCATTCTGGGCTCTCCTCCACGCTATCACGCAAAGGGAAGTGGATGCATCCTTTATACATTCTAACTAGAACAATACGCCTTTTCCTCCTCTCTCCTCCTCTTTGTTGTACTCTTCCCTTTTTTGTCTCTCTTTTTCCCTTTTATTACCTTCCACTTCCTTCTATCTCTATCATTCCTTGATTCAGCCAGCCTTCTGGCAGTAACTGCATTTATTCTCGTTCCTTAGCTGTAGCAGGAATCACAGCATCCCCCTAGAAACACTGTGTTAGCTGCAAGCACATGCAAAGGGTCTGGAGCATCAAGGCAGTGTAGCCTCTCCTCCCCTTCCTGCCTCTCCTCTTCTGGATGACTCTTACATACTATTCTTTTTTCCTGCCCATTACACTGGGCCCAAAAGGACACTGCAACTATCCCTCACGTTCTTTACACTCAGGTACTGAGCTTAATTGCCAGTTTTGCAGTAGTGAATGAAACACACTTTGCTCTGGAATCTAAACTTTATAAGAACCATATGAGATGAAAACAAAATATCTATTAATTTTAATAGCCAATTGGATGATAGCACTTAAATTGTTTTAAAAATTTTATGAGTAATATTATTGTTTAATATGGGGTCTGTGGAGAATGAGATAGTTTCTTTTTATTTGGTAAGACTGTCCAAAGGAGCTTGAAAAATAATGTTGCTTGACATCCACAGCAAGCATAGATTTATATTCATCAACCAGAAATCTATCTTGTTTGTCTACTTGTAATTAGAATGATCTAATGTGAATGTTTAAGGTTCTCCTAAAGGAAAAACATCAGGAGGAAAAATACCACTAAAGAAATCACCTGTTGGGTCTACAGAAGTATCACCCACTCCAATAGCGCAGCCACCACCTAAGCCAGGATGTGAAGAATGGGTCTATGTGAGTGAACCGATACCAGAGGTATGTCAGTTAGAAATCAAACTAGTACAATTCACTGTTTCCTGTATTTATAGGAGGACTCATAGAAATTTTTTTGCAATACCCAGAAAGCCTTTATAGCTGGTAACATATATGCTCTCATCAAAAAGCTGAGATAGGCCCCAGACCACGGCTTAGTGGTAGAGCATTAGTCCAGTATGTGTGAAGCCTTGGTTTGAGCTCCAGCACCGCAAAGTGACTAAGAGACACACAAACAAACACAAACACTGATGTGCATTTTCTAGAGACTTCTCTGGCATACTTTGAACTAATGTTGAGTGATGCTGAGATCAGGAGAGCAAAAATGAATGATTTTTGTGAGGACCTATTTTCTCCCTGAGGACAAGAAGGGATGCAGTTTCCCAGGAATTCATTCCCAGAAATGAATGCCTTCTGCTGAAGACATATTCAACAAAAGCAGCACCCATCCATGTTCCTATGCCTGAATTAGCATGATTTTCATGGTATTTGACTTCTGATTTTTATTAGTGGGAGGATTTTTGAGTGGGGAAGCTCTAGCAAACTCAGACTTCTGCACTGAGCTACACCCCTGTTAATCACTAAATTACCTGAGCTAGGCTTGAACCTGGTATCGTCTTGCCTCAGGCTTCCAGACTGCTGGGATCAAAGGCATGTGCTCAACTCAAGAAGAAACCTTTGAAGGTAAACCAATAAAACTGCAGCCAGCTGTCCCACCTGAAACGGGTGTGCTAGACAAGGACACACCCTGAAGAATCCTATTGTTCTCTGACATCCAGCTGCAAAACCCAGTGGCTACCTAGGCATCTGGTTGTTGTAACAGCCAAATCATCTTAGGAATGTCATGAAAATTTTGTGCTTAGTGCAACCGTAACATCCACAAAGAGACTGGATTACACATCTTTAGTATTTGGCATTTCATGACTGGAGATGAACTACTAGGTTCACATGATTGGTTCCCTAAGTAAATGCATAGCTAGTAAGAGAATAATTACATAGCAAGTTTTATACTTAATGGTTTCTACACTTTAATTCACTTGTGTTATTTCTTTATTTTAATTGTTTATTTGCTTTACCTAAGATAATTTAAAAGAAATTTTCTAATTTTCATCATGCACACAGCAAAGATACAATGTCTATCAGAGAAATAACTCATCAACACCCTAAAATGAACACCAAGTTTTCCTCATATGAGACAGTTTTCCAGCTAAGGCAAAATATGATGGTTCAATTCGTTCTTTGGGGACCTATTAGGTCCCAGACAGTATGGTAATTATAGAAAAGACTATATAGTGGTAAACAAGACAGCCATGGCTTCTGGAGTTGTGGAATTAGTATACAGTCAAATACAGATGAAGTTATAATTAATATCATAAATATTATTTCAATAATAGGAGAAATAGTACAAAAGGAGAAACTCAGAGCATCTTAGAGTGATCCTGAAAACTTATTGGGTCAGAGAAGGTTCACTATAAGAAATTATTTCTGTACTAAGATTTGAAGAATTATTTGGAATTGGCATTAGCTGGGGGAGGAGATAAAGGAGGAAGAAGAAATTTCACAGGGATCCCTTTAAGCGGTATCAAACTGCCTTTGATCTTAGTAGTAGTTCACCTCCGACTCAGTTATTCAGAAACATTTTCATCTTTCAAAGACTTTTATGCTTTACCATTTAACAGGAAGTACGTGCATTTTTAATACCTTACTGGCAATTAATAGAGAATTCATACATAAACACCATCAAAACAGCCCTCAGGAATCTGAGAGAAGATCAGCACACCCTCCTCGCTTACCTATATGAAACTAGGTGAGTAAAGTCTTCTAAGTCAGAATGTTATAACTAGATATGACACACAGGAGCCATCTATCTCATTCTCATGTCTTGTAGAACAAGTTTCAAGCAGCTTCTAAAACAACCAGATTACAAGCAAGAATTTGTATCTCAATGGCAAGCTGATTTCAACTCTCTTCCTGAAGATCTGTGGAATGATGAGGCAACAAAGGCTGAGTTACACCAGAGATTGAATGTAAGGACATCTGTGACCTGCTGGGTCAGGGTCACCACACTTTGATACCTTGTCCTGTAAAACTCATTCCCTTCTTATGCTTACAAGTTGTTAGAACTCATAACGGTTTGAACTCATAATCAATTAACTTTCCAGAGCAGTGGCTCTCCCATACTTCTAGCTCAGAATGAGAACATGGCAGCTGCTTGGGTCAGTAGCACAATGAGCATTCTTGGCCTTTGCCTAATAGGTTCTTATAGCCCTTGTTGGTCCATGTGGTTGTACTCATTGCCTGAAGTGAATCACATGTCTATCTTAAACAAAGTTATGCAGATAGATAGCAGAAAGGATAAGGAAAATGAACAAAACTCAAAGGGTTGCCTCTAGGTAATAGATTCCTTGAATACAGGTACCAAGTCCTACATATTTTTGTACATCCAGCAAGCACAATGTGCAACAGTTAATAAGTAGATCTTTATAAACTCAGAAAAGAAAGACTTTACCCTGATTGATGCTTTGGACAAGGGCCTCTAATGCATGAGAAGCTTAATTTCAATGTCTTATATTACAATTGTCCTATGCTAAGTTATGAATTCACTTTAGATGCTGACCCAACAGAAAATGTTTACATTTGTCAGTGTGTTCATTTTCATGGATTTTTATCTGTGCAATCTTCTCAATCAATAGCCAGCAGTTTCTAAAATCCAATCCATCCAGATTTTTCATGAATATTAGTTATTCCTTAATTCTTGCCAAATAAAATGTGAACCCCCCAAAATATGTCTAGGTAAAGGTATAATAAACATTAATTGTTTAATTCTTTTTTACCCTTTGTAATATTACTTGTCCTTGAACTATTTCTATGAAATTAATGGAGAAATTCTGCTATTCTTATCTTTTGCATTTTACTGATTGGGAAACTGAGCCGCAGAAAGAATGTTAACTGCAAAAGTAGTCAGTCAAGCAGTGCAAAAGAAACACTACAAGCAAGTCTTCAGACTCCAGCTTTTGTAACTTATCCTTTGATGTATCCTCACCTGTGTTTTAAAAAGATATAAATATTTGCTAATCACAAGCTGGTATTCATTTAATATCCCACAGATCACTTACAGAAACACTGTGGAGATGTCAAGATCAGCTCCAGTATAATGGTGCATTGATCTAATAAAAATGACTTGTGATATTTTTAAGTGCAGCCTCCACACAGTTACAAGAGTGTTAAGGTAGAATTCCAACACAAAGTGTTTCATTAACATGGTGTCCCACAAGAAAAACTCACTCACTGTAGGCACTGGAATCAAATTACTTGGGTTCAAATTACTGTCACCACCCAGATCAAAATCATAGGTAAGTGACTTAACCTCTCTGTGCCTCAGTTGACTCCTTAGAAACCTCCCTCTGTAGTGAGCAGGAGATTATATGTAAAAAACAGTACACAGTCCCCCGTACATGCTGAACGTTCAGTGCATCAGTATTTTAAAAAACTTGAAATTTTAGACTATATAATCACTGAGATATTTTATTAAAAAACACTTTGTTGCTATGAATAAATATATAACAAGAGCTTTCACAAACTGAGGAATTATTGTGTGCTAACTACTTTCTTTATACATGCTAATTAATTTTGTATTATCATTTGAAAGGTATAGTATTATCTTAATTTTACAGGATAAAGTACCTGAAGTGTAACACAGTGGTGCGCATCACTCCAGATCAGTGGTTCATATCCTGTCTCTACCACTTACTCATTGTGAGACACGAGAATAGCAACTACTCTGTGACTCTGTTCCCTCATCTTCAAGATGAAGATATTAATACCGACCTGAAGTAGTTCTGAGGCATCAAGTAGGATGATGCAAATATAGTGATTTATGTGCTATAATCATCCCCTACAATTACTATTGTTATATTTATATGTAAATTATAAAATACACAAATAAACTATGTTACTATAAAATTATCTACCATATTATAAACATGCACATTATGCATTATAATGTTTATCATCTGTATTATTGCTTAGAATCTTGTATGTGGTAGAACTTGGATCTCCGAAAGGTATTTTTGCTATTAGATATTTTTATGCAAAGCTTATTTTTAGACCACCTCACTCAGACCTCTTGTTTTGGTAAATGGCATCTTCCATCTGTGGTATTTACTAGCAAGCTCCAGGCTCTTAGTTTAAATGCAGCTATGTATTTTTTTTTCTGTCAACAATACACCCCTCCCCACCAATTTCACTGAAAGGATTTTTTTAACCAAACAAATTTGTTGAGGAAAGACTTAAATTCATAAAATGTAGCCATCCATGAAAAATGTGCTTGAAGTGGATTTGTATTAGATAGGGACATTATTTGAGGGTAGAAGCAAACTAATTATTGGTTGTATAAGTTATTCTAATATATGAGCACATCAAGTCAATATTTGCTTTAGGCACATTTTTAACATGAGCAAAAGATTTTAGATGGATTAGCCTGAGGTGTCTGATCAGGGATTCTCCATTGTAACAGCACCATTTTCTTTTCTGTTCAGGATCTGCGCGACCGACTGTGGGACATCTGTGATGCCAGGAAGGAAAAGGCAGAGCAAGAGCGGCTTGATATCATTAACGAGAGCTGGTTTCAAGACTTTCTCGGAATAACAATGAACCACTTCTCTTCGCTAATGCAAGTAAGAGTGGCCAGTCACTGAGACATAGGTTTTTCTCTTTACAGCTGCATCCCTCATGAAGCAGTTCCTTTGGGAATGTTAGGGTTCTGTTTAAGGGTCATTTTATATAACACTACCTGGTATGTGTTCCGGCTTGCCAAGCAAATTAGCTCACAGAAATCATTTTGGTCCCAGACAAACACATACCAAACAGGGAGCATCCCAAACTGCTACTCACCAGCTCTGTTTGCAGGTGGCCTGGATATATGCAGAGGGACAGCAGTTACAGTGTCTGCAACTCAACTGTATACTTAGTTGATCTGTCAAAGCAGACACCTAGTGAGGCCAGCCCAACCCTTCACAATGGCCTAGAATAGACCCAGTGAGCATTTGATTTCTAAAAACAAAACATCTTCCAATATTAGTGGATTAAAAGACCCTAATTAACTTAAATTCACATCCTACTAAATAAAAATTGCACAATAGAAGATAAGAAATAAACATTACTTTTATTCTGATGTTACTGCCAGCAACAGAGAAGATGTCTTTGGCATCTAGTTTTGCCCAAATAGCACTAGGGAGCTTTGAGATTTGGAGTACGATAGAGTATGAGGAGTCATAGGGCATGCATTTAATACATTTAGTAGATCTCACTCAGAGGAAAAGAAAATACTTTTCTATCTTCATTACTGAACTTAGATTTTTACTTGGAGCAAGAGACCCACTGAAGATAGGATCCTACCTTCACACAGGCCAGAGACGCTTTCATTTCAAAGGATTTAAGACTAAAGAGTTGTAAAACTGATAACAAGTTTTTAAATAGATCTTTTGTAAATGGAGAGGGTAACAAGAAGTGGAGGAAGCAAGTGGGGAGGAAATATAAAAAGAATTAAGATGCAGCATGTGCATGTACCAAATACCCACAATGAAAGCAGTCAGTGTGTACTGCAAATATGGACTAATAAAATTAGAAGTAAAAAATTCACATCTCAAAAAGATATTTTTGCAATAATGTATTTTCTAAAGTTCTCTAAGTGTTCTAAGAGAAAGGTCAGGAGCCTAGCATCAACTAGAAACCTATGTAAAATTGAATCAAGCTGAAGTGAACAGCAAGGATATATAAAGGTGAAGCTATGCATACATGGCTATATTTTTCCTAAAAGAAAAACAATGAAGATGGAAAATGGAAAACACTTCTGATCTTCAGCTGATTAATTTGCAAAAGGAGTTACTTCAGGAAATGATAGTATTTATCTGACAAATGAGATACCATCTTTAAAATAAAATGAGGAAAAACTATATACATACAACTGGCGAGGTCATGGTTGACCAAGGTCACTGAAACTGTGACAAGTGAAGCCATGCTAAGGAAATTATTATATCAAGAAGGCTGCTCCTGCCTCTCAGGCTTGGCTGATTTCAGGCCTCCTGTGGTCCAGCGTAGGCACCAGGGGAGGTCTCTAGGAAGGCGAGAACTGCAAGCAATCATTGGTTACTTATTGAAAGGTATTTGCTAAACACCTTCTATGTAAAATCTCTAGAGATTGTCAGATAAAACAGATAGTGGGGAAGGAAAGGGAATATGAAAAGAATTAAGATGTGGCATATACATGTACCAAATATAATGGAAGTATTTTGTATTATAAATATAGACTAATGAAAATAAAATAGTCACATTTATTTTATCTGGCATATATTTTATCTGAGAGGCAGGATACATCTTGTTGATACAGTAGTTCCCTTATAATTTCATTTGTCAACCACGACCTTCCCATTTGTATATTCATATAGTTTTCCTTTCTTTTATTTTCAAGGTAGGATCTGATTTGGCTGGTTTCAAACTACCTCAGCAATTCTCTTATGTAGCTGAGACTGCAGACCCATAGCACTATGTCTTGTGGTCCAAAATTATTCAGTGGAAAATTCCAGAAATTAGCAATGCACAAAATTTAAATTGCACACTATTCTGTGGATCACGATAAACTCTCTTGCTGTTTTAATTTGCAATATCTTGATCTCCATCTCACCTGGGATGTGAATCGTGCCTGGCTGAGTCCACACACACTGTATATGTGTTATGGTTTAGTTTTAAATGTCCCATAAAGTTTCCTATTCAGAGTTGGAGTGTAGTTGGTTGAGGTGTGCCACTGCTGGTAGGTAACAAGTGTGTATTCTCCTCCCTGCTCCACCCTACTCTCTCTCTCTGCTTCTTTGCTGTCACATGTTCCCCTGCCATGTCTCTCCACCTCTCCATTTCTGCCTTGGAGTCCATTAATTGTACACTGATACACTGGCACTATGAGCCAAAATAAACCTCTCCTCCTTTAAGTTTTCAGTGTTGGGTATTTTGTCCCAGAGATGGGAAAGTGAAGCATTCACCAGCTGTCTCAGAATGTAATTTCTTAGGAAAAGGGAGAGTCCTGTGTTAGCTCTGCTGTGCTGGTGGGAGATTTAAAAAAGCCAAGTTAGCAGGATAAGGAAGACTTATCCAGGTATGTTGGGAATCTGGATTGGGAAGAGAGCATAAAATTCAAAAGTTCATAAAAAACAGAGGACAGCACCCACACACAAAGCATGGATGGTGTTTTAAAGTAAGATTCTCAAGCAGCATAAACCAGTCTGGTAACATTCTCAGGTTATCAGTTTGAACTAGCAGAAGTCAGGTGTTGGGAACAGGTATTTAAAAAGCTTATGCCAGAAATATCTGAAATTCAACACAGTAATAAAGATACAAAGAGCAGACCAGCTTTATAAATTATTCTTATGAGTACAAACCATATATGACTCTTTTAGAAATGGTTCGACTCTTACATTTCACCAGTATCTAGAGTTAGGGCTCTCATCCTCAGAAACTGAAGTAATATCCAACAACAACTAGAAGAAAATAAAAAGGAAAGAGCTATGAATAAAAGCTAACATATGTAAGGTTCTTAATGCATACATACCAGACACTAGTGTAAGGACTTCCAGATAGAACACGTTGAACTTTCTAATTTTTCCTATATGGGAATCCTGGATATAGTTTGGCAATGTCTTAATAACTTTCCTCACTTCTCAGACACAATACTTGAAGTCTACAACTTAAAGGAAGGGAGATTTATTTTGCCTCAATTTCAGAAGTCTTGATCTATGCATGGTGGCTATTTCTAAGACAGGTAGGGATGGTAGCAGGGCCTAGCAGAGGAGACCTGCTAACATCCGGAGACCAGGAAGCTAAGAGTAAAATGAAACAGGGATGACAATATATATTTTCATGTCATATTTCCAATAACCTGACTTTTCCTCTTATGCCCCACTATAGAACGCTTAGTGGTTAAAGTCACTGGTAGATGAATTCCTCAATGAATACACTTCCCCCATAATCTAATTACCTTCCAATAGACCTAAATCTGAGCTCACAAAGCTTTGAGGAGTCGTTCTCTATCTAAACCATAGCAAGCAGCTTATTCAAATTTAACTATGAAGTGAATCAAATTATGACTACATAAATTAATCTCTTATAAATTAATCACTATACTAAGGGAAACTTAAGGCAAAAATTCCAAACCAGCACAATCTCAAATACCAATTGTATAAAACAGACTCTACTAAACCTAATCATTAAAGAGTTCAGCTAAGCTAAGGAGGAAATAATTTCTTCATTCCTACATTTATTTAACAAATAATATCATGCGATGTATTAATGACTAATTATTTTTAAAACTCCCTCCACACTTTTCTGCAACTTTCCAAAGCTATTTGCCAATATCCAGTTTGTACAGATTGGGTTTTTATTTGCCTCTTTCCACTGTAATATGTTATGTGTCAGTTCTCATAAGTATAATTTTAAAGACTCATTTTCTTTCTGGAGTTTTAATGAAACTAAGCTTGACAAGTACATTTATTGTCAAACTATGACATTGTTCTATATTTGAATATTAAAAACTTAATTTGAGTTCTTTGTAGTGAAAAAGAAAAATGCTTAGTCTTCCTAGTCATTTCAAAATACTAGTTTGAAAAATTATTTAAACATATATTTATGTTCACAATCCAAGGAGACTAAAACATGTTCTGTAATCTAAAACACTATGTGAATGTTCTTTCTGGTTTATAAAACAAATTCAAATTAACAAAATTAAATGCTTCCTGTTTCAGCCACTTAGCTGGAAAAGTACAATAATGCAAAGGACAACCTCTCAGGAGTAATTTGGTGTATCTTTTTCTATATTACAAAGACGTTTATTGAACCAATGTGTTTTGTTGCCGACTGCAGTCTGAAGGCAGTCATTTATTTGTTCTCAGTAGTGAATATGATCGTGCAAGGTTATCTCTGATGATGTATCTGGCATTTGTAGTGGATCCCTTCATAAATGTCTTTTGGTCAGGTTCAATTAAAGGCTTTGAAGATGAGATCAGTTTTTTTTTCTTTTATGTAAACATATTTCTAGAAATAACTAGATATCATGGAATACATCTGCATAAAGGTTCAATAATTTATTCCTCAGATACTGATTTAAGCAGCCTCATCACGTAATCCAGTCTGGAGGCTGTGCTTTACACTACTGGAAAAAAACAAGGAGATCATACACTCTAGTATCGAGTGGAGAATGATTTGGAAATTTAGGGTCAGTGATTATAGTATTTTTATCTCCTGTGTGCAAAGTCTTCCAATGTATGTATTTCGGCATATACACACCACAGCAGAAATGACATGCACAGATAGGCAGTTGCCACATGCAAGCTATTAATGCTTATTTTTGTCACTGGTTCCTCTATGCTGCTCCATTTCCTTCAAGCTACTTAACTGGCAAATCCAGCACAGGTGTTTACTTGTAACCAATGGAAGAATTATACCACTATCTTATGTATTTTACAAGAGAGAAAGTGTAAAAAGGAAACTATTTACTATTGCTTTGTTATTGTGTTTTATGTCTCCACAACCAGGCTATATTGTCCTAGAGTATCAAAATCTAGTGTTGTTTATTTTTTGTATTTGTATTTCTACATATAGCGCTACTGATAACCCTAACATCAACTAACATGTTATCTATGACAAAGAAGACACTTCCGTGTTTCTTAATGTATCGGTTGATTAACTTTGAGACACAGAAAGAATTCCTAGCATCAAAATAATGGAGAATATGCACTACTTCAGGCATCATGTATATGTAATCTTTCTTCACAATATAAAAAGACAGAAATGTCACAATAAGTGGAATAATGTTCTGAGTAGAGAGCACAAAATCACTAGTTATCTTTCATTTTACAAAAGTTTATATATACAAATACAACCAATGCTTTTTCTTAACTTCCAGAAAATTAATTTCTACCTAAATGTTTTTAAAATGGTACTCAAAGAGTATTATATGGGAAATATCTATGGGTGAGTCTATTCTTTCTTGGGTATTAACAGTAACAATTGCTGTTAAAGGCAGAACTGAACCGTTTCCAGGATACAAAGAGATTCTTTCAAGATTATTATAGGGCAATGGAATGCAAAAACCCTACAGAAGATAATAAGAAATTTACTCGAATCACATTGGTTCAACTGGATGCTAAAGATGTTTCAGAAAGCCAGATTAGGTAAGAAAAGTATCATGCTACACAGAATCATTTTAAACATAAAGCTTTGTGATATCAAGTTATTGTTACTAATAGAAATATCACACTCCTTTTCTTGAAAATTCAGAAGCTCAGATAAGCTCTAAAACCTGAACTATTTTTGTGACTTCAGTGTATCGTTGACTTAAGATTACTAATACGAATTGTTTATATTGAATATTTACTTCTTTTGCTGTAGTAGTAGACTGTGGTCATTATGAAGTATCTTCAATCTTTGCTGTGGGGATTAGGGAATATACAATACATAAAAATTCTCCCATACATTTAGCTCCAATAATCTTTGGTAAGGTTTTATGAACTTGCAGCACTTTTATGAAAGGAATCAAGTAGAGTGTGTGTGTGTGTGTGTGTGTCTGTCTGTCTGTGTTTATCACATCATGTAAATGAAAGTCAAAATATTTATGTGTCTTTTTAGGACACTAAAAAGCAGTAAAATCTCAATCATAAGTGATTAAGACCCCATGAGACTGAAAGATTTATTAATATCCTAAAATTAGATTCCTGCAAGTAGGGAAGTGAAGTTGATGGTGGGATAGATCTTAACTTATATTTTCAGCCAAAAAAATTCTATACAATACAGAAGTTTTTTTAATAATTATTTCGATAGACCTGGTGGGTAGGAGGCAAAGGAAGAGCAGGATTGCAAATTCTGAGACGCTACAAACAGATAAAAACTGTCATCAAGAAATAGAAGTTAGTAATGGTGATAATTATTATTACGTGTTTTCAGCCCTAAAGCACTAAGAGATTTTTTAAACTTATTTTTACAAATATTAAAGCAATTAAAAGGGAGATTTCTAAATCCTTAAGAAGTAAATTAATCAACTAAAAAGAAATTGATAAAATTGCTGGGGATTTAGCTCAGGGCATAAGCACCTCCCTGGCAAGTGTGAGTTGTGAGTTTGATCCCCAGTACAAAAAGAGAGAGAGAGAGAGAGAGAGAGAGAGAGAGAGAGAGAGAGAGACAAGAAAAAGAAGAATTAAACTCTCAAATTTTTTCGTGTTCAATAGGCAGACCATGTAAAAGAAAAACTAAATTTTACTTATCAAAATAGAAAGTACAGATGTTTTCACAACAATACACAAGTATGAAATGTTAATTTTAAATTCCAAGAAGATGAACTGTACAATTTGCATTCATTTTTTTGTACTTTTTACAAGCTTTCTCAGTTAATACAAGTGAGAGAGTTTACTTGCACAAACAAAACATAGGATATTGAATATATAGGATATTGAATATAATTTGAACTTGCCCCTGGTTTGAATTCTGGATCTGTCACTTACTAACTATATATAAATAAATTAAGACAATTTCCTTTTCTGGCCAAGCCACAACTCTAAGCCTCAGTTTTCTTCTCTGTAAAGTAAGGTTGTTGTAAAGATTACATAAAGTAAAATCTACAAACCGTTTGGAACTGTGTGGAACTCAGAATGCTTGAGATTTAGTTACAAGGACTCTCAATGGTGACTATTTAATTGCATAATATCCATTAAACTATTTTTCCTATATGTGATTTTTTAGTTGTGTTGCTTTTATTTGCTTTATTTTACCCTACCTTGTTCCAAAAAGAGATTTGATGTTAATTGAATACAATTAATACTATGCAATAAGCAAAGGTCTATTTGCTCTCTTTCTATACTTCTACATAAGGCCATCTTAACTGTACTAGGCTCCTGTGTGTGTAAAAGCACACAAAAGGAAAAGTGTATATACTTTGCTTGACTAAAAATTCAAGGGAAATGTTTGGCAAGCTACTGAATAAGAACTTTGAAATTAAAAAACAACAAAAAATTCCAAGGGCAATATGAACCATCAGCATCACCAAAAGCAGCCAAGTTTCAATGGTTAGAATGGCAGTGCATTCTGTTCTTAGCACAAAATAGCAAGTCAGAGGGAAATTATTAATGTTGGTTGGTAGAATAAAACTGCAGAGAACAACCAGTTCTTATTTTCTGCAAAACTCTGTACCAATCTCAACCTCAAATCACTGCTATGGCTATCTGCTGGAACTATCAGTTATTCGCTGCATCGACCAATCAGCTCACCAGCCAATTAACCACAGTCTCTGAAACACATGTAGAGAAACAAGTACAGTGTTTGGCATTTTTACACACCATTTCTACTTTATTCCTTCCACTGTCCTATAACAACAGTAGTACTATAGTAACATTATATAAAATAGCTGTTAATTGATAATGAATAATCATAGTAATCATAGTATATTTGTATTATCCAAGAAAGACTGAGCCTCAGAAAGTCAAGTGCTATGTCCGGGTCTACTAACAATGGAAGAAATAAATAAAACAGTTTCTTTTTCTAGTAAAGGAATCATAAACTCAGGTTCTTTTTCTCCAAGATATGCCAGTGCTGTTGTTTTGCAAATGAAGATGAGAAATAAATGTGGTATTTTATTAAATATATAGAGACGTTCACACAGGCTTACCATGTTTGAACTAATTTAACATTATTTGATTTAACAGTATTTGATTACTAAAATGTAATTAAATATGTGAGTAGATAAACAGTGGATTCTCAACACACTGACTTTATAGTCTTGGTAAGCTGTTAGAATTTCAAGCCCCTTAAAGAGCCAGAATGCCAAATTTAAACATTGTCTAATACTTCAAAACAATACCAAGTTAGCTCTTTGTTGGAGTGTGTATCTGTCTTTCCAAATCACTGTTGTCTCCTCCAGCAACTTGAAACCAGAAAACCAGTACTGCAACTGTAACTGACCCTGATTCTCATTTCAACACAGGCATCCTTGGAAGTACTTGCTTTATTCCTTCTCTAAACTGAGAGTTTTATAATTTCGGTCACCAAAGAACATTTCCAATCACAGAAACAGTCTACCTTGTACAGCTCTCTCTGTCTCACTTAACCTTTGAGATTCTGGGATCCTTAAGGGTGGTGTATTCTCAAGGATAGCTCTAAAATTTCTACATAAAAGCAGCAATGTGGTTAAAGGCAGAAGGAGGGCTTAACTCTGTGTTGCTACAGAACTTGACAAAACAAAGAGAAAACCTCCACCATCCATATTCTAAAGAGGAGAGAGCTGCTGGAACTCTACCCCACCCACCACCAAAACCTGGCTGCCTGTTCACCTTAGCCCCCTTCAGTCCCCACTTGTGTCATCTTAGCCTATTCAACACCTGCTTTCGGATGTCAAATGATACTAGTCAGTTTAAGTCCATGAGCTTATACCACATCAGAGGACTATGCCCAGAGAAACATCAGTGGTGTATTTTCTTCGTAATCACTGTTGTTTAATCTTCCTCTTTATAATCTCTGAAAATTAAATCTGAAAATGATGTCCTACTATTTGTGAGTTTTATCATTAAAAGTCTAGGTCACAGAGATTTGAATACAGCGTTTTGTAATCTTTTTGTCCCTTTAAAGAATTCTTCCAGGAAAACTTTGAAATTGGGCATTAGAACAAGACAACAAAATTCACAAAGTAGCATGTTCACAAAAATAGAATTCTGTTAAATAAAATCTATGTCTTTTGTTTGATTGTTAGTTTTGTTTTTCAAAGATTTCCTTCAGGTCCTCGAATGTCCATTACTCCAGAGACAGCTACGCCCAGACCAAAAGTAAGAGCAATACTGAGAAACAAGACAGATTATGCGCTAGAAAGCATAGTGTTAAACTTTGAGGCAAACGAGAAGTTGATCATGGACACCTGGCAGCAGGCTTCTTTAGCAATATCTCACATGGTAAGCAGTGCTTATTCTTATATCTCCTTTCAGTTTACCCGCTCATTAAGTATCAAGATTGGTAGTGCACTGTAAGCCGAAAGTTATATGATATTCTCGGGCCTTCTATAAACGTACATCTTCAAGAAGTAGCTCCACCCTCCAACAAAGAGGAAGTAAAACAATCTGGGTAGTAAATACTTGAAAGCTGCAAGTACTGGGGCCTAGAGGAAAATATTAACGAAACTGATGAAATATGAGACAATAGGAAGGGTGGGATTGTGGCTAGGTAAGAGTCACACCGTTGTCAAATCTCACAGCATATAACCACAGTTTCTGAGTAGGTCTCAAGGTCCCCTTGGTTTCTCTGTCTCTTTGGATGATCTCTTTACACATCATCATTGAGTTCTTTTTTTCTTCTTCTTTTCCCTTAGAAGTACAATGATCATAACTGCTCTTGTTTTCTTGCTTTCTGTACAAAAAAAAAAAAACTTGTCTTTCTTTTTTTTTTTTTTTTTTTGATCCTGAGGGTCGGACTCACGACCTTGTACTTGCCAGGCAAGCGCTTTTGTCGCTAAGCTAAATCCCCAGCTCAAAAAATATTTTAATATAGATTTTGACGCAATAAGGAAAATGTATGAAATAGTATTGCCTGGTTTCATGGACTCACTTAATGACTCACAGTGTCAAGGAGTAGAATAAAGTCTTGTCCTTCTTATTCCTTCTTGTGTTCTTTCTGATCTTTAACCTCCTTGTCCCTGAGATTCTTATTACCCAAGTCTGTATCTCTAAACACTGAAATGTAGCTTTCCCTGCTTTTGAGCTTTGAATGAACACAATTTTGCCTTGTCTTTTTTTTGTGTCTTCTTTTGTGGAACATTGTCGATGAGATCCATTTCATGTTGTTGAGTGTAGAAATATCTGTTCATTTTTGGCAGTGTGCAGTGTTTCATTAAATGAATTCCCCACAGTTTATTTACTGGGCTGCTCCTGCTACACCTTTGAGTTTCTAGTTTGATGCCATTCTGGACATTGCGCTGTTTATATATAAAACATATGATTTACCTTACTATTTATTGTGTATTTATACTTTGAAATGTGGTAAGTGAATAATTATATATACTATTACTTACAGTTTCATCCTCATTTGTTTTCTACTTTTTTAAATTATTAAGAGTTGTGATAAATTCATCCATTATTGAGATAAATAAATTTCTCTCTGAAGTTTTATCAATTTTTGCATATTTTAGGCAGTAGAAATGAGTATACACAAATTTTAAATTATTGAAGCTTTCTGGTAAATTGAATATTTTGTCATGTTATAATCTTTAACTGTAATCTTCTTTTGTAAGTTAAAGTTTGAAATATTTACAGATTCTAGTTTTTATAACTTCACTTTCAACCTTTCTATATCTTCTACCTCTTGCTTTTTCTTTCACCTTTTAAAGTTTGAAAGTAAAATATCCTGTTACTCTTACTGGTCATGCTAGGAATTAACCATGAATTATTAACTCATGAAAGCCTACTATTTTGTCAGTAACTTATGGTGTTATTTCTATGATATCTACTAAGTGAAGTACTTAATGTTATTTCCAGTTTAACATGGAATAATTTAAATTATAATTTAAAATATTCAATACAAGAGAACAAAGGAGGATAATAAAAAGATTTAGGACAAACATTATAGGAAGAAAGAATATAGTGCAATAATAGAGTTACATTCCAAATATATCTACAATTATATTAATTTCAAAAGAGCAAAACTATCTAAGTATAAAAATTATTATTAGATTTTAAAAGGCACATATGATGCTTGTAAGGATACAAAAATAATGTCTCTTTATTGACCCCAAAAAAGAATGATCCAGTGTTATTATTTCCCATGGCCATGGTAGAATCCCACACTCTTCACCTAGCATCCTAATGTTCAGCCTTCTATATCCTGGCCAGTACCAACCTATCAAAAGCATTTTTTAAGTGACTGGGTAGTGGATACCTCATTTTCCCAGGGGCATTACCAATTTTAGTGTCATGGTTCCTCCTCCTACATCATCAGACCTGGTTTCTGCCCAGATTTCTGACCAGTTGTTTGCTTATTTCCTGAACCCCAGTTTCCTGTGATTGAAAGTGTTTCCTATCCACATATGATTATTATCTATTCAACTCAATTAAGTCTTACTATCCAGGCAAGTTTTGTAATTTTAATCTTGGTATTTGTTGTCCCAAATACTTAATAGATTCTAAAACTTTTCAGGTACCCTATCCTAGCATAATGCTCACATACAATATGATGCTAGTCTTGAGGTACTGTTACTTCTGTATTCATAATGCTGATGTCAGTATTGATGATGGTCATGACAATAATGATCACCACAAAGACAACAAATACCAAGCACCAGAGAGTGGGAAACCAGATTTAGAAACTATAGGGAAAAAGTGAATTATTCACATTGTTAATTGAGCTATATAAATATAATTTACAAATTTTATGCATTACATTAAAATTGCCTAGAGAAGTGACATTTTAAAATAGTATGCTTTTAGAAAGGGAAGCTCAGAAGCACAAAGAGCATTAGATATATCTCAATTAAGCTATGTGATTTTATGAAAATCCTTTATCGCTCTAGATCTTCAACCCATTCTCTTGTAGCACGGTAGATACTCTTGAGGGTTGAAAAGATCCAATGAAATAATGTATAGGAAAATGTTTTAGAAACCACAAACACAATACATCATGTTGTCAAAAATTTATTTAAAATTACAGCTTTTTTTTTTTTTTTTTTTTTTTGTACCAGGGATCAAACTTGTGATTGCTAAGCAGGCATTTGTGCTGCTGAGCTAAACACCCAGCCTATATAGCATTTTCTTTTAGGGCTTCAATAAAACCTTATTTTAAGAAGATTTGATTAGCAATTAATGTTACCAACAATTGTATATGAGCCCTTATGAACTCAAATGAATTATATGCTTTGAACAGACTTCATGATTTTGATGTCACATGATCCAAAACAGACAAAAAGAAAGGCACTCAGTTTTAGCATCCAGAACCCTAAATGCTTAAACTTCTCCTTTGTAGGAAACAAACATTTACGGGAACTTTGGGTTCCAAATGGGACAGGTGTGATTTAGTAAACGGATGTGGGGAATACAGTACCTGCTGAGATTACTGCAATTAAAGTGAGAGCACATCGAAGTAGGCTTTTCTACACAACAATTATACCAAGAGCTATTCATTTAGTATGCTGTGTTAATTTCTAGCAAAACTTTCTTCTAATTAGTAGGTAAGCATTGATTTCAAAGGAATCATATTTAACACCCACAATGTCAAAGAATTATGTTAAACTTCTCTCCAGTCTTACAAGCTAGATTGCTGAATATATTCAAATTATGTTAATTTTTGAAAAAGACTCAGAGTTCTTAAAGGAAAATGGACCATAAAAAGCAAATTGTGATAATGATTATCATCATAATCATTGTCATCATCCTCATCATCATCATCACAAGATTTTTTACCAAGGGGAAAACGCAATTTTCCCTGGAAATTGTTAGCTTACGGTGCTTTGCAAGAACAGATTCAAAAATGAATTACTTGCAATTTAGGGGGGAATGTTAACAAGCTTGTTTTCAGCTTTACCAAGAACTTGAAAGCACAGTAGGGTATATAACATGAAATCCATTTTTATCAAAAAAGCATCTGTGAACATAAAACAAAAAACCTGAAACAAAAAACTGGCTTGCTTTTTAAAACCTTAATGGATTTCTCCAATTCACTGTTGTTTTGAAGAAGCTATGGGTTTGCCTGTATAATCTGATTATTTTAGAGAAACTTTATCAGTTAGTAAATATTTTCTGGGCATTTGCCCCAAGATACTGAGAACTAAAAAACAGGAATGGGGATATCTCTAGGAAGCATGAAACCCTTTGGGAAGGTAGGGCGAGATTTGCATATGGAACAGTTGGGGACAATTACATGCTGAGCCATGGGGTCTCAAGTATGGTAGCAATTTGGAAAGGTTAAAACCCAACTGTTGTATCTCATTCACAGGACTGTAAGAGTCTCTGAGGGTAGATATTTCTGTTCGTCTTTCTGTTAATCTTCATTACTCTTTCTTATTTATCCTTCCTTTCCCTCATTCCATTTTGCCCACAAACAATACTAGACTTGGACCAACGGAACATGTAAATAAGTAAATAAGACATCATTAACCACCCCCCCATTTTCTTACCAGTTATTTTATTGAAATTTTAAACTTCAGAAACTTTTCAATCATATATTGTTACTGCTTCCATACTGCATATGGATTCTGTTTCTTCTCTTGGGACTCTTTTCTTAGCCCTCATAAAGAGCCTTCACTTCCCCAACAGGCCCAGTATTTAAGACAACAGTGACTCCAGTGTAAAGTTTAATTTACAGTAGTAAATGTATATATTCATGTCATACAATGGGATATTTTCATGTTTATAAATACTGTGAAATGATTAAATCCAGCTAGTAACATATCATATTTTTCAGTGAAAACATTTAAAATCAACTCTTCTAGCAATTTCGGAAGTACAGCAATATGATATGGTCACCATGCTATATAACAGATCACCAGAACACAGGCCTCTCATCTAACTGAAGCTTTCTGCTCTAGCTAACATCTTCTTTTCCCCCATCTCACTCTTTCTCCCCACTTCAGTCTCTGGTAAAACCACCATTCTGCCCTCTACTTTTATGAGTACAAATATTTTAGGTAACAGTAGATGAGAGCATGTACTATTTTTCATTCTGCATCTGGCTACAAGACAGTTTCAACCTTGTAGTCCTGAGATGAGGGTTTCTGTAGCCTGATGAGCAGAGCCAGCCTAAGGGAAGGAGTGAAGGGAAGCTTTTGAGTGGGTGGCTAACATTCTCTTAATCAAGGCATTAATGAGAGTGAGAGTAGGAACTTCCTGAAATGGAGAGAATCTGAAAGTCAGCCAACTACAGGAATCTATAGGCTAGGAAGTTAGCTGTGAGACAGGCCATCTTTATGACTGAGTCTTCTAGGATTGTATCTGGTGTTAGAGTAGAATAAAATAGGATTCAAGTGTTCGTGAACCAATTAAAATGGGTCATGTAAACTTTAAGATTAGAGGGTCATGCAAAGTTATCATTTTATGCATAACATACCCAGTGCTTAAACATATCTAGCTTTGCAATATTAGAATTCCACTAGAGGAAATTCAATTAGGAAAAAAAAACATAAAACAAATCTCCATCAGGGGTCAGTTGTTAAAAACATTAAAAACCACTTATGCAGGAAATTCTTCCACAGGAGACAAAGAGATACAGGAATTTAGAAGAGCAGCAAGGGTTAAATTCAGAGTCTGACACTAAAAACAGAGGAATTTTGACATAATCATGGAACTGTCATTCTCTGGATGTGGCAATAAGAACACATAAGAATGATTTTCAGGCTGGACTTGAGAAAGTGGAAACTTCCTTTCAGATGCTGCAGAAGAGCAACATCAGTGTGCGCTGCCAAGACTGAGCTCAAAGGCAGGGTTGTTTGTAGCACTCTGAGGCTTTAGTGGAATCTAGTGATGACAAAATCCAATAGTTACTGTATTTCATGAATGTATAATGATCAAATTATTGTTATTATACAACTAGGTGGCTGCTGAAATTCATCAGAGGCAGGTGGAAGACGAAAAGGAAAACCAGCCAGCAGACTCAAAAGAAAAGATTCCTCAGATGGGTGGGAATAAAAAGGTCAAGAAGGAAAAGGAGCCACCTAAGAAAAAAAAGGCAGATAAGAAAGCAAAAGGTATTTGTGGTGTTATCCCTCAGACCTGGATGGTTCAATCTCTCCCGAACAGAAAGCAAACATTTCACCAGGTGCCTTAGCGTCTAATACTGGCTATTTTGTTTAAACTAGAGATCTAGATTCTATAAGCTGTAGGGTTAGTTGGTAAATCACATCATATATCCATCCTACCTAATGTCTTTATCTAAATACCGGCCATTCAGAGTGAGATGAATCGCACAGGCAATTTTAAACCTACTAAAAGAGGATCCAAGATGGCATCATGAATTCCAAAGAGTCTGCCAAAGGGGTTGGCAGTTGCTGCAACAAGAAGTGTAAATGCTCTGTGTATATCAGAGCTGTGTTTGAATTGAAACAAGTTCCTCTGTTCCAGAACCCTCCTACCTAAATCTTTGCCTCAGAGACATGAGGGGAAGCAAAGAGGAAAGAAAACCCAGGCTGGGAGAAACTTCCAATTAATCATAGGACTAGCATTCTATTCCTAATAGTACAAACATTATCCACCCCTTTGAATATTTCTACTTGTATATTTTTTAAGTAATCAAGACAAGAAAGGTAAGATGAGAATACATGAAGTCACTCTGCTTATTGATTGCTATCATATATTTATTGGGAATCTACTATGTAAAACAGTTTATGATGGTGTCAAGGACACAACAGTGAATTAAAAACAAAAGCAAGAATCTTAAATAACTGTAGCCTAACAGCAGACACAGACATTTGAAAATAATTAACTTTAATAGGTGAGGTCAAGTACTTAGAAGACAAGGTCCACTCATTCTATCTGAGAGGACAAGGGTACTTACAGGATGGACTACACTTAAGCTAGCATGATAGCAGTCAGAGGAAATCACCAAGTACGGGGAGAGTGTGGTTACTCACTATAAGCAAAGGTAAAGGTGACACCTCAGTGTAGAATAAACCCTCTAGTCCATCTTATATGATCAACAAATAAAAGATACATGCAGCATCTGAAGAAAATTCTTTTTAGTAAAATAAGAAATTGAGTCCAATATTGTAATTAGACATAATAAAAAGAAATACATTGAGGTTAATCTTGCTTTCATTTGTAATCTATATATTCTAAAAATTCCACACATGCAACCTACTATTACAGTAGAATTATCTTACTACAAATTTTGTCTTTATGTTTAAGTCTTCTCCACAAGATTTGAACACCTTGTGGTCAGATTCTGAAGAAAGATTCATTAGGATTATGTAAGTTGAGCCTGTAGTTAGAATCACACTACCACCTCCAGTAAATGAAGCCACAGACAAATACCAATATATTTTCATTTTTGAATTCTCGTATGCAATTATTGAAATTCACATAGTTACATACTAATTAGTAGGTACATAAATAGGTTACAGAACCTTGCATGTCAGTCATGTGTTCTTGAGATCACCCTCTTGTCTTGAATAAAGACTTGGGAAACTAACACAAGAGTCCTCATGGAATATAGCACTTCTGTAGGTGGCTCATGTTATGAGAGTATGTGGGTATTTGCTAATTTCTGGGCCAGTAATCTGGATTTTACCAACGTTGGATTCTCTGCACTTGATACACACTTTTTTTATGATGCTTTACAAAGTGGGGTGTTTCTAGAAGTTCTCAGAAACCACAAGGAAAATTATTCAGGAAGGACTATCAGCATTTTCATCACTCACACTTGGTCACCCTGAGAAGAACAAGGTTTCTTGTTTCTAAACCATTAGAGGTTTACAAATTTATCTTTGTGCTCGATTTGTCCAGGCACTGTATGCATACACTCCTATGTTGACTCTTACTTGGTGTGTTACACTACTCTTTCAGATAAGTCACCACCCACAGCAGAAGCCACTGTGACAGTGACAGCAGAGGAAATGGCTGAAATGGAGAGGAAAAATGAATTGAGACTCAAAATAAAGGAAGAACATATTGCTGCCCTGCAATTTGAAGGTACCAGTGGAAAGCAACTAAGATGATGCTTTTTAGTAGAAAGTAGACCAGTGCCAAACAGCCCATGGCAGTCTCGTAAGTTACCTTAGAATGGTGTATGAGAGTACAAAATCAATCAGACTGAAATGACAACATTCAGGTAGTTGTTTTCATTTGGTCATAGGACAAGCAGATTTTGCTGCTTGTTATGTGAGTCACATATTTTTGCTACAGTCTTAATAGTCTGCAGGATCTCAGAAAGAGATGAAAAGAACTTGGTATGGGTTTAGAAGAGCACATAACTAGACTAATTAAAACCTCAAATAGAAACAAAAATACATATGAAAACTGGGTGATTTTACAGAACTAGATGGGAGACATCTAAAAGTAAGTGGTTTTATGTAACAATGATAATAATAATTTTCCTCTCATTAGGAAAATAATCCCTAATCAAATGCTAACAGACCTGAAAGTGAATTATTGGGAGCAGAGACTATAAAAGAGCTTACTAAGTATCTTCAATAGTTGAGGGCTTTCTTTTGTTCTGTTGACAGCAAAAACTCTACAAGACATACTGTTTTGTGGACTGCATTAATGTGTTATATAGCAATTGAAATTTGAAATATTAGAAAGCTAAGAAAAATAAGGAAAGGAACCATGATCAATATAGTAGGTGACAAAATCCTAAAAAATGCATCACCTTTAGTGACTCAGGAATCATTATCTATTTAGAATACTTTTTAGTTCTTGCTTCTCTCCTTTTCTTTGTCAATTTCAATACCCATCCTACTGCCTGCTTCCCTAACCAGGAATAAAACAAGAAGTACACTGAACACAGGGAGGCCGAGGCTATGAAGAGAGTCAGAAGGCATGCGCATGTTTCTCTTCCTGATTCCAAAGGTGTCCATTAGGTTTCATCTTTCAGTTTATTCAGTACAGGATTTCCAGTGTGGTAAAATTCATTCATTCATATAATAAGAGCTTATTGAGTTTCACCCTACACAAATTGTGTGATGGTTGCTAAAGACATACATCTGTGCACAACTGTAAAACAAAACATAAAATCCAGAGGAAGACAGATGCAAGTCCTGAAATCATTTACAGTATTCTGTGATGCTATAGATAGGAGTACAGAACAGGCAGGAAGATGTCAAGAAATACTCTCAGGAAGAACTAAGAATATGGGTAGATCTGACCAGAGGACAAACTAGAGTGGGGATGGAGAAGAGAATCTTGTGCTAAGGGAGCATATAAAGAGTGTGCTGGTGACCTGCGGTGCATAGGTGAGGGTATGAGCTCCTCAGACTGCAGGAAAGTGTGAAGCCAGACCTTGGAGATCAAATATGCCCTGCCAACAAAATTAAATTTTCCCTATTGCACCTAAGAGCTGATGGAAAAATGTAGGCAGAAAAAGAATGATACGATCACATCTGCAGACAAAACAGAATATTCAGAGTACCCTGGATAGTTTGAGGTGGATTGGAATTGTGAGAAAAGGACAATAGAAAAAGCAGAGCTGAAATTATTGCAATCATTTCAGTGATAGATAAGCAGCACCCAAACTAGATTAGTGAATGGACAAACCCAAGAAAGGTGGGAAATATTTTGGAAGTAAAATCCAGACCTTGCAATGTGCCTGCAACAGCAACAGGCCCAAGAAAATATATGTTTTTTCATAATTTGAACATTGATGAAAAATGTAATGTCACTGCCACCCCAAGGTTCAAAAGTAGAGAAGCATTAGCAAGAGCCTTTGTCCCCACACTTTCTAAAATTTATAAATCATATATGTGTATTCCCTACTCCATTTAGAGAAGAGCATGTTGCTATAAAGTACAATAAATGTGAAATTCAAGTATACTTTTGATTTCAATAACTTCAAAAAGGACTCCAGCACACATTACATTTTGCTTCTTAGAATGGATATTACCTTATCTGCATTGCTATAGTTAAGTGTGCCTGTAACATCACAAACCAAAGCAAGATTTGCTTAAAAGTGAATTCAGTTGATTAGAAAATGCATGAAAAATACTTACTTTTCTTTTTAAATAGAGAAAGCTACACAGTTTCGACTTGAACTGATAAAAGCAAAAGCAATGACCGCCCTTGAAGATGCAGTAACCCAGGTGATCGATGTCTATAAATTTATGGAAAAGTGGCTTGGTGAGAGGTATTTGAATGAGATGGCCAGGTAAAGTATTACACGTCTTTTAAAAAACACATTTTGTTAGCTTCTAAGTGCCAAAATAGGCAAAGATTTTTGAAGTGTTTATAAATTTTAAATATCTTTACAAATTTAAATTTGACCTTGGAGGAAATCATATTTATAAATATGTGAAGTCAGTTTTACAATTGCATTTATATTGCCTCTTTGTAAGCAGTGAAGTGTGTATGAATGAGTTCCCTTACAGTACTCAATTTTGTGTATTATTTATGTGTCCAATTTTCACATTACTTAATGGGAACTTTAGTGTGCAAGGTAAGATTATAGACCTCTTTAGAGTATTTTTAAGAAGTAAGATTATGTTCCATATCTTTCCAGTGCCAGACTTATTATCAGTAAGAGCAAATTCATGAGAGATTAAAAATCAGTCATTGGAATAGTTTGCTAGCTAGGCTGATTTCAAGGGCCTCACAGATTCTCATTGCTAGTGAAGGACAGTCACTTTCTCCTCTTTTTTTTATTTAAGATTAAAAAAACACAGAAAAGCAATACAGACAAACAAACACAATAATAGTATTATAAGTTTACAAAGCAAGATAATAGGATTTGACAATGATTATAATATTGTATATTGTTACCTTCAAGAGGGTTGCTTAAATTAACAGATATAGATGTGTAAAATTAATCTAAACATATGAATATTAACTGTTCTTTTCCAGTAACTAATACAATTAGTAGTATACTCAGTTTAGCTATCATATATATTTGTAAATTTATGTCTTTTTCCTTTTCTTTCCCTACTTCCCCTTATTCTAAAAATACTTTTCCTCTTTGAACAGATTCTTACCCTTACACAATATTCATTGTATATTTTGGGAGATACATAATTTTGCAGTTTCTTACACTAGGGAAACAATATGGTAATTACACATGTGAATTTGATTTATTTTTCTTATGAGTAGAGTCTCAAGTTGCATCCATTTACTCATAAAAGTCTCAATGCAATCTTTCTTTATAGCTGAGTACTATTCCATTGTATAAAAATACCACTTTTTTTTTTAATATCCATTCCTTGATCAATAGGCACTTGGGCTGTTTCCAAGATCTGGCTATTACGAATTGTGCTGCCATAAACATGGGTGCACATATATCACTGTGGTATGATATTTTTAATTCTTCTGGGAAAATGAGAAGTGGAATAGCTGGGTCAAACGGAACCTCTAATCCTAGCTTTCTGAGGAATTTCCACACTGGTTTCCACAGAGGTTGTACCAGTCTCACTGCCACCAACAGTGTAGAAGGGTTCCGTAGGACAGTCAGTTTCATGCTTTTCTAGCCTACTAGAAATAATCAGCTCAGCAGACTGGAAATGCTCTTATTTGAGAAGAGGATTCCGATTGTGTAGGACACCAGGAGTCTCACATTACCACAAATTACTGGCATACCTAATTGTTTTGGGCTTCGTCAAAACAATTTGAGCTTAGTAATTCAGAAATTACCAAGCAAGTAGGATACAAATGGCACATCTTCTCAGAAACAGCAACTACCACAGGAGAAAAAGGGTTTTGGCTTTCCTTTCTCCAGTTCTTGTGTCATAATGAAACTTCCAGTGTAAAGTCTTCAACCTAATTGTTTAGAACTATTGTTTCACAGTAAAATATATACATTTTAAAAATATATAATTTTTAAAATATATATATTAAAAATATATATTTTAAAAGATGCACATAGCATAATTCAGTCAGTGCCAGCTGCAGAATTCTGCTCACAAATGACATGACTTCCTTTATTCTTAGGACTCATGGTTTCCATTCATGTGGCCATCAAGTGTAAATGGTTATTATTTTTTATCCAGTTCTCTTATTTGTATGTATATCTACCTTATGGATCTATAACTTGCTATCATGTATTGTGTCCACAAGAAGGGCAGTTAAAACACAGAAATACGAGAGTGGAGGGGAGGGATGAAATCTCTTTGAACTTCAAACCCTTCCTTCCACCCCCCTGGCATATTTTTCCCCTTCTACCTTTTTTCAAATTTGTCATTATGTGTTGTACGTGATGTTCACGTTCATCTTAGGGAGTAGGTACATGTACTGAACGTGTCCAGTTCCCTTCCCTTCCCGCCTTCCTTTCTCCCTTCATCTCTAGATCCTGTCCTCACATTTTCATTTTCGTGATTATTACTATTTTTTATTATTAGTTTGTGCTTGTCACCTAATGATTACATTCATTGTGGGCAGTTACTAAATGCACATGTCACATCTTAATTCTTTTTATGTCCCCTCCCTCTCTTTTCCTTCCCACCCTTGATCTCCTGCTTCCCTTCTATTTGCATAAGATGTATTCTTCCTTTCCTTTTATTAGTCTTTTACTTTGCTCTTTGTACTTTGGCTTACTTCTGGCAGTGTTCCACCAGGAGGCGCACACCTGTTTTTGATATCCTGGTTTTGAATGGATCTCAGTCTACCTATGGAGATTCTCTTCACAAGTAAACTCCATTCATCTACTCCCCAGCACAGAAACACTCTAAATCACAATGAACTAGCTATGATAATTGGTGATAATACATACCACACTGAGACTCACAAAGACAGCATTCTGGATTTGAATTCAAAAAGGGCATCTTTGAAAGACAGCAACTAATGCTAAGTTTTCAGTATATGAATATGTTGATGAAGCTAATTATATAAAGGCAAATTAAATAAGCATTTTATTGTGATGTGTAACCTTTCATTATAAGATATAAATAGTATCCTTTCTTCAGCACCATGATATTTTATGTCATGTATAAAGTCTCTCTAGCCTTTAAAATGGCCCTTTGAGAATATTGAGTATATCCTCAGTATAGTTTGAACTGATGACCTATATTATTTCAAAACAAGTAAGAGAGACACATGTCGCTGGATTCATGACAAAGGTAGGGAATTCAGAGAGCCTAGGTGACTTGCTACAGGTCCATGGCTAGTGTCCTAGGTAAGGGTTCTGATCCTAAAGCTCTTTCTACATTTCCTTTCTGCATTGGTGGTTGTAGACTCAGGAGCTCCCTAGGAAGTGTCACTTTTGTGGAGATAGCAATGTAGTGAAATGTAGTGAAAATGGGTTTTATGCATCCGAGGAAACAGACACTTTTCTAGAAATATATTATCAAATGTGACTCACTCTAGAATTTATTTTAACTTTAAATAAAATATATTCCAGTGGTCATATTTTACATTATAAACTGCCATATCACCTTATTCTGGTTCACACCTAAAATGGAATCTAAACTTTGATATCATATTTCTTATACAGTGAAATATGCTCCAATACTAATAAAACTCTTATTTAATGGATTCTTATTTGTTCACCTTTATACAACATATGTAACTATTAATTGTGCAATAAGTACATACTTGATTTTAATCTACATTTTTGTGTACTCTTTTAGCCAAATACATTTGAGAGTAAATTGAAGTTCTTAAATACACAGATTGAATTGTCTAATTTAACTTTAGAATGTGTGCTTTTCTGTGTATATTTCTTATAAATGCACAAGGCTAATCTCATAGGATCTTTAACGGAGATAAACCTGTTCATTTTGTTACTTTCAGTATAGAAAAATTAACTGAAGTAGCTCGCTATCACATTGAAACAGCTACAAAAATTCAGCATGAGCTTTATTTAGACCAAGAAGAATTCTTCATTAATGACGATATAAAAGTCTTCCCAGATCCTCCTCCACCAGAACGTCCTCCGCCTGTAGAAAAGGAAGAAAATGGTACCCTGACCATCGAACAGCTTGACAATCTTGGAGATCAGTTCTTAGACATAGCCCCTAAAGGTATGAAAACTAATTATGAAAAGAGCACAGAAAAGATCATGATTAACTGAGTTACTCATTACTTCTCCACAAGTAAAATCAACCCTGTTGGACTCTGTGACACCCTCAAGACCTCTTGCTTTATTCCAGTTATCAGATATTTGCTGTGCATAGCATACTTTGAATTAAAGCAGCAGGAGAATCACAATGGCTAGGTAATACTTGAGCAGTATGATGCTCTTCCAACCCTGGTCATTTTTCCTTCTTGTCCACCTTTGTTGGCAAGTTGGTAAAATTAATTATTAGCTCTATCTGACAGTTGGAAAAGTGTGCATAATTCTTATTTGGGTTTTAGATTGGGATTACTAATTTGTGTTTGTCTATATTGTAAAGGGAGACTAAGGAATATATTTGTCTACTTAATTTGTTCAAATATATATGCACATCTCATTTTCTGTGCATAAATTATTTAGTTCCTTTTTGGAGCCCAATAGCTTCTGAAAGGACTTTGACAACTCAGGCTTCTCCTGCTTCCAGGTATTTTTCAATGAATCCCACATGGAATTCAGATCAATCATGCAGGATTATCATTGTATGTTTTAGGACTGAACACTATATCACACAGTATTTGAGTAATTTGCCTAGGGTCATAAACTATTCAGAACTCTTCAGATTTAAAGTACTTAGTCCATCTCACTGAACTAAGTTGCCACTCACGAACAAGTTTAGTTTTTCAGTATACCTCACCTATTAGAATATTATCATTCTTGCCTAAAGAATAGTCAATGCACACTTTTTAAAAATAGTCCAGCATTTCCAAAAATCCACACTGGTAAAAAAAAAAACACAATAACAGCAACATTAGTTTAGAAGATTAACTCTATAACCCATTGGGATAAAAAGATGTGAACAGACATTTATCTGTTTTCAGAATATGCTAGAGAATGGGAATTGGGCCAGCAAACCCTATGGTCTCCACCAGAATGGAATAAATCCTCTGACTCAAACCCCCAGATTTATTGAGGAACAACAAAGGTATAGAGTTCCGTTGAGGGCAGATGTTTTATTTTAGGTAGCTGAGCAAGCAAGTAAGGCATGGTGACAATCTAGTTGAATAATTAGCTTTTATCTGATTGTTCTCTAGGGATCTCCTTTGGTTTTTTTTTTTCCCTTAAGATCTATCTTTGCTCAAACTGGCAAAACATACCCTCTTCAAGATGTTTAGATTCTTGAGAGTTAGTTTTCAATTAGAGTCAATTAGAGCAGACATTGACTGAGTCAATTAGAGCAGACATTGACTTGTTGGTGTCACAAGGAACTCCACAGTAGAGCAGAACAATTCTAGAACATGGTAGAAATAGGAAAAAAGAACAAAGGAAGTAAAGGAAGGAAAGAGGGAGAAATACTTACAATTATAAAAAGCAGAAGTAAAAAGTTAGAGGGTAATTAAAAGAGGTAGGTCAAAAATAAAACAACATGGGTTCTTTCTGGGAAAGGATCAGCACTTGACAACAGTGCTCAAGATCACCAACAAGAACCAGAGTGCAGTCAATGAGGCTGGGCAGGGAAGACTTTGTGGAAGGAGAAGTGAAGGGAATAAAGAGTGACTTGGCAACAAAAAATGCATTTAAATCTGTGAGAACAGCTGCTAGAAAACATATATATCTGAGGTCTGAGGATGGGATGATGGATGGTAGGGCAGTGGTCAGGAGACTCAGCACTTCCTTCCCCAGCTGCATAAACTATAGGTGGATGGAGGGAAAGGCTTTAAGGAGCCTCCGGTACCCGCTCAGGCTGGAGAACTAACCCAGCTGGACATTATCATTAGAACAGAATTCAAAAAAGTGTGTAACACTATGTGATTTAAAGGTTTTTACAATTCAGAATGAGTTATGATGTATAAGAAAAAAATATATATATATGTTTGAAACTATATATGCTGCATATATTATTTTTAAGTATGTATAAAACACTTATGATTGTGTTACATATTTTGTTGGAGATGGTATTTATTATTGTTTTTTCTCTTACTATAAAAAGAAGGAACATCATGCAAAATCCAGTGAAACAATTGAAAATGCTTGCATCATCCCATCACTCAGCACATCCATGCATACCTCAGAATCAGGGTAACTGAGGCAGCAGAGCCAGGCTCTTTCCATTAACTGTCATCACAGCAAACATCCCTGTGAGCAAACTCGCAGAACAGAAGGAGATGGAACGAATTTTTCTGACCTATAACAATAGCCAATTTGGCATAGTTACTCTGTGTCAGACTCTATGCTAGCATTTTTAATCTGTAAATTTGCTTTTGCCCATCTTAACCTATGACAAGATGGACCAAAATCAGACAGCTCTTTCAAGTCGGCCTCTTGTCAAATGATCATTATATGACTATTTGCAAGTTGCGTAATCTTTTCTTCAGTTCTTAACTGGTAAAAATGTTAGTAAAGTTGCTTATGTCATGGAATTCATATGAATATTCAAGCAATTCATATACTTATAGTTTTTAAAAAGGACATAGTGCATAAAAGCTGCAATCTGAGTGGAACATAAGCCATTATGATTTAATTACATAATTATACCAATGCCATATTAGTGTATAATATACAAAATCACACAGTAGAGATAAAACTGATTTTATTATTATTTAAATGTTAGTTTGGTATCCTGAGGTTACAAAATTATTCCAGAGTGCTTCCAGAAAAAAAAAAATGCTGCCTGGTAGAATTAAGCCATGATGTTATATGGCTCCCTAGGGACTCTACACATCCTAAGTACATCAGGAAGGAAGACATCCTTTCTTCAAAAGAAACAATTTGTAGTTTATTGAAACTAGAGCACTTTTAACAGTGTTCTCTAGTCCCCATGTAAATTATTAAAATATAATATATAATACCTGCCATATAATGTCATTATATAATGTCATATATTATAGGTCATAACAAATGTATAATATATAATAACATATATTATATACTATATTGTATAGTTTTATATATTTTATTTTTATATATACAGGTATTATAGTACATACATATTATTTCATATTTTATATAAAATTTTGAAATATGAAATATTGCATATTTCATATTTTATGTAAAATATTTTATATTTCTTATATACAGGTATTATCATTTGTGTATATATATATATATATATATACCTGTATATAAGATGTATATTCCTATCAATGTGTATAATACCTATAGAGACTTGGTTCACAGCTCTTTTGACTTCTGTTTAAGAGCTACCTGAAGAGCAAATTCTATACCCTCATCCCTTCTTCAAAAGGGTAGCACTTAGGTGTTCAAAGCCTGTAACACTGCTCTCCTTCGAACTCACTTGGGGATCTTTCTATGGTGAATTCCTTTCACAACATCAAATACAGATCCAGAAATGCAGCAGTGAATCTAGAGGCTTTTGCCACTGGTAAAACTGTGGACAGAGTTTCAAGGCTGTCTTCGGGATAAAATATAAGTCTCATGAGGTCCAAGAACTTTTCTGACAAATCAAATTATATGCTTAGAATTGAAGATAATGTCTTCTGGAAAAAGCTGACCACAAATCTAAAAGCATAAGAGCTATCTAAATTAATGGAAACTAAGGCTTTATTCTATGACAAGATACTTATTTTTTCACATTTATTGACCAACATTTATGTCTCTATAGCAGACATCAGGCATGACCTGATGTAAAGACTGTCACATTGTCCAGTATTCAAACTTATGAACACAGCAACACTGAGTAAGGAATCACTGTGCACTTTAATTTTCCTAGCCAAAAAATGGTGATAATAATAATTGGCTTCTGTCCTTAACTATTAAAGAAGGGGAACAGATTACAAGGATTAAATGATAAAAACCAGTTAAAGTACTTACCAGAATTCCTGGTAAGTAATAAACATTCAATATAACTTTTCCAGAAATAAAGAGCAACTGTGTGTGGTTGGGGGGCATTGAAAACTGGGGACATTGTGATTATTTAAAATAACAACATGGAGTTGTTTTAAAGGCAGGAATCCTTCAGATGATATAAGTCAAGTCACTGAAAAACAGAAAAGAATATGGAAAATTGACCACTATCTCCCAAGGAAAAACAATCAATTTTTGAAAATTTGGCTTAAAAAATATCCTTGGCTTATTTATGATGAGTTATTAAATCTTATGTTCTGTGCCCTGTGCCGAAAGCACGGAGTGAAGTCAGGGGGACGTCAAGTGAGTTTATTTTACGGCACTGACAACTTTAGGACTGAATTTCTCAATGCACATCATATCAGCGAGGCTCATGCTAAAGCTTTAATAATGGAAGCAACAAATAGTTCTCCAGTAAACAGAGCTGCCACTGAACTAATGGTGAGGACCATGAGCAAAGTAACCTTTGGGAGAGTAGAGAACTTATTCAGATCATGCCATGCAATTGCTAAGACTGGACGCCCCCTCAAAGATTTTATTTGGATGTGCAAGCTGGATGACATGAAAGGTGTTGATATTGGCTCAGTCTTCAGAACTAATAAATCAGCAAGGACATTTACATATTTTATTGCTGAAGTGGAACGAAAAAATCTGAAAGAAAAACTAGAAAAAACTAAATTTTTCTCTATCATTAGTGATGGAATCATAGATAGTTTCATGGAGGAGGCTGAACTTGTCTACGTCCAGTTCGCTCAGGCAGGAAAAGTGCATTGTCAAATCGTTGGGTTACAGATAATAGAAAGGAAGGATTCCGTGACCATAAGAAATGCCATTGAAAAAATTCTAGAGATAAATCTTCAACTTAGGCTGTCAAGCCAAGACTGGGCAAAGAAACTGGTTGGTTTTGGAAGCAATGATACCTTTGGAATGGAGGAGGGGGTGAGTAGAGTGGCCCTGCTTCTGAAAGAAATCCAACCATGTGTGCAGACCGTGTACTGCTTTGCACATCACCTTGAACTAGCGTACAAGGCAGTGTTCCAGAACATTCCTCTGTACGACGACATCAAAGAACTCCTCCACAGCATTTGGCACTTCTATCACAACTCTCCTCTTCAGAAGAGCTCTCTGATAAACACTTTCAAAAGCCTTCGGCTTCCACCCGTGATGCCTTCTCAAGTAGAAGACAAGAGATGGCTTCGAGGATTACAAGAGGCCCTCCAGAACTTTCTCAAGGGATTTCCTGCCATTGCCCAGCAACTGCACTCAGTAAGTAATACTGAAAAACCATATTATATTACTTTTTTCCAAATAAAAGCAAATAATTTTATCGAGCTTCTTGGAAGAGAGATTTTGAGAAAGATGACCAAAGTGCTATTTCCAGCTTACATTACAGACAGGTGTCGGCAGAAGTTCCAGCAGCCAACAGAAAGCCAGAGAACTTCTGGATCGCCTTCTCCAAGCTGATGTTGTTAAATTTGCCCATTTCTTGCTGGATGTTATTAACGTTCTCAGTATTCTGTCCTGTGTCAATCAGAACAGAAATTCCTCAATTGCTGACATATTTGCCACGTTGGAGGCAACTCTGGAAATGCTCCGGATGTATCAAACAAGGTGAGAGATGGAAGATGCTGTCAGACAGAGCAAACAATTTGATTTGGGAAATTATTTGCCAGATACTTGGTTGCTTAATTCTTTCTTTGGGTGTTTTGTTTTGTTTCGTTTTCTCTATAGACCAGGGCCAAAAGAATATAGGGTAGCTTCAGTCACACACTTTCACGGTTACTCTCTCAGAGGAAAAGATAACATTGCTGCTGTGAGAAGCGTGGTTCTGACACATCTTATCAAGAGACTGCAAGGCTGCTTCAGAGATGCCAGCCCAGATGTGGTAAAGGCAACCATAATTGGAAGCTTTAAATTGTGGCCCACAAAGATAAATCAAGGTAACTTACATGTGCCTACTCTGAAACTATTTTTTTTTATCATATGAGTCTCTTATATAGGTGAATATTTGTTGTATCTTAACTGCAGAATTTGGAGAAAAAGAGGTAGCTATCCTGATGGCACATTATGAACCAGTATTAGAAGGTGCCAATGTTCAGATAGGTGATGTGGACAATGAATGGAGCATGCTAAAATTAGAGATTTATGCCAGGTAAACAAAAAAGAAAGTTGAATAAATTTGTTAATATGTATACATATTTGAGTAAAACTCATAATTCTCGATTTTTTTGTGCTTTTTTTATCTTCTCTTTTAGATTTCGGAACATTAAGAAATTGACCTGGGATTTTGTAAATTCCATTTATTCCCACAAGTATCCAAATATTCTAATGCTGGTGGACTTGGTGCTAGCCCTCCCAGCATGTTCAGCTGAAGCAGAACGTGGTTTTAGTCAGATGAAACGAACCAGATCACATTTGAATGCTAAAGTGGAGGCTGAAAGAATGACAGATATCCTGGTTATTCAGTTGAATTCTCCAGACATTAATAATTTTGATCCCAAGAAAGCTATCCATTTATGGAACACAAGAACCTCATTTGCAATGAGTGACCCAGGACCTAATTCAAATTGCTCATCAAACTCAGAAAGCCAGGATGAAAGTGATGGGTGATATGGCAAATGTTGAATTCATCATTGCTCATAATAAATAAATAAATATCTTTCAAAAAAATCTTAGGGTCAAATTGAAAGAGTGCTTCTTTTTTTAATCTTTACACAAAATTTCTAAGCGTCTCTCTCATTGCATTAGATATGAAAATGATACTATTACGTGCCTTGACCACTTGAACAGGTCAAATATTAAATAGTTTTCATATTTCACTTTAAGGTCTTCAGATAAACAGTTTCAGTGTAAATTGAAAGTTTTGCCTTAAAACTCTTTGTTTCCCAATGCAGCCACTATAGATGGTAGAAATATACTGCACACTTAGCAGAACTTTTAAACACGTTAGTTCTTTACAGATGGTTTTAATAGATTTTATTCATAGTTTCATCTTGAGGAACATGACTAATTTATTTCTCATTTATCGGTAAACCAAAGTGGTTTCATAGAAAGTTTCATTTGCTAAAAATTCTACTATCTAGGTAAATATCCTCATCTTTATAAAATTAGATACTAATTGTTATTATCAAAAAAATAAAAATTCCACAGTTGCTACCCAGAATAATATCTTCCAAATCATAAAGCCCATATTTGGTTTGAACCACTGACATTCTAAAGGGATGACTGCATTTTCCTAAGGGTTAGAGATCATGGTAAAGTTCATGTGGACTTTTCAAAATGACAAAAACTAGGTGTAAAACATTTGGATGTTACGTCTTGTTTCACTCTTTTTATTTTTAAACAAAGAATAGCTTTTGTATTCTGGACCTGAAAGATTCCTGGATATAAGTTAACAGTCTCTTCTGGCTCTAGAAGGTACTTCTGTTGTGTGCATGGGCTAGGAATTTTTTTATAGATACATTAATTTGTTTTCCTATTTATTTAATGCATGTGCATGCAATTTGAAATGAGAAATAAAGTCGATATCACTTTTAGATGGATAAGACAGAGTAATGTGTATGATCAAAGCATTTTAAGTTCAGTGATATTTTATGAAATAGATATTGAGTCAGTTCACTGATTAAATCAGTGCTTCCAATCTAATGATTTAACAATTCAAATCTCCCTACTTTTATAAAAAGCAAAAAAAAAAATGCTAAAGGGAAAGATGAAGATAAATGTTTCACCCTACCTGTAATGGTAATCTGCATGCAATTGAAACACTTTCATTTTATATTTACCAAAGTAGTTTACTCTGTGCCCTACGGCATTTGGAAACTTTAGAATAATATTTTTAAAAATTCAACCTACTTTGAATAAGAAGGCTTAATTTTGCTATTTTACTCAATCTGAAATGAATTATTACTAAGCAGAAAAAGACACGACTTAAATAATGGGAAACAATAAAGGGAAATAGTGGGAAAGAATCTGAAGAAAAGGTTTTTTTCACATTCAAAATATCTAAAGATTATAGTGCTGAATAACATTTAGAAAATGATTATTTTAACAAAAGAAAAAATCTTATCACAAAATATAACTAAGTATTCTTCATTTTATTGTAGGCATAATGGGAAATAAAACATTTAATGACATTCTACTTGATCTGGTAACCCTGAACCTTGGAACAAATAGCCTTCCGAGTAGTTGGATGCATCTCACACAGTCTGAAGTAAGATTCCATTTGTTTGGTTTTAAAAATTTAATATTATTTTAATTTATCAATGAATCAATAATGACCAGTTTTCGTAAAGTTTCTGGCAGTTAGTAACCAATCAATAAAATTAGAATGAATGAAGCAGTGAATGAACTTGAAACTCATACACATAATATGCACATGCTCAGTACGCTGATGGTCTGGCAGTCAATGAACTGTTACAAAGATTGCCAGGTTGGGGGTGGGGGTTTAGCTCAGCAGTATAAGCGCCTGCCTTGCAAGCAGGCAATCGTGAGTTCAATCCCTGGTACTGATAAAAACGAAAAAGACAAAAAAAAAAAAAAAAAAAAAAGATTGCAAGGTCAATCTGGAGAGTTTCTACTGCTCCCAGATGCAATCGTCTAGTAACAGTAATACTAGATGATAGCAGTGGTAGGTGATTCTAGCAATCTTTCATTTTCTTCACAATCATTTCCTTAAGAATGTCTCAGAAAACAAAACAGTAAAGAACATTTCACCAATTGTCTGAAGAGCCCTTGCCTGGACACAGTTACAATCTTTATTTCTCCTCTTTAGAAAAGTACAAAATTAATAGGGCTCCATGTGTAAATAACTTATGTAACATTAAGCAAAACATACAAGTGTGATGGAACACTTTCTAGGTGGCAAAACACTTGGGAGTTGTTGTGGTTAGATTGGTAGAACATAGAGAACAAGAAGGAACTGGTTATTTTCACCACTATACAATCGTCTTCTGTCATGTGAACCTTATCTCCTCAATAGGTTACTCAAATGTCACTAGGGCTATGCATTTGTTTACTTACTGAGTATCTTAAATGTTGCTTGGGCAGGTGTCATTTCAACCAGGAGATTCTTGTTTGCAAGAGATAACGCTTGTGTATCTGCTTGTTTGCTTTATGTCAACTATTTTTTACATGCTTTTTATCTAGAATATTGTTGCCTTTTATATTTGTTTCTATTAAAATGTAAGAATAAGTTCTGGTTATTTCCTTTGATTAATCTGCATTTGTTTGTGAACGGTAACCTATAATTTTGTGCTATAATCTATAAAAATTCATGATGTAAGTACATTAGATATAATTTTTATATTTCTCCAGAACTCAGTGGTATTCTTTTACAATACAAAACAAACACGTTTGAGACACTGAAAATAAATAGGAAGTGTCAAAAGATCTGCACAAGGAAAAACTGAAAAAGGGAGAAATGTTAACGTATCAGCGAGGAAAAGTCTGTGTTATGAAATGAAAAGATAAAAAAGACATCTCTTTATTGTCAATTATTCATAATACAAAAATGATGAAACTTGAAAGAAGAAAATGAATGAAAATTTTCAATAGTGGCCAATGATTACAGTAATTCTATGGGTGGCATTGACAGAGTCAACAAACATCTAACCAGCTATCCTGTAATCAGAAAGTGAGGAAAAATATCATTACAAAATATTTATGCACCTTATAGACCAAACATAATAAAAATCATTTGTTATTTATGCAAAACCAGGGAGTTCCCAAATTCATTTACAATTTAGACTAGGCCTTAAAGACCAAGTAGCTGAAAAACATGGAATAGCAAAATATCAAGTGGGACATTCACCATCAACATCTTCACCATTCTTCTACATTTAATGGGGAAACATTTCATTGGAGTTACAACCCACAGAAAAAAAGTAAAGGCCAACACAACAGTGTAAAGTGTGTTGTTCAAAGAAAGACATAATGCAGACACAATTTGGAAGAAGACTAGATATTACTGTCTAGATTGTAATGTTTCATTGGATGTTAAAGTTAAACATCCAATGTTTCATTGGATGTTTAAAATATACCATACACAGAAAAATTATTGAATAAGTTTGATGGAATTGTGATTTTTTACATTTCCTGTTATATTATCTTACAAAAATTAATAAAGGTGCAATTTTTGATGATTATATATTTCAATAATTGGGTTGGTAAGTGGTGAATATTTAAAGTGTAGAACAGATAGAGCTTCAAGAGAGCCACACAAATATTCCAGTGACATCTCTCGTTTTCTTCCAGCTACAAGAGTTAACATCTTTACTAGTGGTGAATTCTGAGTTCGTGGACTGCTGGAAATTCCTGTTAGTCGCAGCAATGCCTTGGCCCATCCCCCAGGAGGAGGAGCTCCTTGAAACCCTGCAGAGGTTCAAGGCGGTAGATGAGGCACAGACCGGCACCATCAATTTTGAGCAGTATATGCAGGTTGCTATTGGGCCTGGTGGGTTAGTAATGCACAATATCATTGATCTAAGGAATGTCTTATTCACTGATGTCATGACAGATGTCTTGGGCCAGGGTTTGCTCTTCGGAAGCTCACAGCTAAACAGCACAGACTATCTCAAAACTTCAAGTGAAAGTCTGGCTTCCATTCTTAAGGAAAGCGTCAGAGAAAACCAAACACATTAGACAATTAAGTGTTCTGAAAGAAACCACATAAACTTCATTGTCTGTCCCATAAACTGCTATGCTGTGCACATGCTTAATGATTTTTACTCTTAGCCATCCATTAATTTCAGATGGAGGGCCTTTAATAAGAACACTGTCCAATACCCAACCCTTAGGACTAGCAAAAACAGTGGGGGAAGGCGCGAGGTTGTCTCTCTCTTTGAGGTAAGATAGTGGTAAAAGGTAAGATTGTCTTTAAGAAGTTGAGTCTAAAATCTCTGAGCAAATGAAAATCCCATTTAGCAGATCTAGAAGGGATTGAAAATCACCATCATAGAGTTGGTTGAAGTTATGAATGGATGAGACCACCTTTGGAAATTAGTGAATAATCCAATAGCATTATACAGATAGGATAAAACTGGTGACTTCTGCCAAAGTAATTTTAGTAGAATAGTAAGTTCAGAAGTCAGACTATAGAGCTTTGGGGAAAGGAGCAGGTCTTTAGAAGGTAGATTGATTAATAAAGAGACACATGATAGAAAGGAATTCTATTCATTAAGCTGATTATATGAAAATTTCACTCAATTTTGAAAAAGTTTAAGTAAGAAAGGAGTGAGAATGAAATTTCATAGCTGAGAGGGGCCTGAATTATTAATTTTGTCTCTACTGATTGAATTCACCCTATTGATCACCATTTCACTTCACTAGTAGGCAACAAAAGAGGAAAATGTTCACACAGCACTAACAACTGAAACAGGATGATGGTCTGTAGCATCTCACATGTGTTTCACCATTAAAAGATAGCATTCCTTGCCACTTTTTCTTTACTTCTCAATGAATAGATGCCATGCTTTTTAAAAGACAATCCTAAACTTCTTGGGCTCATACAGTTGAGCCAGAGGAAACAACATTTGAATTCTAAGGAGATTCGTCAGAGATTATCAAAATAAGGGTTAGCTTATTGAGCTCCAATATACCTATTTCCCAAAGAGAGTAGTTCATAATGTATCACTGTCTTGGACTTTCAGTTTGTTAGGTGAGTTTATTTGAAGAAAAAAAAACAAGAAAAATATTACAGTATATCTGTAGATGGCTTAAGATTTTAACATTTGGGAACTGGTAAAAACCATCACTATTTACAGTATGTGTCAGTTAACACAGGATATCAATTTGAACATCCTCTTGTACAAACAGGAGAACAAATTGTGGTAGCATTTTTACCAAAGTGTTGAGCCAAACCAGAAAGCTCCTTTACCAAAAGTGTGAATTTCTTAGAGATAGCGGGAAACCGCATTTAGTAGAAACTTGGAAATATTTACTTGAACACTGTGTTTTGGGAAAAGCTGATTTCTGAGCTTTGCCCATTCCCCGAAACCTCAGATCTATTCCTCAGAAGCCATGAGATGCTGATGCTATTTGGAGAACTGCCTTTTAAAGATTTGCAACCTTTGCTATCTCACTAAAACAATAGTATGATTCTCCCATAGAAAAAATGAATACAAATTCTAGAGCAAAATTTTGATGGATCTTTTGAAAATTCAAAATCAGAACAATAAAACAGTGTAACTACATTGCTGAAATGAAGTTTTCTAGGAGAAAAGAGCTGTCTGCTGTGTTTTCTACTTTGTTTGCTTTTTATTCTTTCTTTTGACTAACTGCAACTTCACAGCAGACACTTAGTAGTGTGCTGATTTCCCTGACTTGTAAAATGGGGCAGGGTGGGGGGGATTTGTGAAGCTGTCTAGGCCACGTGCCTTGGCTAAGAAGTGAGCATGAAGGTCCATTTACCCTTTGTTCTTCCCCCAATGCCACCTAGTGTGCTTGCTTCTGTCATGGGATGCACAGTCACACTTCCATAGAACTCTTTTATTTTGAAACATCAACTTATTTCTACTAGTGTCAATGCATATTGTGAGTTTAATGAGTCAGATATTCTGAGATTCGACCAGTATAGCACTTCTCCCAGAAAAAGTAAAACGTAAAATCCTTTGGCCATGTTTTAGCAATAGAGTACCAAGAACATTTCCTTATTTCAGAGAGCTATTACATAATAATCCAGCAAGACAGGCTTTATTAATAAGGCTCACATTTCAAGGTGCTAACATTTTTAAGTTTTTTTTTTTTTTTTTTTAGGAAACTATGTGTTCTTTTTTTATATGACCTTGTTATATGGGAAACACTTTAAAATAGTTTTCAAATATGTAAGATATCATATTTTTAAAAAACTAATACAAATGAACCTTTGGTTTAAGATTCAGGGGAAATCCTATGCACTGAAACCATCAGGAGTGGAATTGATGGGTTGGGAAATAGAGGGAAATGTAGAGTTTATCTATTTCTTTTCCCTCCTTCTAGCATCTTCTAAAATTTCCTCTTTTTTTCTGGGTTTTGTCAATATGGTTATTCTATTCCTTGCTATGATTTTCTTTATATTTCCTCTGCTTGGGATTTATTGGATTCCTTGACGTTTGTGTTTGTAACTTTTTGTTAAACTTAAAAGTATGTGGGGTGTTATTTTTTTCAAATATTTTTCTACATCCTGACTTCTCAAAATCCACTTATATATTTGTTTATTAGACTATTTGGCACTGTCTCACAAGTCACTGAGGACTGATTCATCTTTCCAATATTTTTCTCTCACTGGTCTGTCTTGTTTTTATCACCATTGTTGTGCTTCCAAATTCACTGCCGTTAGCCAGGGATATGGCTCAGTGGCACAATGCCTGTCTGCTAAGTGTGAGGTCATGATTCAATTCTCAGTACCCAAAACAATTTCACTAGTATCTTCCTTTGCAGAATTGTGTCTGCTACTGATAATGTCCCGTTTTTTCACTTCTGATATTATAATTTTTATTTCCCAAAGTTCAATTTGGGTCTTTTTCATATCTTATCTTTTCTTACTATATGACTTTTAATCTTTCAAATTATATGGTTAACAATTGTTCAAAATAGCTGTTCCAAATTTAGAACAGCCTTCTCTGTTCATTGTATCATCAATCTCATTTCTCCTAGATAACAGTTACTGTTATTACTGTTTCTCCTAAATAACAGTTGTATTTTCTGTCTTTTTTGCATACCCACTAATCTTATATTAGATGTCATAATGGTTGTGAATTTTATGGTTTTCAGTGCCCAACGTCTCTGTAAACCTTTAAAATATTACCAGTGAGGCAGTGGTATTATTAGGAATCAGTTTTATCATTTCAAGGTTACATGAAGAATTTTGAGGGTGAATCCAGAGAAGCCTTTAGTGTAAGGGTTCATCTAGCTCCACTAATAAGATAATAACCTTCTGTGAACTGTTCCTCCTGTATATTAGGAGGACATGGCAATCTGGCTGGGTAATAATTAATCCCAGCCATGTGAGACTCTCAGGAATTAATGAGGTGGTGGATCTTTCTCCAACCTCTGCTGCTCTCCAGACACGATACATAAATTAGGCAGACCTCAAAGGGATTCGTGGGAGCATCTTTAGAGCTCTAACACTCTCTGTGCACAATTCTAGTACTCTGCTTTATGAATTCCAGACACCTCATCCTCTTTCAACCCTAAAATCTGGTGTCTAAACTCAAAAATCCCTACCAATCTCAGATGTTCTTCTAGGCACTGCATGGTGATACTGGGGGACTCCTCATTTTCTTCCTTTCTTTTAAGAATAACTGGCCTGGACTACTTATTGTCTAAAGTCTAGAAACTTGTTTCTTATATGCTGACTACTTTCCTTGTTATTGAAGACAGAGATAATTCTGTCCTGTGGCCCTCTTCATGTTCAGAAGTGTAATTCTCACCTCTCAGTTCTTCCATAACGCCCCAAGTCTCTGCAAATTAGCCGTTAGACAAGGATTTCCTCCTGGTTAGTGAAAAATCTTCTTATGTTTAAAGTATCAGCCCTCATTGGTCATTGAACTTCTGGTTCTGTTCTCTCATAGGCTGTCATACAGCCAGTATCTCCTTCGTTCCAAATGAAAAAGAACATTCAGATTCACCTCTGCAAGTCACCCTGTGCATCCCAACTACCTCTTTACAGTTGATTCTTGAAGAAAAGAAGATACAGAGCATAGACTTGAATTGGGTCAGACAAGTTAGTGGTTCTTAGCCTCAGGCAGTGCTGAGGAGAGGTTGTCAATAGATATATATATCTGAAGTACTTTCCAGTTTGGCAAGATATATTCCTTTAAGCCAACACATTTATGGACTAAGTGCCAACTGTGTGGTATAAATAAGTCAAATTGGGAGTTCGGAGAAGAGATCAAGCAGAGTCTCTCTGAGGAGGCAGTGTAGTGATCAGGTTCAGAAAGATGAGCAGGCTTTTTCTGAGTGGAAGGGAGGATAAAAGTTACCTGAAGTAAGAGATAAAATGATCAACAGAGTCAGGGTAGAAAATGGTTCTGAAAAGATAATGATATGAAACATATAAGGTTTTGAGAATATTGATATGATTATACAGTAAAAGCTGAAACAAAATCAGTCAAAGGAGACTGGAAACAAAAAAAAAAACCCTGAAATTATTAAGTGGCTCATGATAGATGAAATGAGGCTGCATACCATAGTGTTTGCTGTGGAAATAGGAAAGAAGGGTGCCATGGAAGACACATTGACAATTGGCAATCAAGGGAATGATCACAAATATTGTCAGATATTGACTGAAAGAGGGAGAATTCCATGGAAGAAGAGATCACTGAGATTTTGAGTCATTTTTCAAGTCACTCAACAAGTATTTTCTAACTTGAACAAAACAGCACATATGTGGTCATGTGGAGTGTGAGCCACTTTTATGACAGCATGGATCCTTCCAACATGTAGCCAGGCCAAGCTTAATCTAAGTTAGTGACCCCCAAATTTCACCAAATGTTCTAGAGTTTAAAATATACCTAGCACTCCTACTGTGTGAATTTAAATTTATAAATTATATGAATACTACACGTTACCAAATGTGTGAAAATAAACATGAATAAAGAAAGAGATACAAGCTGTAATACTTTTCTCATGCATCATACATCCTCACGATTTTTTCAGTCTGCTTCAGAGACTGTCACTCTAGAACAAGACAAGTTTAATCTCAGACCTTTACAGGAACGGTTATGATGCCTTAATATTTTCATTTTCCTTTTCTTTGTAGGCTGGTCTGTGGTTTTCAGGAGATGAAGAGATAAAAGTTCCAGAAAATCCCCTTGAGCCCTTGCCATTTAATAGGCAAGAACACCTTATAGAGGTAATTACCAATATCTATCAACAATTTAGCATTATAACACTGGTCATTTTCTTTGTTTCTTCTCCTTGAAAAACTTGCTTAGGATTCCACCTTCATCCTACAGCTTCTTCACTGTATCTCCAAATGCAGTTGCATGCTCTGCAGCCTGGAGAAGCTCTAGAGAAAAAGGCAGGGGCCAGAATCTTAGAGTCCTATTGTGACCTTGCATAATTTCAGTGGCCTCTCTTGATTTCAAATTCATCATGTAAATGTCCTCAGAAGTCTAAAAGCTTAGGATAATCTTTTTTCATTCGTTTTTGATTTTGACTAACATAGCAAGATTTTATACATGATAAATCCATTGTAGCCCACAAGGACTTACACCATCAATGTTATTATCAATAAAAGCATTATTATTGGAGCCACCGTAGAAATCGTAGTCTCAAAACCTGAAAGTCCCTCTGACTTCAGTGTGCGTATTTGAAATATAAAAAATACATAACAAAAACATACCTAACATATGCCCACATCTCTAGTGATGAGAGGATATGAGAAAAGTTGAGTTGTAGATTTAGACATCTGTATATTGATTACTCAATTTATAGAAGCCATTAGTTCAAAACTGCAGTACAAAAGTGAATATAACTCCACTTATAACCTCAAACTGAACAATTCTCTTCAATTGTACTCATATTTCTTAAGCACATCTGCTAGATGCTAGCAGGAAAGCAGGTAAGAGAAAGAATTCAGAGTTATCAAAAAACGTCTGAAACAGGAAGCCTGTAGGTACAGGACAATATATCGTTTGTTTATTGTTTTAAATGTGAAACTGAAGGGCTGCAATCCATTCTCCTGTTCAGATGTTAGGAGATGGTCTCTAGGAGTTTGTAAATAAGTCTAACATCTGCCCATAGCATCAACAGGTTCTTCGGTACTTGGGGAAACTCTCGCACCTTGAAAAGTGGTAGCCAAGTGACAAGCACTTTCCTTTTTGCCAGACTTGGCTGTCAGTCAAGAACACAGTCTTTTGGTTGTTTGCTCAGAAGTGAAACAGGAAAGGACCTTTTCTTAGAGAGGAAAGGTGTGGCTCTCACCTGCGGCTAGAAAGTCATTGTGGGAAAGGAACAAAGTAGGAAACAAAGGCAAGACTATGGAACCTGAGAAAGAAGCATTTTTATGGGACAAAAGATGGCTGCTAGATGTGTGTGGATGAGTGAATGAGAGAGAGAAAGAAAGAGAGAAGAGGAAGAGAACAGGAGAGAAGGAGAGAGAGATTCATAGAACAGAAGAGGTGAAAGAAATGCTATTTTCATGATTCCTCCAGTGTTTCAGCACTCAGGGATAGGATGGTCTGTGAAACATAATTCTCAATGCTCTTAAAATGTTACACAAGCACAGACTGCGGTGTTTCAAGTGCTGAGGTCTCTCTGGCATTTACTCAGTCTCACTGTATCTTGTTTTACCTTTCTGGTAGGGTTTTTGTGCATAGTGAGTTCATATTTGTCATACTCCTGGAACAGCAACTGGCATATAGTAAGCCCTACATAAGTGCATGAGTCTTTTTGTCATTATAATGAAATACCTGACACAGGCAAATGGTAAAAAGAAGTTAATACGATCTCATGATTCTGGAAGTGTAAGGCCAAGATTGGGCAGTCCAGTGGGTTTGGACCTCTGCTAAAGCCAATGCGTCATTGAGGGAGTATGTATGGCAATGAGTGCTCACGTCTCTTGTTAGAACCTGGGGAACAGACAGAGACAGAGAGAAACAGAGAGAGAAAGAGAGAGACAGACAGAGAGAGAGAGAGAGAGAGAGAGAGAGAGAAAGCCCGTTGAACAGCACACCCTCAATGACCTAAGCATCTTCCACTAAGCCCCACCTCTTAACAGTCCACAACAAATCACAGTACAGTACTGCCATCTTGGGGAACAAGCTTATACCTGTGGATCTTTGGGACACGCTCTTCCAAACCAAAGCAATAAGTGTTGGCCAGCCAGAAGTTAACCATGCTAACTGCACAGCTAAACAGCACTTAACGATTAACTGCTCAACAAAAGTGAATAAAAATATTTACTTTTTGCCTATAATTAGAATAAGAAAGATCAAATTGGGAGTATACCCCAATTAAGAAGGAATGTTGGGGATTTCCAGCCCCAATCTCTACTCCCAGATGTGCCAAAACTCTCTGTGGGAGCTTAAGTAGGTCCCTTCCCCTCCCAGGGCCTCTGGATCAGCTTGAAGGGAGGACTTGGGCTGCAGTGTAGGGTTGTACTTGGATCTCTTTCTCTGTTATCCATACCTTGTAACTCAGGGCCTGTCTCTAAACATGTTATGCAGGGATTCTGAAAATAGGTCATTACCTTGGGTTTGATTAGCCTCAGAGATCTAATCATTCTTTATAAGGTCAAATTGTACTTAAAAATGAAACCCTCCAACATCTCTTGTTGCAGTCGCACCATCTAACAGCGCATGTCCTTGTGACTACCAAGCCTCAGCACGGTGTGTCCTACTTTCCAGCTTCCCACACCTGAGCAACAAGAGAGACTTTCCCAGGATTCAAGAATTTTTAGGATTTTCTTGAGAATAGGGGCTTTAATTTTGCATATTAAAACCCACAAGTGTTACTTTACTCTCCACTCCAAACCTATCCTGGGACAGCACATAACGCCTTTCCATTCCTTACTGGGCCTTGCAGGTTCGGTCCCTATTACCTCTTTCATTTCATCCCTGCTGGTCTCCACTGGCTCACTCTGCTCAGCCACACTGACCTGCTCATTGTTGCTCAAACACACAAGGCTCGCTCCACCGAGGAGACGCACCTCAGCAGTTCTGTCCACCTACTGTGCTCTGACCCTGTCTTCCTACCAGGCCATCTCCCTTCTGTCTTCCAAATTTTAGTTCACCTTTCCCCCTACTCCTGGAATCCTCCTTCTTCCCCATTTTTGCCTTTTTTTTATTTTCTGTTTCCATAATCACTATGCAATTTATTTAACTAATAATATTAATTCTTTATTATCTACCTTCTTCTTCAAGAAAGTAAGCTCCTAAGAGCTAGGAATTTAACCTCCTTATTAACAACCGCATTTTAAACATCTAGAAAAATCTATCTCTGGCACGTTAAACTTCTCAATTTGTGTTTGTTAAATAGAAGGAAGTACATTCGTATTAAGTTTTGCTACTGTGTAATAACTGCCACACAGTAACACTGAGCAGTACCCATTATTATCTAGAGTTCATAAATCAGAAGTCCAGGCATGGTTTAAATGACTTATCTGCTCAGGATCTTACAAGACTACAAGTGTCAGCTATGGTCACAATTTCATCTGAGGCCACTTCTAAGATTGGATCTAAGATTAGTTTCGCACATGGGTTGTTGATAGAATTCAAATCTATGATGTGTACGGCAGGTACCCTTGGTTTACAAGAATTTCCATTTACTTTCAACAACATGGCCTCTCCAGACATGGCAATTTTCTTTCTCAAGGCCAGTAAGAGAGCATCTCTCTAACTTCAAATTTCTCCCTGAAGACTTGGGTCATTTTTAAAAAGATTGACGTAATTAGATCAGGCCTAAGTTCAGGCTGCTTTGAATTCATTCAGAATCAGTGAGTTTTGGACCTTACTTACTTCTGGAAAAACAAACAAACAAAAAACCCTAACTTTTTTTGTCATAAGGTAACTTATGGGAATGAGCTTCCCAGCATCCTCCCAAGTCCCACCACACTTAAGGTGATGGGATGATACAGGACAGATATTTCTGAGGGTTAGAACTTTTGTAACCTTCTTAGGATTCTGCCTGGTATAGTACCTTAAATAATCTTTAGAACATGCTTGTTTGGAGTCTAAAGCATTGTTTAGAGTCTTAAGAATTACCTTTGTTTAGAGTCTAAATCATTGTTTTTAAATTCAAGCTTGTTCAATTACAGAAATAGTCCATATATCAATTATAGACATAGTCCAATTACAGAAATAATTCATATATCAACTTATTTTATTTTTGTATATTTTTTGCAATATATAATATTCAGTTTGTTAATGAAAATAATGATTCCAACTAAATATTGTTTATAAGAGCAATTCAATGAAAAATTCTCTTGGGAAACAAATGGGGCCTAACTACTCCTGGTCAGTGTCATGACTACTGGCTGCCCTTTTATATCCCATGCTACTGATTATTTCCAAAATAACTCAAGGTCAATTGGAAAGATGAAAATACAACATCCTGAAGGAACCCAACAGCTGGGCTGTGGCTCCTGAAAACAGTCAAAAATTCCTTATTGTCAGAGAGTATTTGTAATTATCTCAAACTTTCATTTTTAATGTCAGATATCAGAAATTAACTTTCCAACTGTTACCTTCATGTATATCTCATCATATTTTTTCATAGCTGCAAGAATTGTTGATAACAAAGAATAACAAAGTGGGGATACTCTGGATTTAGGAGCTTCACAAGAATTGGCCAGGAGCAGCAATATTGGCTTACTTCTAGACATGTAGAATGTTATGCAGCTTGAGAATCATTCACTCCGTCAAAATGTTCATCACAAAGATTTGCTGGGTCATTAAACACAACTCTGAGAAGAGCTGATCATGGAAGCCAGAGGTCTCCCCAGATAGGGCTGTGTAGATATCCAGATGTATCTCCACAGGGGTTGGGCCTCAGCTTTGTAGGGCTCTAGAGGATAAGAGCCTCCTGAGCTCTACTTATCTTGCTGTCAGATTCATAAGACACCATGTGACTGTCAGCTTAGTCATTTAGAAAAATATCTGCTGGTATTTAACACACTCTGTCCCTGCAGGTAAATCCACATTGGAGGAAGTCACTTAGAGTAAGAAGTTCAGAGAAGATGAACCAGTTTAAAGATTTTAATTGTAGGAGTCTCAGCAGCTTTGAGCATCATTCCTTTCCTTTCTTTGGGGCCAGAGAGGACTGGGCCAGAAGTCTAATGTTTAGGGTCAGGACTTAGTTTTTCTGGCTGAGGCAGAAGACAGACCGTGGGCCCAGCTCTTACAGCCTCCTTTCCCTACTTAACATTAGTCCCCACTCTCCTTAACTAGTTCATTATTTCATAAATGTCTCAGCACCATTGACCAGAACACAATTTTCCTTTAGATTATAACTTGTTTTTACTTAGCATACTCCTCAGTTAACTGAAGATAAATTTACTCAAACTCCCTCTATTCCTTAACTCCAAAAATTCACTCATTTTCTCTCCCTGTATAACAGTTCTTCTTCATGCTGTTTGCTGACTGTGAGAAGGACCCACCCCAGCTTGACTACACTCAGATGCTGCTGTATTTTGCATGCCACCCGGACATGGTGGAAGGTATCTACAGGGCTCTCAGTGTGGCTGTTGGAACTCATATCTTCAGACAAGTTGAAACGCCTGTGCTGGCTGCAGAAAAGGTAATGGTATTCATGAAATGGGTGAATACTGCGTTAATACTGGGAGAAAGATTCCAGGAATTCGAAACCTCCTAACAACAGTGCTTCTGGTTTTTTTGTTTTTGTTTTTGTTTTTGTTTTTGTTTTTTTTCATCTGTTTGCTCCCATATTGCTTGCAATGTTATATATACAAAGCCTTCTTCAAATGCATTATACTGGGAATCCAAATTCTATGAAACACTTTTCCTCTATTGGAGATTGAACCCAGGGCCTTCCTACTAAACTAAATCCCAGCCTGGTGTTTTCTTTTCTGTTTGTTTTGTTTTGTTTTGTTTTTCCAACAAGAGCCTTGTTAAGTCACTGAGTTCCTCAGTTTGGGCTTGAATTTACAGTCCTCCTACCTTAGGCTCCCACAGTGCTAGATAATAAGTATTTGTCATCATACCAGGCTATTAAACATTGTAGTAAAATCAAACTCTGTTAAAGATTTCTGGGTAGAAACAAAATTTGTTCTGAAAAGGACAGGTTTATTTGCCTTGAAGTGTTGGTTCTGATAAATGAAGCAGAGGTGGATATCAAATCAGTCCTGTCTTACTGTATACAAATTTTATCTGAAGTAACCTCAAGCCACAGATGCATCCCGTGCAAATGTGACTCTTGATAGTATTTCAGGAAAAGGTCCAGATACCAAAAATCCACAATGAGTCTGTATCACTTGCAACGAAGGACAAAGAAGCTCAGAAACTTTAAGATACCACTGCCATTCACCTCCATATTTCTAAGCAATGAGCATTCCCTAGCTTTTCAAGTAGAAGATCTTACACTTGTAAGAAGGGTACCAAGTAATATATTTTTGATGCCCCTTTGTATTTTGTATGACTTTTGGTTTTTCTCTTGTTCTTTAAGAGAGAACTGTGGCCCTCTTGACAGGATGTTTGTTTTTCTTCTCTTTGTGGACAGAAAGAGGAGAGGGCTGGTATATGACTAAGACTCCTCAGATACCCCAGCCACACTTCTTCCTTTTCACATACATTTGTCAAACAGAAGTCATCTGAAAGAAATAGGATATTTCTTGACAGCATTCACTTTTGGGTTCTGGGTTCTCTAAAATGTGATACTAAACTTTGATCCTGTGTACATGGACAAAAGCATCTACCTATCCTTCCACTAGAGGGAGGCCAGAGAGATATTTGTAACATGAAATCTTGAGGCTCTTCAAACTAGTGTGCTATGAATTTACATTAAACACATAAGGGTAGAAAGTTCAGCAAGGAGTATTACTTCTACTCAGGGATGCTACCTCTTTGAGAGTAGGGAGCCAATTTAGAATGTTTCCAAATATGAAGACTACATCTAACTCTAGTTTTCATTCATGGGACAGCATTTGCCACTTTCCTAGGAATGTCTCCGATGACCCCCTATAGACTAGGACTCCTTACCTAACTCTGGAACTATGATCTAAACCTGAATCAAAACTCATCATGAGGTCTCAATAAAATATATGTGCTTATAGTCAGGCATGGTAGCACATGCTTATAATCCCAACATTCTAGGAGGCTGAGATAGGAAAGTCAGAATTTCAAGTTCATGTAATTTATCAGCTAAGTGAAACTCTGTCTTAAAATAAATAAAACAAACTAAATTAAATTAAATTAGTTGGGGATATAACTCAATATGAAAGCTCTATGTTCAATGCTAAATTTAAAAAATGTCTTCCAAAAAATATCCTCAGTGAGACCTTCCCTAACTTTAGATTATGTCAGGTCTCATCACCCCTAATGTGTTCCCAGAGTGGGCACTGCACTTACCCCTATACATTTGTCCTCTCATAAGTTCAGCTCCTTAACTAATGCTGAGTTTAGTGGGGATACCTGTCTTATTCTGCAATTCCTGAAATTATGGAAAGATCTAGCATAGAACTCAGCTAAACATTGCACTGAGTGAATTAATCAGTTCATTAATTGACTCATGCTCTTTGAGTAACCCCATGATCTATGAAGACTATTAAAGAAATCAGTTTTGGTTTTTTTTTTTTGAGGAGATTCCATCTAATTTTGCCCAAACATGCTGAAAAAAATTCAAGAATAATGTACCCCACAGCAAGAAAACACAGAAGACCAGATTCACATTGATCCTAGCAGTGACAAATTCACTCATGCCTTCTTCTTCCCCACCTCTCTGGCTTAGATCTTACTGTGCCCTCACCTCATCTTAAAAATTCCCAGCCCTCCCCATCATCCAAGGCCTCTTGAGGTCATTAACAACTCCCATGTCATTCCTGAACAACATTGAGCACTCTCTTGCTTGGGCTCCAATTATATTCACAACTCCTCTAGAAGAGTAGAGCACTATCATGAGCACATGATCATTGTTTCCAGAAATATTCATGGTACACTTGTGTGTGCTGGGGACCACTCATAACCTAGGTGTTATGGCTTATGTCTAGATGTCCCCCCAAAGATTCATGCAGTCATGGGTTGGGCTTTTTCAGAGATAGCTAAATCTAGAGTGTGTGATGCTAGGACTGATTCATGGAGCAATGCTAGAATCAAGAATATTAAGATTAAAGGTGTGAATGCTACCTATCCTGAGTATCCTGTATAAAATATAAGGTGCAGAAAGATGCTCTTAAGGTCACTCTCCTGCTTATTTTGCTAGCTTCTGCCTACCATAAACTGTTTCTCCTTGGCAATTCCTGTCTGCACAATCATCTGACCTAAAACATTTCAGGATCTCTCTGCCTGCCTGGAGAACAGCCTGTGGTGGGCAAAGGTGGGAAATAAGGAGACCTAGTAATGCATGCAGGACTTTGCTTATCCATTGTTACCTGCTACTAAATTATTTCCACCTTGAGCATAGATCAATGTGCAAAATAGTATCAAGTGGCTAGTACTCAGTTGATACTTTCAAATAGTGCTGGGAAAGTCCGGAGGAAGGGAAACAGGGAGAGTCCAGTCTCCAAGGTAGAGAGGAGAAAGGCAACATTCTAGGAAGACAAAGACAATAACAGGATCCAGGATGCTGCCTGGAGCGTCTGGGAAAGACCAGGGAAAAGAAAGCTGTGCTAGGGGAGTTACCATACCAACAAACATCCACCTCAGTGGATGGTGATTGGGTAGCAGAGGAGGCAGAGATCTTTCTGTGCCTGAACTCTCATTTGCCTTGGAAAAGTTCAGTCCTTCCCCCAGGAAGCAGCTCGCCTTGAGTACTGCTGTACAGAAACTGAACAACTCAAGAGACCAAATATGGGCATGCAATGAGGCAAAGTATGCTTGTTTGCCTCTCTCACAGACTCTGGGACCTGTTCCTGACTGGTAGTGAACCCTAGAGGCATTTGAAACCCAGAAGTTATCTTCTTTCTTCATTCTGGCTCACCCTTGGTCTTTACCATCTTGTCTCTGATTATGCTAGTTTCCTGGGCTACCTCCTCTCGGAAGATCATAAACATCTTCCCAGAAATAGCACCTCCAACTATGCTTTTTCACTCCCAAATCATTCAGTCAGATCTCTGCTTTTGTTTTCTGTAAAAACAACTGAAAATGCCCCACCCCCAGTTTCCACCATGCTCTTATTTCGCTCTTCCTTACTCTGTCTCTGCTATCCATGCTGATTTTACTCAGGGTGGCTCAGACCCTCTGTTTAAAGTCATGGCTTCTTGAATAGTGTCAAAGAAGCTTAAGAGTAAGGTGTACTTCAGTAATGCGCTAATCCTGTAAAATCTTTAAATTAAGGACGCTGAAAATTCATTTTCCAAACTGTGTGGGCTTGTAATGCTGGTATTTAGCAAATTATGAGCTTGGTTTGTCCACATTGCAAAAATCATGTAAAAATATCTCAGCAGGCATGTTTCAGGACTTGGGGTTCAAAGGACACAAATTGCTATTTCCTTGTGCTGTTTGATGCTTTGCCTACATTATTCTCCAGAAATAACCTTCTTTTCTGCTTTCTGAGATGTGCAACTGAGCTGACTGATAAAATGCATGCTCAGGTTAATATCTATTAGACACTGTTGAGGTCTATGTTGGAGAATTAGGCACATGTGACACAGTGCTTGACAGTGCCATTGTTCCCCTTGCTTGGAGGATGAGACTCTCATGGACTTGTGGTACCAGTAATAACTATTTATTCAGAAGCACTTATTTTTCTTCAAACTAGCATCACTGGTTTTGTTCCTACACACACATTCAAAACTGTGGTCTTCCAGAGTCTCTGTTGGAGAGAAGGTTCCCTTTTGCTTTCCATTCTCTTCAGGCCTCTAGAATGCTGATGTGGCTTTCTTGGTCTGATCAGAACTCCTATGCTTTTCCTCTCTCTCACTGAGCCTAAATCTATTATGTTTCAATCCCAGACAACAAAAAAAAGCAAAATATTTTTAAAGAAGCCTCTAGGGCTGGAGATTTAGCTCAGGGGAATACACACCTGCCTGCCAAGGAGATCGTGAGTTCGATCCCTGGTACCGATGGGAAAAAAAATCAACATAAAAGAAGCCTCTGATATTAAAAAGCTAAGGTTCCTTGATGCTAACATATAAGGGGTAAATGGTTAATTTTTGGATTAAAAATATTTTATACAATGATGCTTATATCATGCCTTTCAAAAATAAGCCCCTCCTTAATTGTTGAAGAAAAACCAGATTATTCCTTTATTTAAGTTTGGCATTTCCTGCTCACCTAACCAATCAGTCATTTCTTCATCCACAGATCATGTGTTTATCTTGTTCACATTCTACCTATGTTATCTGTTCATTCATTCTACACTCACTTGTCATCATGTTTTACATCCCATGATGATTTTGCTATACTAAATATTCTATTGCTCCTGATATTAATTGATGAGTAGCTAGTGCCTTACTTTTCAAAATTCCTAGGAAGAGACACTGAAGCCTGTTTTACGTTATCACCACGTATCATTTCCAATTGTTTAAAGGAGAAAAAATTAAAAAGATATTGAAAATATGTTTCAATATGTCACCCCCAAAGCCCTAACTGTTAGAGTTCTCCTCCTTTAATATTCAGTTAAATCCCCTATTTAGCAAAGGGTTTAGAACCTCAACTAAAGCAAAAGCAGAGGAACTTTTCTTCATTATACCATTAAACTGCCCAACGCCCCTTCAAGTCCCTTATAAGAAGAGCTAACTATCAGAGGCTTAATTTTGTGTCATGTCGTACTTATTTTATACACATTTGCATAATTATTTGCAGAGAACTTGTGTAATCTATACACTTAATACTCCTACTGAATTAAAATTTTCACTCTCTCTAACTAGCATTTTTTTTCTACCTTAGATAAAGAAAATCAGAACTCAAGTGTTCTCTGACATCTGAGCAACTATGTTTCAGAATACTCCTTATCTTATGGGAAATCATCAGATATTGATTCCCTCATCCTTACAAAGCACACACACACACACACACACACACACACACACACACACATTTAATGTAACGTTTGAAAAGCATAAAACAAAGAAATCATCTGTTCTACCATCACTATTACCTCTTTAATGTGTCCATGTCCTTTATTTGTATTAGTAAGGACAGATTACATAATGAGGATCCTAGTATATTTACTAATTCATTTTCTTGGGGGGGTTAATAATACTGGAGATTGAACCCAAGTTCTTCACACAGAACTGTATCCCCAGCCCTTTTTTAATTGCTTATTTTGGGACAGGTGTCACTAAGTCAGTAAGATGCCAGGCTGAGTTCAAACTTGTATTTCTCCTGTCTTGGCCCACCAGGGTGTCTTTTTAATTATACTTAATCTACTATGAATGTTTTCTTATGTATTACGCACTGATCCAAACCATAATTTTCATTGCTGTGAAATGGGATTCTATCACAAAATATAATTTATGTCACCACCTATTTTTAAATGATAGATTTTCCATTTCTATTTTTGTTGCAATATTGAATGAACATCTATATTGAAGACTTCATAAGCACTTGTGTTTACTCAGGATTAATTCTTGGAACTATAATCATTAAGTCAAAGTGTAGAAATCGTTTTCAGGGGCTGGGGATTTAGCTCAGCAGCATAAGCGCCTGCCTTGCAAGCAGGCAGTTGTGAGTTCGATCCCTGGTACCGATAAAAATGAAAAAGACAAAAAAAAAAAAAAAACAAACAAGAAATCGTTTTCAGGCTTTTCATACCTAAGAAAGTATTCTTTCCCATACTCCAAATGTGAGTGTCCTAGTTCAAGGCTGTAAGCCCAGTTTTAAAGAGCAGCAGTGAGAAACTCAACTGTTGTTTTTTATATTTGATTTGCTTTCTAACAGTTTAGTTACTCTATTTTTTAGTATCCAAAGAAATGTCCCTAAATCTATTCGAATCTACCAAACTTCAGAAATTAATTTGCCATTACCCCACCTGCAATCAATTCAAAAGCAAATCATGTTGAAATTCTATATTCATGTGCAACACTCTGAAACCATGCATACTAATGTATTCCAGTGTCTATTTGTTGAGGGATTTGATATACCTACCTGTGCAGTACGCTCAAAGGTATATAAAGACCTAAAGACAAATAAGATGCACCGCATGCTAAGGCCCCTTTACACTACAAGCAAAATTGTCCTAGGATGTTGACACTGTGATTTTCAGTATAGGCTTCTAGATTTTCCATACTTGGTAATAAATTCCATCATTTCATTGTATGATGAGTGTGATGCACAGGTGTTTTCTGAATATCTGTGCGGACTTCAGTCTGACTTCATGTTCTTCTTGCTTACTTTTTCAGACTCCCTTCTCTCCTGGCCTGAGTCCCATCAGTGAATCTCCTGACCTTGAGGAAAAGTCTGGAAAAGAAGAAAGAGAAGTGAAAGAGGAGAGGGGTGAAAGAGAACAAAAGAAAAAAGAAGTACCTGGCAAGACAAACACTGAAAAGATTTCCATGGAAACACTACTCACAGTATTCCGAGGAGGAAGCGAAACACAAGATACTAACCGATTTGCCAGTCACCTAAAGATAGAGAACATTTATGCAGAGGTTGGTTAGATTATTTGCAAAAGGGACAACGTGAATGATGTGTAATCAAAAAATAGGGTTTAAAATTTGTTACAACAAAAGACAAATTGCTGTTAATATCCCTTAAAATGTTCCCCCTCTCTTTGCACACATTTATTCCATCCTTCTAGCCACTTTCTGAAGTCCTCTTTTGTGACTTTAGTTGTACTGTGATGGCTGTCTCCAAGTCCCGAATTGATTAAAAAATATTTACCCTACCTGATTACTCTGGCTTTGGGAAAGAGCCGGAAGTCACATGGAGCCAAGTCTCATGATAAGGTGGGTAGCGATACACTGTAATGGTCCTACGAGCCTACCTTTTCATTTGATGGCACTGGGAGCAGCATTCACTATGTTTTGATCATACCTGTAAAGCTAACTCATGACTCCCACAATGGCTGCAAAAGTGGCAAGAACAATGAGATGTATAGTTGAAGCTATAAAGACTATTTTGAAGGGCATTAATGGCCATGTGCCTTTCACTGTAATTTTTTAATTGAGAGATTTGCTATATATTTCAATCACCTCTTGTACATAAGGAATGTTGCCCTCAATTCCAAGCATATTTTCACAGAATTGCTCTGAAGAAAGTTTGTATCATATATGTATCATTATATAGAAGACATGGGAATTCTTTTTAGTAAATAAAACTATTCTTTAAGATCTGTAAGATCCTAGGTTAATTGACTTTATTTTGTTCTTCCTTAAAGAATTTCACAAAGACATTTCAGGACCTTGGTGTTAAGAATGTGGAGCTGATTGAAATTGCTCTTCTTTTGAAACATCCTTTCATTCAGCAACTGATTGCAAGTTATTCAGACTATAAGCTTCCTGTAAGTATAACCAAAAGCTGTCCTAATTTGAGTGGGCTTAGGCGCAGGATATGCTGTGCATTCCTAATACAGGCTAGCAAGGAAAAGCAAAAGCTAGACTAGGTTGGAAAGATCAACCTGCAATGCTCAAAAAACAATAACCTCGTTCACAATTGAGGCAGCTCTCAATTTGAGGATCTGCCTCATCAGTGCTGTGGGCCTACCTTGAGACTAAAACAGAAGGTAATAGTTAAGGCTGGGTGGATGGACCTTTGGAATTATGGATCATTTTATAGCCACATAATAAGACTAACTTAGATAGAAAAGCATGGCAAACAGGATCCCTCTTGCAAAAGAGAACTAACCAAGATCATGGTCACAGCCACACACTGACAGAGTAACCATATTCCAATTATAGTACATTGTGTAGGTAGTGGAAATTATGTCACATAAAAAAAGTTTGGGTGCTAGTTTTTTAGGGAAACTATGGACAAAACCCAGACATGCAAGGTGGGAAAAGTAAGGACAAAACTCAGAACAGGTCAACCCAGCAGAAAAAAAGGATGAACTCTGGTTCAAAGACCTCACAGTAACAAAGCAAGCCTAACTCAAATATGGTAAATACACATCCAGTATGGTGAGTTCCAGGTCTTTCTAACAAGGCAAAGGCAGGCAGAAGCTGTAACCTCTCCCCTATCTGAATGGAGCAAGCTGCTATAATCCCATACATATAAGATTGTAATAGTATGAAACCTCTCTATTTGATTTACACTGCTTTATTTGACAACAGAGTTTCCTGAGTTTGAAATGAAAGTACTTTAACTTTGGTAAAGTGCAAGTGTTCTAACAAGCATTTATCCTAATTTCTCAGTGATACCAAATTATCTTTTGCAGATTTCTTTCTTTTGGCAGAAATGATTTAGATAACTTTATATTTAGTGTATTTAAATCATAAATTTATTTGTTTTAAACCATTGATCCTTTATTATATGATTTTATTGCCTGTATTACCCCTAATTGAAATTGGTTTCTGGGGCTGGGAATTTAGCTCAGTGGCATAAGCGTCTGCCTTGCAAGCAGGCAGTCGTGAGTTCGATCCCTGGGACCGATAAAAAGGAAAATGACAAAAAAAAAAAAAAAAGAAAAAGAAATTGGTTTCTTAAATGATAGCAGCTATCAAGACACTAAGCATATATCATCATAATATGTTTTTAACTGTTTTGGAAAGATAACTAGAAGGGGAACAGCTGCATCAAATAAAATTTTTAGTTTTTGTTTTCTAAGGAATCTCCATATTGATTTTTGTAGTGGTTATACTAGTTTACTTTCTCACCAAAAATATAGAAGTGTTCCTTTACCCCCATAGTCTCACCAGTATTTGTGTTTATTTTATTTCTTGATGGTTACCATTATTTCTGGGCTAAGATGGAATCTCAGTGTTTTTTAATTTGTTTTTTCTACTAATCAGTGATGTCAAACATTTCTTATAAATTTATTGGCGAATTTTACCTCTTTTGAGAAGTGTCTATCTTTGAATCTGTAATTTTGAATGAAACTTACCAGACCAGACATACAAACTTAAATATCAAGTGGTTTAATTTTAGATGAGAAACACAAAGTATAAATAAAGAGCAAAATAAAGAAGAAAAACAGATAGATAATAAGAAATAGTGAGATAAGTCTTCCTGAATTGGAAAGGGGATCAAGAGATGAAGGGATGGAGGAATAGAGAGGGAAAGGAGAATAGAGAAGGAATTAAGATGTGTTATAAATGTGTAAAAATTCCCACAAGGAATGAAAACATCATGTACTCCACAAATGTACTGATAAAAATCAAAACAAAAAAATGACATTAAGCACATCCAGAAGTAAAACACATTTATATTTAAGAGCACAGGTCAGAAAATCATGAGACTGAAAATCATGTGCCCCATTCACCAGCTATCTCCTAATCCTGGCTGTGTCATCCACAAGCGGGTGTAACCCTCCTTCCTCATCAAAGAGTAATGGTGAGGATTAAATGAGATTGTGTGTGTAAAACCCTTGGCGTTTTATCTGACATGTAGGATGACAAAAATGACGGCTAATAGGGTTACTTTTCAATACCAACCACATACCACTGAGACTTGTATAAGCTTTCATGTGACAGAGAAACATAAGCACCAAACTCAGCTATTGCTATCAAGTAAATTCCACATGTGTCTGTTTTGCAAGACTCTTTTTGCCTGCATAAATAACAAAAGAATAATATAAGCCAACAAAATGTCATATGATAGCAATTCAAAACATTTTTTGTATGCTGGAAGCATGGAGGGAATTTTCCCAGGAAGGAGTAATCTGGGTCTTGAGCTATCAAGCGTTTTCAAGACTGGAAGGAGAGGAGAGGACGCCCGCATGGATTCTGCTGTTGAGGGAGGAGGAGGCAGCGTCCTAGATGAGCGATCTGGGCCAGGACCAGGGAGCAGGACAGTGTGGAAAGAATAGATCTGACTCCTCACAGGGTCTTCTACAAAGAGTGTGGCGTGACAACATCGGGTTAGTAAAACAGGCCAGATTGCAAAGAAACAGAGAAATCTACATTTGACTTGAAAATCAATACAATGTAAATAGCTTCCTAAGGAGTCACATAACATAATACAGGCATAATATTTTTATGTCTTTGTTAAAAGACATATCATTTTGTCTTCTTGAAGGAGGCAGATTCCATACGCCTATCTTTAGATTACAATTAATTGTATATACTCTGTTAAAGAAATGTGTCTTGTTTTTAACCAGTAAGATAACTTGCCAAATCTTCAAGAATATAATGAGTTTATTTTTCATTATCAAGAACAAGTAGGAGCATAATGATGTCACAATTACTTTCTTTCCTATTGGGCAGAAAACTTTCTACAAGTCTAGGCAATTTGGAAATATCATCAGTCCGATCACAGTAACTAAACATAATTAATTTTAACCGAATATTCTCTTCAGCATTTTACCTGAGGGGGGAAAAAAAAAACCATGTTACAGAGCTACTCCTGAAGAGATGTCCACTCCCAGAAGAAGCTGGAGACCACAGGACTTTTTAAAGTTATGTTCTACCCTCATTTGGGATAACATTCAGTGTACCTCAACTGAAGTATTATTGCCAAGTTAGCCCAGAACAGTTTCTCTTGGTGCAGGATTATCTCAAGCATGGCCAGACGTCAAACATCTCAGGCCCCTGCTCAGTATATTCCAGGAACATATTCATCACCAAAACCACCCCTGCAAACACCTTAAATCTTCCCTGACATGCAAGAGCTTTCTAGTTGAAAGTCATTCACCTGCTGTCCTCCAGGACACCAGTCATTTGTGCCCAGTGATCACCTGACACTCCCTCATGTTAATTCATCGCCAGAAATCTTCCCTGAACTCTGCTCCGTCCGCTTCCTCAGCTCCTGTGCTGTTTAGCCTTCACATTTCTCTGTCGCTGCACTGAGGAATCAAATGAGAGCACAGGAAACTTCTGCAATCAGGACTCATTCATATGACAGTGAATCAAGAAGAGTTGTGCTGATAACTTAGCCCAAATCCTGATATTTAAAAGAGGACTGCTTTCCAGTAAGGTACCCCATTCTCATTTTTGCTGACAAAAAAGAAAGGAAGGGAGGAAGGAAGGAAGGAAGGAAGGAAGGAAGGAAGGAAGGAAGGAAGGAAGAATGAGAGGAGAGAAATGAGTAAGGGAAGGGGAAATGGAGGAAGGGGGAAGAACCCTTGAAGATTCAGGTATTATCACATTTGTCCTGTTAATTTTTGCTCCAGATATCCATGTACAAGTCAATAGACCATATTTTTAAAATGAACTCTAACCACAGCGATGTTATTTGAAGATCGTTCAAGATAAGTAGAGCAAAACTAGAGTGTGGTTTTTCAGGTTATAATGTTGTTTGCTGTTACAAACAGTGGCAAGCGAAGATTGTTGCCTAACAGCTCTGTGTTTACAAGATCCACATTTAGAAGCAGCAACATTTGCAATGATGATGACGTGCCTTAGTTTTGCTCTTACTATAAGGTGGACTGGCTATGTAGTTACAAGTGGACTCTGGAGCCACATTTATGAAATGTGTAACCTTGGGCAAGTGACCTTATATATCTCAGTGTCTCAGTTTCCTCATTTATAAAATAGGGCTAATTATGTTACCCACCTCAGGGTTTTGTACAGATAATATACAGACAGATAGATAGATAGATAGATAGATAGATAGATAGATAGATAGATACAGATAGACATATACATGCATACATACATATATAAAGAGACAGACAGACAGACAGACAGACAGACAGGAGCTTTGTTGCTTTGTTCCTGGCAGATAAAATGAACTCATCATTAGACATTACTACTGCTGGTCTGTTACTTGAGTGAACAAGAAGTATTTCCAAGTGAAGTGAACCATATAGAGTGATATGTGTATGCATGGATGGATGGATGGATGGATGGATGGATGGATGGATAGACTAATGAGCTGGCATTTCATCTCTCAAATATGCAATGTCTTCTCTTTCTCTTTTTTATTTTAAAGAGGATAAAACAGAATAAAGCCAATCAAAACAAACCATCATAAGAGACGTAGGACTTCAAAACTTCATGAAATCAACAATAGTTACTATAATGCCTTTTGATGTCTTTAAAATAGGTGCAGATAACTTTGGATATAGTAAAAATCAAACACAACAGATAGAATAGAAACAATAAAAACAAAACAATAAAGCAATAAAAGACTTCAAAACAAGCCAATAAGTAAATCCAAAATTGCTACTATAATATATATTACTGTCTTTGAAATAGCTGCTCCTACCACTGATTTTTAACATAAACAAAACAAAAGGAAATAAAACCCAACCCAGAAAAACAATGGAAATTATATAGGGCTTCAAAGCAAGACCACAGGGAATCAACAATAGCTACAACCCTCAGAAGGAGATTGCCTTCTCTTTCAAAAGAAAGAAGATTTTCACTGATGCAGGACCTTGAAGATGATGGGTCCAAATCAAAGTGCCAGGTATCCCAAGGTGGGCAATAGCTACTTAGAAGTTCAGGAATCTATACTGGCTATTACATTTATTCAGTTAATATCACTTATTTTACTTCTGTCTTCATAGACTTTATGCCAAATAAGTCACTTTCAGGAAATTTTTTAACTTTTAAGAAAACAGTGTGTTTAAATGAAACAGAATCAAAGTGAATAATGTGACTGAGTTGCCAATGAGCAGAGTCAGTTTCTTCTACCTAATGTATTTATCAATGTATGTGGAAAAAATGATTTTTTACAACAATCCAAAATATAAATTCTGGTGATAAACATATGCCTGTTGTAAAGTTCTTTTAACAAAGCAATGAATCAAACAACTGATCTCATGGAAGATAGTAGGAAATTTTCAGGACTAAAGACAGAAAGCACAAGAAATTGATTATCTGACAAACAAATGAACCAAGAACTGCTTACTTGTAGTTACAAATGTGACTGGAACTTTCATCCCACTTTTTCTTCAACCCATCTGATTTTAAAATATTCTATAGCTGGAGGAGAACCAGCGGCTACCCAAGACCCAGCCATAGTGGGAGGCGGCTACACAAGAAGACAATTTGTCCGCCTTCCTGGTCAGTGGTCCTGGAACCGCCAGAAGAACCAGTCAGCTGTTCCTGTGAGCCTACCAGGCTGACAATCAAGACTCCCTTCCCACCCCCCTCAGCAACTGGGGACAGAGGTCTGAACACCTCTTGGGAGGATGACCATATGTAATACAGCAAATATGGGGAATTTCCTTCTATGTTCTGTTTGAAGGCAAAGGTTATTTTCACTGTTTTGTTTTGATGGTTTTGCTCTATTCAATATTCTCCTTCAATCGATTTTATAATGTTCTGTTATTGGTTTGATTTCACTATACCTAATTGACTAGACAACTATTGTGAAGATAATGACATATACTATGGTACCTATTACTACTATCCCAGTATCCTGCTGTGAGGTTCTGTACCAATGTCACTACATTGTCTAGATTGGCTTTGTTCTGTCTTGTTCTGTTGTATTTTTACTACCTGCAGAACAAAAATTTTTTTAAAAGGAAACAAAGTGGGAAATGAGACAGGAAAGTGGTCCGCTGTGGGACTCAGTCCCCAGGCCCTTTGCTTTGATGATCGCAGTGGTTTCTGCCCTCAGATGAGCATACTCCTCCCCTCCTCCCCTCCCCCATGAACTACATTTTTATGTGATAATGAAGTGGTTCCTCCTTCCGTCTCCGATATGAGACTATGAGACCTAACCTGACCCTTCAGCCTTCTCTTCCTCCTCTGCCTCTGGTTTGACTCCCTAGCTGACCAAAGTTGTAAACCTGTCACCTTCAAGTAACTGTCTTTGTTCAGCTCAGCCTTTTGCCACCTTAAAATCTAAGAAACTTTCTGTAACTCTGTGCCTGGCACTTAGACTTTGGAGTATGAGCTCTTCTGAGCCTGGAAGCCAATAATGGGTCTGGTTTTCTCCACCTCTTTAGTGCCCACTTAGTTTCTTGAGCCGCTTGAAGATTTTTGTTATCTTGTTTGCCACAACAGTTGGATTAAACTTTCATCTTTGTAATATCTCAAAATGAGAATTAGATTTCAATATATGAAACCTTAAGGAATAAACTATTCAAACCTTTAAAAAATTCTGTAATCTCATTTATTTTTGTAACCAAAGGTGACAGCTGCTTCCGTGATTTGTGTTTCTAAAGCATCCATGCCAAACATCTTCTGACCCTCCATCCACTGCAACTGATAATTACTATCCCAAATTCAGCTACATATTTAGGCAAGGCTAGTTTCAATCTAGAGTTTATCCTTTTTTTTTTTTTTTTTTTTTTTTGTCTATACTATTGAATTTTAGACAGTCAGAGATTACCTCATCCCTTAATTTCCAAATTAATGTTCCAAGTTAACATTAATTACCTTAAAGATAGTATTCAAATATGATGTGTTTAGAATTGTAGTGAGCATGACCCCAAAAATCAATAGGATCAACTGTTCTTTACCACTTGGTTCACCTAAGGTTGACCTTTGGTTTTAGATCTGTGCTTTCAAGGAATGAGTTTCCTCAAGAAACTGATTCACTGTGATTTGTAGCAATAACTTATACAAGCAGTGTGGATGTCAGTCAGAAAGGGTCAGTTCAAGTAATGAACTAATTCGTACCTTCATGTGTTAAATGGCCACAGACTGAAACCCTTGAACTCAGTACAGAATGAGAGAAACAGACTCTTAAGGCACTTCTCTAAATTTGTGAAATAAAAAAATCTAAAAGCCACTTAAAAGCTATTTTGTTTCCATGTGTATTGGACTCCTTCTACACTACAGTAATAGTTTAAATTTATTTTGAAAAAACATTTCTGATTTAAGATATAAAAATGCTGTTTATGTGATGAAAAACAGACCATTCTATCCTTGATATTTTTTAAATGGAGAAATGAGACAATCTCAGGAAAATAATCTGCTATTCTAAAATTCTACAAATCTGTAGATATTAATTTGTCGTTATAATCTTCCTTTAATCAGAGATGAATACTATTTTTATTCGTTCATAGAGAAATAGCCATTTCATAGAATTGCCATTACATGCATTTCATACAATTGCCATTACATGCCAATGTCTGCTTAATTGTTTTCGCAAATGTTATTTAGTGTAATATACAATTCCATTATTAGATGAGGTAGTTGAGGTGTCAACACACTAGACATCTAAGAATATAACTATAAAGTTGTATTGTAGGATTCAAGTTAAATAGAGAATAGTTTTCTCAGAGGAATATAAAAAGAAAAATAATTTATTGTTTATTTACTGCCATGCATTAAATGATTATTACTCATAAATTCTTTATTAAAGATTTGTGACTTCACTTTGAATCTTTTCTCTTAGGTTATTAAGAAGATTCTCCAAAGGAATGGACATGTACAAAGACCTGATGATGAAAGATCACCTACAAGATTTACAGAGGAAAAGAAATGACAAAACAGTATCATTTCATAATTTGACAATGAGCTTTCCAAAAATCAAATGAGAATATGATGTTTATCATACATATTCCGTTGTAAACAGAGAAAATGACCCTCACTCAATTAAAAATATTGTATTACAAGCCTTACAGAAATACAGCAAATATCCAAAGTATGCAAAAAAAATTTGGAAATGATTCTGAAAACAAAATGTATCATTAAAAATATATTCAAAAATAAATCACACAGAAGTCGTGAACACTTCCTATCAGAAGCATCTAAATTAGACACATTCTCCCAAAACTCCACACCAGGAAGAACAGTTCTGTACCTCTTATAGCTCTTCCTCCTTGGCTCATAAAATGTCAAGGTTCATCTCCATAGCCAAGAGAGGGTTGTCTCATTAAGCTTCTAATCTAGTCATGTTCCTATCATAGATTCACAATTATTTCTTCATAGAATATGTTTCCTTGGAAGAAGGCTATATTTGTACACTTGTACAAATTATACATTTTTAATTGATAAATTAGAGGCACAAGTTCAGTGATCTGATCTCAACAAAGTATCTTAGACAAATGACTGTGACATATTACCCGTGGCAGGGCTTCTATCCTCTCCTTAACATCTCCTCCTCCTGAGGACCTCCTGATGGATCCTTCTCCTCAACTTCCAATATTAAAGGGCCTTAGGAATCACCTTCTCTATCTGTATCCATCTTTAGATAAGTCAGCCTTTCTCATGGCTTTGCAAGTATTACAAGGACTCACAATCCTGATCTTTCTATTCCAAATTTCTTCCAGAATCCAAACTTCTCCACCTCAATACTCACCTAATTTCCACATGGGTGGCTAGTAATCATCTCAAACTCAGAATGTCAGAGACAATATCTGGTTTTCTTCTTCCTGAAACCTGTGTTTATACTTCTTCCTTAATCTAGGCAACTGTTTTCCTCTTATTCAAGCTAAAGACTTAGAAGTCATCCTTGACTTCCTGTTTTCTTTCATACCCTACCTCCAGTCTATCAAAAGATGAGGTAGGCTAGTCCTTCAGAGAGCATTTATAACATAATCTTCCTTACTACTGCCACAAGAATTTTGGTCCAAGCCATCACATTTTCTTGCCTAGATTGCTGGCAGCCGCCCTCTGGCCGGTCATCTTGTTTCTACTCTTGCTCCCCCTAAAGGCTGTTCTTACCACAGCAGCCAGAGGGAACCTTTTGTAATACACTTCTGCCCATACCATCCTCCGGCTTCAACCATCCATAACACCCTCTTTCACTCAGGGTCCAACCCAAGTCACTATCTTGACCTCACCAGCTGATACTTCCTTGGATTTCATCTGCTATTCTTGCTCATCCTGCCAGTGTATGTGCCAATCCACCTTGCTGACCCTGGAACACAAAAGTCACACTCCTGACCCAGAGCCTTTGCATTTACTGTTTTATTTGCTTGGAAAGATTTTTCCCCACCTCTCTGGATGGCCAACTCATGGTTATCTATGGGACTTATTTCAAATGTATCTGTCAATAAGCCCTTTCCTCATCACCTAATACAATGTAGAAACCATCTAATACATCTTATACATTCAAATATTCTTATTTTTCTACACCACACTTATTAGCACCTCACAACTACATAATTACTCTTCTGTCTGTCTGTCTGTCTAGTTGGTTATCCATTCTACAAACTCAGGCTTTTGGTGTATTTTCTTTACTGCCACGACACAGAACCTAACTATAAACACAGACAGCTTTAAATTGTACTGATACGTTTGTTTGGTGAAAATATTACATTTAGGTCACTGAGACAATGAGCAGTCCAAGACAATTCCTACTGTTGGTTGGAATTAGATTTTATTTCTAGAAAGTGACCCATTTCCTCATTTTGCTTCTTGTTGGCTAAGAATCAGCTGAGGTCTGTTTCTTGAATCCTTCTGTCTAAGGAAGATAGTAAACTAACCCCATGCTGGGGAAGTAGAAAAGTGACCCCTAAAAATTTCCACACAAATCATTCATATGGATAAACAGGCTAATTATAGTTATTCTAGAGAAGGGATGAGATAAAATATTTAAAAACAATTAAAGAAAATGACGTGACATAGTTGTAGTCACAATGCACAAGACAGGCCAATGTCACATTGCAATAGACAAAAAAAATACTAAAGCTAAGAAAAAGTTTTTTACTGTTACAATTTTCTTGCATGATGTTAATAGAAAAAATGTAGAATCTCTCTCCCAAGACTCATCAAATCCTCTAAGCAACAGGAAAGCAAAGAGCAGCCAGAGGTCTTCTGATGAGTATTTGCTGCATCATATCCCAGCATCTTAATTATCTTCAGAATTAAACAGATATGGTGTCTGCACACAGCCCAGAGTAATAAAAGAAACTCTCCCACTTCAGGTTCCAGAGGGTGGAAGGAATGAAACTTTACACTGAAAACAGAAATGGCATGGGATTCTCCCAGAGGAAGAAGGGGTGTTCTAGAAGCTAAATTCTCTTAGAAACTGTCAAGCCTCATAATTCCAATGAATATTCAGCCATCTTCACATCACTTTTATGAAGTAACTCAGGATGTGAAAGCCATTACTGGCTCTGCAAACAAATGGATACACACACAAATGCACATATGAACTTTGAAGAGCTCTATCTGGTAGATCTGGTAACTAAAAGAAATTAATGACATATTGAGCTTACAAAAATTAAAGCTCCTAAGCTTGCCTTTTGTGTGTTTTTGTTAGGCCACATTCCATTTAGCTTAATAGATACCATAGCTCCTATATTTTATTTAGTCAAGGCATTTTAATAAGAAGAATGTATAACTAATTTCATCATTCAAGGTGAGTGTACCATCTGCTTGTGCGGTAGTACGCCTGCCCTGGTTCCTCTCATGACATACTTCTGGCCAGGGACTGTCTCACCTTCTTGTGGTGGTACCAAATTTAGGCCCCTGAAAGGCCTTATCTTGATCCCCAAATTTCATGATAGTATTTCCTTTGTCATCAGGAAAGTTTGGTTCCTTCAAGGGCGGGTCTCCAGAGGTATCAGGCCGCCCCTTCTCAAAGGCGATACAGACAAGTGCTAAGCCCAGTGGCTTTGTGGCTCCTCCAGAGCAGAGGAGTGCCTTCCTCGACTTCGTTTTAATGCTCCACTAATCTTCAGTGTCATGACCAAGAAACGGCAATGGCCTTCACCCAAACTCACCAACCCTTTTCTAGCTTTAGTTAGCAATCCCTCCCACATTCCACCCTCACTTGCTTGACTCATCCTTAACTATCCCTTCCCCAGGGAAGGGTGAAGTATAACTATACTTCATCCAGAGCTGACTAGTCCTTCAGGAAATGATCACTACAATTTTAGGTATTAAAATAGTTCCAGACAGTGAAAACCACCCATTCCTCATTGCAGTGAAAACTGATCGCTATGATATTTTCTTTTAAAAATGATATTTTCTTTAAAAAATGTTCTTTCACTTTGGGTATTATTTTCTCATAAACCAATAATCTAATATTGTTATTACATTTAATTTTCCATTTGAGTCTCCTGATAAGCTCTGTGACACCCTCAACATGTTAGTCACTAAATTATTTATATTTAATTTTTTTCGTGTAGATAGAACATGAAGTATTCTGTTTAACAATTTGAAGTCTAAAATTCAGGGGCTTTAATTACATTAACATTGTTATAGATCTATCATTACTATTTCCAAAATGTTAGCATCTTTATTAAAAGAGTAACTCACCTTCCCTTCCTTCCTCTGATTGTTGGTAGTCCTAATCTTTCTGTCTCTCCTTCAGTCTCTAGATATTTCATAGAATCAGAATCACACAATATTTGTTTTTTATGTCTGGCTTATTCCATTTGACATAATGTTTTGAAGACCATCCAGGTTATAGGATGTATTTTGTAATACTAAATCACATCCTATTGTGTGGATATACAACGTTTATTCACTCATTTATCTGTGGGTTGTTTCCACCTTCAGCTAATGTAAATAATGCTTCTGTGAACACAGGCATAAGTTTATTTGAGTGACAGGCATATGTTTTCAATTATTTTTTCATTTCAAATATTCAGTAACTTTGTATTTCTTTTTATTCAATGACCCCTCCTATCACCATAGCAATAGTATTATGAGAAACTACCCCGAAACTTTATGTCTTACAGCAGCAACAAAATTTCATTAGCTGAAGAAGGTGGTTTTCTCCCATTTCACAGAGTCCCAGAATACCTCAAAACCTGAGGCCTGGGCCATCTCAAGGCCACTTCATTCATCTTTAGTGCCTTGAACCCTTGCATCTGTCTCTGTGTGGCTTCTCCACATGGTTTCTCCAGCACTACAGTGATTCGAATCATTAAAAGTAAGTGTATGAAGGAAAAGAGGCAAAAGCTATTTCTTACACCATGGCATCAGAAATTTCTGTGTGTCCTTTCAATCATAGTCAGCCCTTGAAGCCAATCACTAGTGACAGCTTATATTTGAGAGAAGACTATTAGCTTTACTATTTGTGGGAGAAGTGACAAATAATTTGAAGACACATTTTCATTTTTTATTTTATGAAAAAATAAACTTTCACAACAAAATAAGGTAATGACACAACTTAATACACAATGTACCAATAGAAATTTTTTAAAGCTATCCCATCTTTCATGACAGGGTTCACATTTCTATCAGGATTACATTGGTTATAAAATATAGAGACCCTTTTCTCTTATAAAGTCATGAAAATTTAGAAGCAAAAGTCGAGACTGGGAACCAGGTCTGGTTTGACAGTGTTATTAGCTTCATAATTTTTGACTTTTCTGTCTTTGAATAAAAAATACTCTTTACTTTGTAGTTAGAATCCTAAGAAGCAAACTTTGATCAACCTGACGTATCATGTGTGTTCCTGGACATTTGCCTTGTGTTAATGTATCCTGCCTTTGGATGGCACATGGTGGGTTGGCAATGGGATGTGGAAGACCATTTGAATGGCCCTGAAAAGAGTGAGAAGCTACTGAACAGTAGGCTCCTTTATAAGAGATAGATGATTGAAATATGTTATTACCATTATCAGAGAAATATGAATTCAATTGGCTTTAATTGTCAATTAAACCCTTATGCTCAACATCCTGGAAGAATTGGATGAAATAAACCATGGCAAAGCATTGAATGACCTTGAAAAACCACCAAGAAATATAATTTTGATCCTAGAAGACTTTGTATACTATCTAATCCAACTGCCTCC